ACGAAGATGGGACACAGTTCCCCCGTCATGTATATATATATATATATATATATATTCACTTATATATTCTTTGATAAAGGTTCGCTGCCCCTGGCTTAGACCAAAATATTTCAAATAAGCCCCGTGAAAAGGCTGTTGCGCCATTTAAACTTACGGTAGGCCATGACAGCCTGGCGAACCCATAGAGTTGAGAACCCTACTATTTCAACTCTATGGGTGAACTCTGCTGGCGAACCACCTTCAATGAATTGGCATTTTCACGAGTCCTCATAGCCTACTTTGTGGAAGAGAGGAAATCATGGAAAGGAACCATTTGTTGGGGTGCAGGATGATTTGTTGGGAGGTGTTTTGCTAACTAAAATTTCAAATACTAAAAGAATGAAGTTACATAAGTATTTCTCCATTTAGCAATTCCAGTGGAAAAAAAAGGGGGGAGGGATATGTGTAAATTTGTTGAAGTAAGTAATTTGAATATTTTTAAATTTTGTTCTATATTGTGCCAATTATTACAAGAAATGTCCACTTAAAAATTGAACAATTTTAATATTATAAGGGGAAAAAATTTTAAGTTGAAATTTCCACTCAGTTCAAATGTAAATATATAACTTAATAATTATGTAGTGTGGTTTTTATTATATAATTTCAGAATATAAATAAGGAAGGATAATTGTGAAATTACAAATGGCTTAAGTTACACATTTAAAAAATATATATATTACAAACTAACAAATTAAATTGAGATTTTGATAAAAATAAGCCCAGTTTTTTAGAAAAAAATTAAGAGTACATTTTAAAATTAAAGACTTGAAAATTATTAATGATATAAAATTTGTCAGAAATCACATTGTATGAATAAAAGAAAAAAATATCAAGAAAAGTTGCAATAAAATATTTCCTAATTAAGCTTGAAATATTCAAAAAAAACAGCTGAACATAAGATATACTTCGGAGTAAGGAGGAGAAAAATGGAAGGTAGCAGAATTCGTTAATATAATTTTATTTAGTATTTCTGTATTTCTAAGTAAATAATGCATGGAATGACATAAAACTATTGTTCTATGTTTTACTGCTTCACCACAATACAGAAAATTAAGTAAAATTATATCGCCGAATTATTCTACTACCATTCATATCTTCCTCTTGCTTACTCCAAAAAAAATAAAAAGCAATGCAAAATAATATCAGAAAATACAAAATCCAATATTATATAGCATCAAAACTAACGCAAAGTAATATTATGGCGAACGCTAGATAATATTAGTTTGCATAGAATCTAATATTATATAATGCAGAGCAAACAGCAACCTCTTGTATCTTTGTAATATTAGAAGTTGTGCAAGATAACGTTAGATTTTGCCGATTTTCTGATGTTATCTAATATTAGGTGCTACTTGGGTTGTGGATTAGTTTTTGTCACAGTCTCAATCAAAATTTTAAATAATTTGTTGTACTCATTTGTAGTACCTCTGAATTATTCCTGATTTTACCGAATAAAAGCAGTACACAATGATTTATAAGCATCACTGTGTAACCAAGAAGAATATTCATCATTTTTCGAAACTTTTTCTGAAACTAAGAAAACAATTCTATCATATATTGCTCCCACTGCAATAATTGTAAATCTACTCCACACTACTAAAACTCTTTTTCGTAGCAACTTTAAGCAAAGCATTGCTTGCTTTAAAGGTAAATCAGTGTATAACTTTTTATCTGTAACAGCATCGTGAAACATTTGCGTGTGTATTTTTCACCCAGGGGCCCGGGAAAATATCCGAAACGAAGGAACTTTTGGCAAGAAATGGGTGACACCTTTTAGTTGATTCCACGAGAGTAGAGTCTCACTAATTTCTTTTTATTTTTTAGTTTTTGACATTAGACAGCGAATACTTTTATTATATCCTAAATTTGAATTTGTATTCATTGAAGAAAAAAATTGTTAAATGCCTCTAATATTTCGTTGCGATGGAATGCTATTTACACATCTTTTAATTACAAACGAATTTTTAATTCTTTTAACTTCTCCGATATAAGAAAAACTGCTCTATTTTCATTATTAAGAATACGAAAATAAAATCTGCTTGCCTTTGTGAAGTCGTCGGTTTATGTATAGCAAGTCCAGTAGTACAGTGCGCAAAGTAAATAACGGACTACCCTGAATAACTTTTGATCTAATGATTCGATCTTCACGCTCTAAGACTCAATCTTAAAGGTTAGAAGGGGTGATTTCAAATATGCTTATTAATTAGTGCAGACGATATTTTAAGTAGCAAAATCAGACACAAAAAGTATTTTTTCTAAATAAACCTACTTTTATTTTTTTGGATTTGGTTTTCTGACTTCCAAAATATAGGAGATAGCCTCAATCTGGAAAATATGGTCCCATTAGTTTGATCAGGAAAGCTGTCCAAAATTTGGAGCTCTCAATGTTAATTTTACTTTTTGCGTATTATGCGACCCACAAAAAGAACAGTGACAACGCTCAGTTACGCGCATCATCACATTTGTTGAGCTTACTAATCTCCTGGCCAACGTTAGATAACAGTGTCAAAAGAAATAGATTACAACTGTAACTGTCTTGTTTTCCTTGAATTGATTTTGTACCCGTAACCATAGCTATTGTTTGCTTTTGCTTATTTGATTGTAAATATGTTTTTTTTTATACGAGTCGTCTAAAACTTTATAAAGATTTGATTAAATATTTTTAAAAATGCCTAGAGGTAGGTGCTTGCGTTTTTTTTATTCTCCAACTGACAGAAAGTGTTTAATAGTAAACTATTCCATCGCTTTTTTTTCTTACAGTGTAAGAAATTTAACAGAAAAATTTTAATTCAGTTCACCTGAACTTTTTTAGTTAAAAAGTAAAGACAAATGCTCTAAAACTTAATTTATTATCAAGAATTGATATAAAATGAAAAAAATTTACGTTATGTTATTTTCTACTGTGATATTTTTTTTAAAATGGAAGCTTTTATTCCTCAAAAAAACTTCGTATCAACTTATGTTGACACTTTATTTCATCTAAATCAAAATTTAAGTCATTTCTATAAATATTATTATTTATCGGTAATTGTTGTAAGCCATAAATTATCCACGTGTTGTGATTTAATGAATTATTATAAATAAAAACAAACTCCCATTAATCTGGGCTAAACTACGGTCATGCGCAGATATATGCGTTACTGTTACCGCAAAATTTTTCTGTGGGGTTAAACATATTTATTATTAATATTTGTGTAAAACTAACATTTTATCTTTGCTTTTAAAAGCTCATTTACTTTACTAAGGTAAAACTTTTGAGTACTGTGGTTTTGTTATATTTACATAGTAAATGTTTTTATGCTTTAAGTTCGTCGATTTCTAGAGCCTAATTAAGGGACTAAATTTTTTTTTTTAAGATTAGTAATTGATTAATAAAACCCAATTTTGCATAATTCTGGAAATTTAGAGTAAAACCTAAATTAATGTATAAGCTTTATATTTGAGCAGTTGCATCTATTAGAGTAAAGAGGTATTGATTTTCATTTTCACAAGGCATGAATGTTTTCTTGTAGTTGATATTTAAGCCTACATGCAAGTAGCTCCAGAAATGTTCACATTTTAATTTATCTAGAAAATCCTCTTAATAAAATAAGATAAAATTAATAATTCAGTAAAAGTTATTTGATTAGGGACAAATACTGTAGGAATGGTTATAACAAAAAATGCATGATTTAAATGAACTGTAGAAAATCAAGCCTTTTTACAGTAAAGGTGTAAAATATAAATCTGATACATTTATATGGAGTACTAATGCAAAGAATTTAATCTACTTACAATTATTGTTGTGTTACAGGAATTTGAAAGATATAAGGGTATTTTTATTTTTTCTGCTTAAAACTGGTCCCAACTCCCAATTTAAAATATTAATCCTTTTTATATTTATATGTAAGGTAAATATTTTATGATTAGGGAAAGAAAATAAAAATACAGTTAGCAATTGATTTATCAATAAATGGATAAAGAATTAAAATTTTATATCTTTTTCTTTTTTAAAGTTCCAAGTCTAGAGATATGTTCCAAAACTAAAGACATGCCTTCTTTTTCATATGTATTTGTGCCTATATATATTATATATATGTATATATGCTGATTTGATCACTTAAAATAACACTAAGGAAAGGATATAGCTTTTATATATGATAATTTTATGATGTATTTCTTTTATGTTAAAAAAGAAAAAAAAATTAAAATTCTGTAAATAACTTTACACAGTTATAAAATTATTCTAAAGTATTTTTTTAGATTAAAAACAAATATGAAAAAAAAACTATATTCTCATTAAATAATATAAAATAAGAATAGAAGTTTTAATTGCTATAATGAAAGTTTTTGTTACAATTCATTTCTTGCTAAAAACATAAGTATGCTGCAACAGATTTTGGGATTGAAAGTTCAAAGTTTTATTGTGACAGCAACTGTTTTGTCCAGTAATGAAGTTATTTTATTAGAGATTCAATTTCGTTGAAAGTTCAAATTTTTATTGTGACAGGAACTCTTTTGTCGTGAAGTTATTTTATTAGAAAATCAATTTTATTGAAAGTTCAAATTTTTATTGTGACAGCAACTATTTTGTCCGATAGTGAAGTTATTTTATTAGAAAATCAATGTCATTGAAAGTTCGAATTTTGATTGTGGCTGTTACTGTCCTGTCCATTAATGAAGTTATTTTATTAGAAAATAAATTTTATTGGCTTATAAGCCATTATAATTTATTTAGCTCAAATGTTTGGTCACTTGAGCTAGCTAAATGAGTGATACTTAATCAGCAGAGAGATCAGTGCGGGTATGTGTCATTGAAAGCTTCTCTCTTTGATAAATGGGAAATTTTTAGTTTTAACAAACTAGCTGTGGCGAGCAGTTAAGTTAAAAAAGTTTATTTTTTTTTCAATTCAATTATTGTTAGATTTTATTTTATAATTCCTAGTAGTCATAGCTGTCAAATCTACTAGATTTTCCTGTAGACTACTGGATTTTGCCAGTAAGTAAATGGATTTTCAATAAAATTTGTTTTTATACACTGGAAGGCTCTGCTATATTCTGAAACAAAAAACCTTGTAGTTTGATAGCTGAGAATACACATAATACCTACATTTAGTCAGGCTAAACAGAGGTCAATCCAGGTGGGTATTAAGGCCATTCTGTGGCCCATTCACAAAATGTTTATTTCTAAAAATGTTCCTCTTTATAAGTAAAGTTGAAAACTGACAGAGCATAGGTGTACGACTATTTATCTAGAAGGTGTAGTGGATCGTTAATATTTACCTTTAATTTTAAATACAAGTTATGGTAGAGAAGTCTAGCAAATATTTAAATCGGATTTCTAAAGCTAAAATTGCTGGACTTAGAGGTGAGTTCTATGAGCTGAAATTTAACCTTGCTGAAGATGCTATTACATTTCTGGTTTGTTACAAATTCACTCGAAGAATATAATAGAGTAGTATAAGTTTTATATCAGTAAGATCGTAATAGAAATTTTTGGAATTTTTTTATATAGTGGACTAAATTTACTACCAAATCTATAGTATGTTCAACGAGAACTGATAGTGGAAGTAATTATAAGGGTTGCTATTTGATCGCCAACAGTTTCTTTGCTGAATTGGCAATTTCGTTTGAATCGACAGAGCTTTCATTTTCATAGAAAAACGAAAATGATATTCGGTTTTTGATACCTTAAAGTTAGATAAGAAAGCGCAAAATTAAAATATTTACATGTAAATACGTTTCTAATTGTTTCAGTAAACACATAATTTTATTTTGAGAATAGTTTTATTGTATTTTTTAAATTAAAATTAAATTACTTTTATTATATTTTGCTTAAATATCTATGCTAAACAACTTTTATAATTTCATCGTAAAAGTCGTATAGAATTGAAAGAATGTTTAAAAAAATACTCTTTATTTTCATAATTATAATTTTTTTTTTATTTATTAAAAGTTGATTAATATTTAAAATAGTTTTATNAAAAGTGATTGAAAAAGTAACAAATCAAGAATGTTTGCCTTGGTTTAAAAAATAATGCAGTGTATCTGTGTATAATCCTGTATTTTAATAAGTGAAAATATAGTATTTTAACGTAAAGTTGACTTTTTTTCGCAATGAAATGCATGCAGAGCATTTGTATAAATTAATAAGTCCTGTTGCAGAACATTTGAAAATATTCTGCTTATGGGGTTTCTTCGCTGAATCGGCAATTTCGTTTGAATCGACAGAGCTTTCATTTTTACAGAAAAACGAAAATGATATTCGGTTTTTGATACCTTAAAGTTAGATAAGAAAGCGCAAAATTAAAATATTTACATGTAAATACGTTTCTAATTGTTTCAGTAAACACATAATTTTATTTTGAGAATAGTTTTATTGTATTTTTTAAGTTAAAATTAAATTACTTTTATTATATTTTGCTTAAATATCTATGCTAAACAACTTTTATAATTTCATCGTAAAAGTCGTATAGAATTGAAAGAATATGTTTAAAAAAATACTCTTTATTTTCATAATTATAATTTTTTTTTTTATTTATTAAAAGTTGATTAATATTTAAAATAGTTTTATATTTCATCGATTGATTTAAAAATATATTTGAAGGAACTGCATTTGTATTAAACTGTTATCGTTATTTTTCTAAGGGAAGTATGTGTGAAGCCTAATTTTTTTAACACGGAATAAAATGTCGTTCTTTTAAAGTTTGGTAAATTAGAATCATCGTCCACAGCTTTGAGAACTTTGTTTGTTGAATTTCGTTACGACGGAAAAAATCATGAACTTTTCTTCTTACAGCTTTTTTGTCGTAATCGTCAATGTCATCCAAAAGAGTTTTACGAGATTTAGTCTTCTTCGGTGATCCCTTTTATATTCTTTAATAATTCTGAAGACAGAAGCTGTGCTAACTCCCGATGCAGAAACCGCATGGTCAGCCACATCAATGATTGGAACATCTGGTTTTGAATGCACTTCTGTTTTATAAATGTTCAATATTATTTCTGTCTCAGCTTTACTTATGTAAGATTTCTTCTTCCGTTTTTTAGGAGGACTTAAATCTATCACTTCATTTTCCAGTTAGCTCATGAAGCTCCTGCAATAAGACACCAGGGCAAAACAAACAACCCTCTAAGAAATAAGAGTTTTTGCTTGACTGATAGGCACTATTTGTCATTAATCCAGCGCCAAGCAGACAATTATATTGCGCCAAATAGCACACCACTTTGTTTTATTATCCCCTTTTTGAAAAGATGTTTTCCCCTTTACCATGACGATTTTTGCTGCATATTATGCAAAAGAGTGATTTTCACAGTGTTCTATTCAACGTTTTCACAATTCATTCAACCACAATCCATTTTGGCGTACCGTCGGTCCGTAACGTATGATAGTGCCAATCATTTAACATGTTTGATGAAATACTTGAGAGTCCGTATGTGCGTCCACTGAACTGGGTTCAGTGAGTTCATTGCACCCTCATGTGCAACTCTGCGGCATTTTGCAAGATATTCTCAATTTCAGGCTTCATTTTCTACTTTCTAAAATCAAACCAAAAAATCTTTCAATCTTTTTATGTTGGCTAATATAATCAAAAGAATAGTCTTTGAAATAAGTTATTTTGCATTTTGTTAAGGTGTATAGTGCTTTTAAAAATGTTTTTTGAGTGCTTAAAAGGTGCCTATTTTTTGTTGAAAGATTTGGCTATGCACCCTGATCAAGGAAAGATTTCTTTGGCTGAAGCTAGTTGTTTTATCATGATTATGTTAGATCTTTGAAAATTATTTTGCATTTTGTTAATGTATATAGTGCTTAAAAATATTTTTTGAGTGCTCAAAAAGTACTTTAAAGGTGCTTATTTTTTGTTGAGAGATTTATCTATGCACCCTGTAGCCTGTTAATTGAGCCTATATCATTTTAAATGCAATTATTTAATATGTATTTTTTTATTTATCTATGACAAATCTGTTTTGTACCTTAAATTACAATTTTTATTATAAATATATATATTTTTAGGTCCATCTGATTCATCCTCCCAAATTAAGACTAAAGTTAAGAAGACTGGTACCCCTAAAGTTGGACGAAAAGGCAAAGCAACAGAGTCTCCTAAAAAAGCAGCTGTAAAAAGGCTTGTTGTAAAGTCTCCTGTAAAAAAGCTTGTAAAAGCTCTTTCTACCCGAAAAAATTTAAACAGTTCTGCAAAATCTGAAAAAAATAATTTGTTGAAGCTTAAAAAGGAAAATGCTTCAAAAAAAGTAAAGAAAAAGGATACTACAAAGGAGAAGCCCAAAGTTAAAAATGATGCAAGTGAAGTGAAAAATTTAACAAAATCTGTAAAAAAGCAAGACAAAACTATTAAACAAGAGAAAAAGACAAATAGTGAGAAAAATAATTCAAAAAAGCTTGAGGCTAATCAAGTTGTCAAACGGGGAAGGAAACGAAAAATAGATGAGACCAAGTCTATTAACTCATCTGAAAAAAGTATACTCAACACTGCTGTAAAAGAGAAAGAGATGAACAAAAAAATTAAAGTTGGGAGTGAGCAAAGTGAGAATTTGCACAGTGAAAAAGAGGAACTTAATTCTTCAAAATCTAGTGGTACTAGTAAATTGATCGTTGAACAAAGTCAAAAGTCTGGCAAAAGAGTTACACGCACGTTACAGAAAAGGGACACTAGTAAATATGAGGACCAACAGTTTTCAACTGAACTTTCAAAACAGAAAGCACAAAAGGATACCGGTGATAAACCTGGTATGCGTAAAACTAGGTTAACTCGAGAAAAGGATAAAGCTAGTGAGGAAATTTTAGCTGAATTAGCTGCAATTAAGGCTGGTACAACTGCAAAATCAATTGAAAATCTAAATGAGAATAAAAGTATAGAAGAATTTTCAAATAAAAGTGGTTCCGAAAAAAATATTGTAACCCGTAAAACTCGACAAACGTTAAACAAAGGTGAAGAAAACATTACTGTTGTACCACAGGAGACAAAAATGATTGAAACAAAATCAACAGAAAAAAAATCTGCTATAAAGGTACCCGTGATAAGAGAATTTGAAAAAAATTCCGCTGAAAAGCAGGGTGAGTCTAACATTCGTAATAACAGGTCTCTTAGGAGTACCTTGAGGAACTTAAAAGAATCTGATAATGAAAATAGTACTGATAATATATCAGTTTCTACAGAAAACACCACTGTTGTGCAAGGAGAAACAAAATTAAATGAAACTAAATTGGAAGAACAATCTGTTGCAAAAGTATCTGTAATAAAAGAGGCTGAAAAAATATTTACTGAACAGAAACCCACTGAACCCAGTGTACGGAAAATCAGATCCCTGAGACTTTTAAAAGCATCTGAAAATGAAGATAGTTCAGATAGTGCATCGGCATCTGAGTTTTCTGAAAACGATTCTTCGTCTAACTTAGAAATTAAACGAGAGTCCCGGAAAAGAAAAGAGTTATTAAAACCAGTTGAATCAATTTTATTAAAAAGTACAAATGATAGAAAGGTTGTGAAAAATGAAACTGTTGAAGTTGAAATGCATGAAACCATTCAAGCACCTAATAGTTATTATAATGAATCTTCTAAGAATATCAGTGGTTGTAAAACCAGATCAACTGCTAAGCAAATCACGAACGAAGCCTGTAACTCAGAAAATGAAACATTTATAGATAAGGTCTCTTCAAGTCAAGACGTGAGCTCTAACATTTCTGTTGATTTATCTGAAAGAAATGAATCTACTGCAGAAAATGTTGAAAACAACAATACTAATTCTGCTAGCTTGGTCCAAGCGGAATTAAAAGACTTTTCAGATTCTGATAGACTTAGTCATAACCAAATCTCAAGTGATAATTGTCAGGGGGTATTACGTGAAATTAGTTCTGATCAAGCAGATGCTCATATTCTAGAAATATCTGAACCTTCTGATGCTATCAAGATTGAAACTGGTGTAAAAGATACTAAAGAACTGTCAAGTGTGTTGTGTGAAAAACTAGAAACCGATGCATTAGAAATAATTCCAGCTGAAATTATCCTAAATGATACTTCAGAGATGAACACTACAAAAACATCAACTGAAACACAGAACACTATTTCCTCATGTGAAACAGAAAAAAGCTCTAAATTAGAGAAATGTAATACAGATGGTGATACATTAGTGAATGATTCTTTAGACACACCAACTGAAATGCCGCATGCAAATGCTGTTATTCCAGATGTAGCTGAAAGTGACTTAAAATTGGAGAATTCTTCAAAAATTCAATGTGAAACCACTGTTACACTAAGTGATGGAAAAGTTAACTTAAATCCAAACAATTATGCTCTCATATCTTTTGAGCGTATGAATAATACATCAGAGAAAGACACTTCAGAAACTTGTACTGCAATGCAGTGTGAAACTGCTGTAAGTAATACAGAAAGCAGTTTGGATGAAAGTAAAAATACATCTGTGAATTTTAATCCGGAGCAATTAAAATCTTCAGAAAATATTGCGTACGAAGAGAGTAAGTTATCTGTAGAAATAAAGCCGTTGGAGTGTGACAATGGTTTTTCCAAAAATATTGCACAAAATTCTAGTCTAAGAAGTAAGGATACATCTTCAGAACATGTGATAAGAAACTATGTCAACATTACACTTACGATAGATCGGGGTTACAGTTCTGATGAAGCAATTCATGGTGTTAAAACCACGGATAGTCTTCAAGAAAATTCTGAGAGCGATTGTTTATTGCTTGATTGTTCTACTTCCCGTGTAGAGAAAATTTCTCTTGGTGAATCAAACCACGAAGCAAAATCCCCTGTAAGTAAAATTGAAGAAAAGCATTCAGAGATAATTTCATCCCTGAGTAAAAACTCTCCTGACAGAGATGATCAAAAAGAGTGTTCTGAAACAGAAAGGGATACTGATATTCAGAAAGAACAGAAAAGTAATTGTACTTTAAAAAAAGATTTACTTTCCCAGCAGGAAAAGGTTCCTCCTTCAAAAACATTTCAAGCAGAATGTACAGATATGATTGATAATATTTCTATTCAGAAGCCAACACTTTGCAGAGAGGAAACAAATTTTAGTTCTGAAAACTTGGCAGAAAATTCTGAAACTTTAAAAGTGGTTGAAATTAATAAAGAACATTATTTGAAATCGTCCCCTGACGATGATGAAAAGGAAAACCTAAGTAACACTATCTCTGGAAGCGAAGACTCGGGTGAATTAAAATCAAAAAATATTCAAGAAATTAAAAGATCGGAAATGGAATATTCTACAGCTACTTCAAAAGTTTCAGGTGATGATGTTGGTAACATTAGTTCACCTAAATTTGATTCCCAAAATGCAGAAAATGTAGTGAAAGAAAAATGTGTTGATTTTCAAACATTTTCAAAGGAAACTGATGTTGAAATGGAAGCATGTTTTTCAGCTTCTTATGTTGAGAAGAGTGTACAAAAAATTTTTACTGAAGAAACTCCACCAGAAGTTTTAAGTGAAAATAGTAATTTGGTTACTGACTCCACCTATCAGGATTCCCTTGATGACAATTTAACTCCTACCTCAAGCTCTGAAATTGTGAAAGTAAATTTAGTTGAAGACATCACTTTGAATCAACCTTGTGAGAAAGAAATTCAAAACGTCTCTTTTGCTAGTCTTGAAAGTTCAGAAAATGAAGCTGAAATTGAAAGAAAACTTGTGGAGGAATCCGAAACTGACTTGTCAAATATTGTAAAAGATGACACAAACCTATCCGTAAAAGATGATACCCTTCCTAGTTTTCTTGATCCTACAAGTGATAATTTAATTTCTGATGCTGCATATGAAACAAGTGCTGATATAAGCCTTGATACCAAAGAACAAATTGAACAACAAACTGATTGTGAAGTTCAAAGCTTAGAAAACACAAACATTTCTTTAGAAACGGAATCATCTCAATTAGAATGTTCCCAAAATAATGAAAGTGATGCTGATGAAATTAAAAATGATAGTAATGCAGCTGAAGAAAATGACCTGACATCACAGCCTAATGATAATGAATCAACAATTCAATTATTCGATGTTAGTTTAGACAAAACAAGTGATTATGAATCGAACAATATGAAGGGAGAAACGTCACCTGGAAGCTTAGATACTTGTGAAGTAGGTTCAAAAAGTGACGAAACTTCAAAAGAGAAATTGAATGTAACTTCTTTTTCTTGTATATCTAACAAAAATGATGATGAAAGTCTAGACAAAAATGTTAGTCTTCAAACCAACAATGTTGAGAAATTGAATGAAACGGCAGACTCCTCCATTAAGACTACCAGCGTTCATGATGGCAAAAAAGATTCTTTTACAAAAGAAATTAATTCGACAGAAATAATTCAAACAGTAAATATATCTTTCGTGCCACCAAACCAAAAAGAAGACTCTATTGATGATTTTTCAGACAATGGTAAAGAAAAAATTGAATCTGGAACAAAATCTCAGAATTGCACTGGTTTCGACCAGAATACAATAAAATGCAGCTTGGTGGATGAGAATAATTCTTTATTTGATGAAAATGAAGAAAGAGTTGAAAAGGATATATTAAAGGAATCGCATAACTCTTTAGAAACTTCTAGAAATAATCTTAATGTCATCCCTATAACAGTAGAAACATCTACAGATGTGAACTTTCAGCTTTCTCGTGATAATGATTCTACATCAGCTGCAGTATTAATTGAAAAAGAAAATGTTTCAATTGCAGCATTTGCAGGTAGTGATGATAAAAATGAAAAAGCAAGGTCTGTAATCGAACACTTCGGAAGTATTGGAAATCTTAATGTCATCCCTATACCCATAGAAACATCTACAGATGTGGACTTTCAGCTTTCTCGTGATAATGATTCTACATCTGCTGCAGTATTAATTGAGAAAGGAAATGTTTCAATTGGAGCATTTGCGGGTAGTGATGATAAAAATAAGAAAGAAAGTTCTGTAATCGAAGCATTAATAGATACTGGTGATAAAAATCGAAAAATACTCGATGAAGTTTCCGGAGAATTTGTTGATATTGATTCCCTTTCAAATATTGTATGTTCCTCTAATGAAAGAATCAGCAGACCTGTGGAACTACTCTCTAGCAAAGAACCAATTTCCAACGAAGATTCAACAAATCATAAAAGTGTGAAAAGGAAACATGATGATTCTGATGGTGATATTGTTACATTAATGACTAAAAGTGTCAAGTTAGGTATTGAAAGTGATAAACCTAAAACTGGAGAGACTGATATTGGTGCAGTTGCTCTAAAATCAGAGCAATCTCAATTGATTTCAAATAACCCCAGAGTAGAACATACTAATGAACTTAGTAACTGTATTATGGTTGATCAAAGTAACAGAAATATTGCTGAATATAGTACTGTTCATAAAAATGCTAGTCCTAAAAATGTTTTAAGTGAAAAAGAAATAACTCTTAACTCAGAATGTGAGCAGAAAATAGAAACTGAACTGTCACATAACAAAAGCAACCTAGGAACAAATGAATCTACCTCTGACAGTTCTGTTTCCCAGTCTGAAAAAAATGTACCAATTGAAATTAGTGTTGCTAATCTTTCAGATTGTAGCAAGCCCGGTTCAAGTAAATCAACCGGCAAGAGGAAAGCTGCTGAGAGTGAGGTAAACTTTTAATTTTATATTTTAGTATAATAAGTATGTATAATCTTTTCCTATTTAGGATAAGGTGGGATCTTATGGAGACCTCGTCTAGCTAGGAATAAGTCTCTTGTTATACTGGATTTATGCCTTTATATCATTCTTAAACGATTTATATTAAAACAAAAATAAATTTAAGAAATCTGCATATGAATTCCAATCGTGTTCTTGGTCTCTCTATATTAAGAAATCGTAAGGGCTGCTGTTTTGGGTGTTCAAATTTTGGCCCATTTTGTTTTAGCTGCGCAAAAACTATAGATTTTAGAAATTTTAAATTGCTAAGCTATGTGCACAGTGCATAAAAAAATAGACCACCTTGAATAACTTTTGATCTGATGACCGGATCTCACGCTCTAGCACACAATCTTAATGGTTTGAGGGGTGACCTCTAATTTGCTACTTTATTAGTGCAAGTGATATTTTCAGTTATGAATTCATAATCAAAAATATACATTCCCTGAATACCTTACCTTACCTTTTTTAAACAGATTTGAATTTCTGACCCCCAAAATATATTGGTTAGCTGACGGTCCTAATAGTTTGCTCAGGATAGTGATCCAAAGTTTCAACCCATTTAATGTTAATTTTACTTTTTGTGTATTTTGCCATATCTCAAGAAGTTTTTAAGCGAGTTAAAAAAAATTTACCTAATTATTGAATTTGTTTGTCCAAAGATGCAGAAAGTAATTTATAATTAAAATTTATTTTATTTAACAATAATCTAAAAAATTTTGGTTTGTAAAGTATACAATTTTTTACATCATTTAAAATATGTAATTTAACATGGACAAAATACCAAGATTTGAATGAACCTTGTCCAAGTTAGTAATTTGAACTGAAGTCTGGTGAATGATTCCTGAGAAATCGAATTTTAAAACTTAATTTCTCAGAAGCTATTTAACTGATTTCGCTCACATTTTGTATTTTGCCATGTGAAATTAAAGATCTTAGAATGATGTAAAAAATTGTATACTTTACAATTCAAAAATTTTTTGATTATTAAATAAAATAATAAATATTTTACTAAAATTTGATTTTTGCATGGAATTATCTTTGGACACAGAAATTGTATAATTGTGTGTAAAATTTTTTCAATTAGCTTAAAAAGTTCTTGAGATATGGCAGAATATGCAAAAAGTAAAATTAACATAAAGGGGTACAAACTTTGGATCACTCTCTTATATCACATATTGTAACTAACTATATTTTGCTGGTCAAAAATCCGAATCTGTTGAAAAATAGTATGCTGATTCAGAAAAAAATTCGTTTTGTGTCTGTTTTCTTTCACTTAAATATTGTCAGATCTAATTAATTAGCATATTTGAGGTCACCTCCAACCATTTAGATTGAGTCCCAGAATGTGAAGATCTTTGGATCAAAAGTCATGGGATTCTATTATTGGATTAAAAATTAATTAGGGTGATCTTTTGGCACACTGTACATGGATTATGATAGAATACGAAGATTTAACATTCGAGAATAATTTTTAGATGTTAAACTTGTTGAAAAAAATATCATACTGGCCGTTCTACAGGCTGCAGAAAGGCAACTACATAGTTGAAATTTTGTATGATGAAATTCATTTGTTTATAAACTTAACACCAGTGTTGGAAAAAAACCTGAGTTTTTTGGTTTAAATCATTATTTTTTTTTAATGTGAAATAATATTTTCTGCCTCAAATTGAAACTAACTAAACCATTCAAAACTACATCAGAATATTTCATTTAGCTATTAAGTAATTTTTTTTTTCAATAAACAATTCTAAAATATCCTTTTCATATTCCTTAAATATGATAACATAATTTTAAAAAAAGAACTAAATACTCAAATTGTACATTTTATTTCCGTGTATGCAAAAGTGATTTTCCCCTTGCTTGTCTGTAATATACTGTATTTCAGCATAATTTAATTACTGTCATTATTTTACTGTGTACTTCATAACATTAATTTATAACATTTAATTAAATTTTATATAAATATTTGTTTCTTTTTTTAATCATGTGTAACAATACAAATATTAATCTGAAATATTTAAAGCAATATTTCAAAGCAAACAATTTTATGTTAATAATATTTAGATATATGAAAATAATGGAGGGTTGAAAAAGAACAAAAATGTCAAATAGATTTCACATAAAACGGTGAAAGTAAGTTTTAGTACTAATGGTTTAATAAAAAAACGAACTACTTTTTTTAATTTGTTTAAACCTAGAGCTGCTTTAAAAGAAGACCTCAGATGCATAGACGCTGCACTCGTCTATGGATTGTCATTTTTACTTTCTTTGAACCTTTACAAATAAAAGCTGTGAACCTGAATGTCAGAACTGAGACTGATTCAAACTTCGCAACATATGCATAGGGAAGTGTTTGTCCATCTTCTTATGTTTTTGTGAGAAACGACAGGGTAAAGAAGCCTATTCGGCTCCCGTAAAATGGACCATACAAAGTCGTTAAACCTTCAGAAAAGACTTTTTGTCATGGAAGAATTTTTGTTGTTCAGTGGTTTTTTTTAATGGCGGGCACTTGGGGATTGTCCCATTGGTCACAGAAATGCCAGAACTGCTACTCTCTTCTCGTTACCCAGTGGGCACCTGTGGCTAAGCCACGGTGGTGGAGCAGCGTCGCCCATGTCAGACAGCCACAAACCCGTTTATAGGGCGGATCACATTCACACAATTGTTGTTCATTGTCAACAGACTGATACCAGCTTTCATTCTCAAAGACATTGCGTAATCACCAACTGTGGCAACCCCAACTATAGTTTGTCTACGGTAAAAACTCGCCCCATCACAAAATCTGAGACCGTCTGCTGCTATGGCAACGAGAATAACGCATTTCAGGTAGGGTAGCTACTCTTCACTCTAGGGCTAACACAAAAGATCGAAGAAAAAAACTTCCTTTCATTTGCCAACCCGAGCCCAAAACCTGTCCTAAAGAGTGACCCTACACCCCTACTTGGAATCGTTATACCTAGTTACCATAGTCACCGCCATGGGTCCAGGTGAATAGCTTGAGGAGTTCTTACTTTAGACAAACTCTATACCACATATCATTCAATGAGCAGATACTTTGGAAACAATTACAAGATTTGGTCGGAGTGTTCGTTTTAATCCTGAATGCTTGTATTATCTGCTGAAGGCAGAGTACTTGCGGGGGTTAAGCCTTGCTCCAGTCTTTCAAAAATAGGTTCAACTTTCACTTGTCATGACATAAAAATTCTCTCTGAACAGCTCACAAAACAGTTATATAGTCAATATCTTAAGCTGGTTGGTGATACGTCGAATGTTGTTTTGTATTTCTTTATTAATTGAATGTAATTTTATATTTGGTCGTTATGTAAACATTAAATTATTTCTTTTAAATCCAAATTAGTGCTGATCATTTATTTTTATTATTTAGTCAACGCCATAAAAATTAATGCTAAAATTAACACTATCAGGGTTTGTAGTGAGGGGGGGCAAATTTTTAACAATTGGCCGTTTTATCCGACTTTAAATGTGGTTTTAGCCATGTCAAAACCCTTTTTAACATAGTTTTTGATAATTGTCAAAAACCCAAAAATTTTGTATATAAGATATTAGCTACTATAAATATGATGAAATTGTAAATAAATACATCCAAAATTTATATGTAGGGTTCGCACCAGCAATGAAAATTTAGTGGTCCAATAGAACCATCTAAGTATTCATGTAGTGGCACAAAAAATTAATATGGTAAACAAACTAGAAAAATCAGACTTTACAATTTCATAGCTCTTGTTATGGTACGCATCAAAAATTATTTATTGCCGTTTATAACACTCTAAAACTAATCAGGTTCATTAGTCCATAATAATTGAAGATTGGTAATTATTAAAATTAAGTGTGAAATAATATTAGTAAATAGATTTAGCATAAAGATTACAATGCTGAGACCAAATAAATGAAGAAAACACAGAATTAACAAAATATTATTCTAAAAATTAACTGTCAAAATATTTAAAATAAAGTCAATTCTAAAAGAGCAAAAAATGTTATTTTATTAATGAGCAATTTTACTGCCAGTACATGAATTAGAAACAGCACAACATATAAATTTTTAATTTAGACGTTTAAATTTAAAAAAATTTCAACAGACACTTTATTTTATTCCATTTAAGTACCACGTGTTTGAATTCTATTCCATGCATTGAATAATTAAATTAGCACAACAAATATTTCTTAAATGCATGAAATTGATGCAAAAGCTATTTTTTGTTACTATTTTGTAAATTGTGAAATTTCAAGATTGCAAATTTGTCATCTTGAATTGTAGGCATTTGTTGAACATTTGGCGACAATTGTTGCCCTACTGGCATGAACAATAATTTTAAGTCATTAGCTAATTCTGTTCATTATACATTTCAACACTATACCCCTTTTTGTTTTTGACAAACACTGCTCCAAATTTCAGAGTAAAAAATCATAATCTATTATAACAAATAATTCTGAATAAAAATGTTTAAAATTGTAATGTATCCAATCTGTTAATTCGTTTAATTACTGTAAACAGAAATGGAAAAAGAGTAATCTTAAGCGCTTAATCATCATTATGTATAAAATCGATTTTCATTTACTCCATTTCCATTTACTATGGGTTTACTACTACTAATGTTCAGCTCCGTAGCCTTGTAATTTTGAATCCAATCCAGAAGACAAGGGAACTCCTGGATGGAGTATTGGGAGAAATTTGCCTTCATGGAGGACTTTTTGATGGAGCTAACCCGCATTTGCGTTCCATGGAGAGGAAGACCACTAGAACCTCCCACGGTTAGCCTGACTGCAAGGGGACTCTAACCCATGGTCCTTCTACCACTGAGGATATTTCACGTTGGCGCAAGCCGGATGCGGAATTCGTATAGTCTGGGATTCGAACCCAGTTTGCCGCATTGAAAGACGAACGCTCTATCCCCTGGGCCATCGCGGCTCAAGTATGATGTTAAAATTTATTAGAAATAAGGGAAAAAAGTAACCAAAAATAAAACCTATAATGCTTAAATAAGTGCTAAAAAATATTTAAAACTTATTGCCTTATGTTGTTTTCTTTTTTACAATGAACGGAAAAGCACAGAGACTTTTTTTCTCCTCCACAGAAAAACCTTAGCATTTTTCCATTGTAAAAGATAGAGTATTCGCTGCAAGTTCAATTGAAATCTAGTGTGAAAGGTACAGCGAAAAGCCTACCTTATTGTTATATCATATTTCAAGACTCAAAATTTAATTCAGGTGGACGACATTTGTTAGTTCCAAATTTTATACTGTCTTTGAAGCATTAAACCAACCTTTTTTTTTTTTAAATTCTCAAAAATAACTGGGTTCTTGGTAAATTGAAGCAAGCAAAAAACTATTTGTTTATATGTATCGTCAAAGTTATTATAAATGATTGAATTCCTTCAAATACATTTTTTTTTTTTAATTCTAGGATTCAAATGAACTAAAGAGGGTTAAAGCTAACACTCCTCCTGTCCGAGAATATTTGGACCAATTTGTTCCTTTTCTTTTAGAAGGATTGCTAAAAATAGCCTACAACAGGTAAATGTTTACCTTTACAAAACAATAAATTGATTTTATCCTTACTAACTCAGTAATAAATAATAAAAAATTTTAATTCTTAATTATAATAGGCCATAATTATTACTAAATTTATATTTATCCAATATGTGATGAAAATATTCTTACATGAGAGCTTTGTTGTACGAAAAAAAATTACAGCAAATAATACTTGAAACATTTTTACCTAATTTTAGGCTAGGCTTAATTTTTGTTATTTTTACTTGTATAAATATAAATCCACTCTGATAAGTTGTTTCAATTATATACTATTATCTTCCTGATATGATTTTTTATTATTTTTACTGAATTCAGCAATTTTTGAAGAGGAAACAGTTTTAGCTTTTCACGCTAAAACTATTATAGTGTGGTGAAAATTTATTTGTATATTAAGAATATATCATTATATTATCTATTTAAATATTTTTTTATTGATCATAAGTCTAAGTGACCATTCCCAGTAAATATGATTTATATGTCTGATGGTTGTTGAAGGAAATCTGATTAGTAAGTTTTTTACACGTGAATATATTTCACCATTTAAGCTGTCGTTCTCTCTCAGTGTCGATCACATATGCATGAACCATTTGCAAAAAAAAACTAAACTTGATTATTTTTGTTTGAATTTATTCAAATAGTCATCCAAGGTAATCTTATCTTTCCTCTGAGTATTAAATAGAATTCACACTAAATTATTGGTAATTTGGTAGTGCTCTCTTCGATTTTGAATATCCAAGAGATAGATCAACATTAATTAACCTGAATCAATTTGCATGAAACATAAACTCACAAAAAAAATCATCTAAATATTTTTTATGCATTTTTAGGTTTTTCTTCAGTTTTGATCAACCAGAAATTGACCATTCTGCATTATTGTTTTCTACATTTTGCTTGAAGTTTATTAGTAATTTAATCGCATAGTATTAAAAAAAAATTACAATATCTAATCATAAATTTAATCCCAATTTACAAAAAAGACAAAGAAGAAATAAATTAGCAATTAAAACATTAAATCGAAATGGAAAACCGCCTGGAGCAGCTAAGCCCGAATTTGCTTTATTTTAATTTACATATTCAATCAAACATTTAAACCAGGAAAAAGCAATAAAATGGAAGAAATGTGTGTTTGTAAGACAGCACTTCTTCAGGGGACACACTGCTTACACACTCACAGGAGCCTTTCTGTTGTCAGTGGAAAAACCAAAACTGACAGTGCCCAACAGTGTCTTACAAACACACATTTCTTTTATTTTAATACTTTTTATTACTTTCCTACTTTAAATGTTTGATTGAATAAAAAATTCGGGTATTTTCCTATCAGGAGTGAAAATCTTGTGCGAATCTACTTTCTACTTTTTGTAAATTTCTTTGATGGAAAATCTGGAATGAAAATTATTTGAATCTCCTTAAGATATGCCACAGGAATTGACGCATTTTCAAGGAATTGTTATTTTTTAGCTTTTTTTTTTTTTTTTTTTTAATTCTNTTTTTTTTTTTACCTTTTTCTTTGATAAGGTTTTATTATTATATTTAATAATTTATTTCTCTATTTTTGTGATGAATAAATTACAACAGAGAACAAATATTTTTGCATTGCTGATTTAATAACTGAAATCAGTTTCTCACTGCAAGTTACAGTTTTCACGGAAATCAGTAATATAATCTTAATCAGGATTTTTTAAAGTTCACTGGAATTAATACTAAGTATCCCTAGTTATCTAAGTTAACACTTCTACATCGGAAAAAAATTATAATACCTTTTAATTTATGATACAATACATTATCATATATGTTTTGTCTTTTGTGTATATGCGTGTACGTAAACCTATCGATTCTTCATAAGCTTGTACATTAAAAAACAACTTAAACTAACAATATCATTTTGAAAAATTGGTAGCTTTCTAAACAAAACTAATTTCAGATTTGAAATCTTCACACCTGAATTAGGTTAGATAAAGTACTTGCATGAATGCAACAAAAAATTTGTTGCCTAGTGTTATTTATTGATTCATGCGTACTGATACTTATTGATTAATGATTACTTATCTCTTTTATGTATATTGCCACTTGCGTAAAATCTCTTTTTCTATATTAACCACTGTTCTACGTTTTTAGGCTTTGACTTAGCTTAATTAAAATTTTAAATAGTTTTAGAAAATTTTATTTTATTCAATAGTACTATGAATTCGCAGAATTTTAGGAAGTTTTCATCTCTGTAGAACTGTCAGTAAAAAAAAAATAATCTGTCTTTATTAACATTCAAAATTTTGCATGTTATTTGTATTCTGACAAAAACAATAGGTGCAAATTCATCTTTAGCTTTTATGAACACTATTAGTTAATATACTTTATTTTCTTTAATTTAACCCACTGGCGGTTCTGCACTTAAAAATTTGTATTTTAACCGGTAGTCTTTTCTGCATAGGGAAACCGGTTTTGCCATGTTATTAGGTAGGGTAATAGTGTATTGGCAGTGTTTTCATTACAGAAAAAAAAATGAGAGAGAATTTCTCACCCTTTCTCAAAAATAGGGTGAGATCTCAAAATGTTAAGTGAGATTTCTAAAAATTAAAAAAAACGCAAATAGACTTGGAAAAAAATATTTCGTTAATTATAATACATTTTTAACATCTTCTAATTTTTAAAGCATTGAATATTTTTGCTGCGTAATTTTTAAAGCATTGAACTGCGCCGGAATCTGCTAAAATCGCGATTCTTAATCAAACGATTTTAATATCAATCATCGATTTTCGTATTTAACTGATTTAAAACTTATGTGTTGATATTTTTTACGCGATTTAAAAATCGTATTAGCAATTCCCATTCACTCAATTTAAAAACCCAATATCGCGATTTGTATTCTCGCGAGTTTAAAATCCAACTTTGCGATTCGTATTCATGCATTTTTAAATCCAATATTACGATTCGTTATTCATTGCGATTCGTATTCACGTGATCTAAATATTATGAATCGCGATTTTTATTTACGCGATTTAAAAACTCAATATCGCAATTTATATTTTCTTGTTTATAAAATCCAACAGCGCGATTCACGTGATTTTAAAATCCGAAATCGCGATTCATATTCACGCGATTTTAAAATCCAAAATCGTGTTTGTATTTTCGTGTTTTTAAAACCCAACAGAGCGATTCATATTCACGGGATATTAAAATCCAACTTTGCGATTCATATTCACGGGATTTTAAAATCCAATCTCACGATTCATATTCACGCGATTTTAAAATCCGAAATCGCGATTCATATTCACGCGATTTTAAAACCCAATATCGCGATTCTTGAAAGAAGTAGAAATAAGTTTTTACTTGAATTAGTTACTGTGAAGATGTGATACGTTTTTCATTAGTAAGTCATTTAATAGTCGCGCCTTCCTATAATTGCTTAATTTTCTTTCATATAGCAGTGGTCAAAATTTTAAAATTATATTTAAGAAAAATTTTGCGTTAACTGTCTGAATGCTTCTGCCTCTTTAAATATTAAATAAAAATCTCCCAGCATAGTTAAAAGTTGCTTTTATGTATCTCAGTATCATATAGAACACCTCCCCCCTCCTCCCAGTGAACAGCATTGTAATAGTTAAAGTTCAGCTTTTTTTATTTTTGTCCACTTTCATGCCTGGTTTATGAACTAAAATTCTTTTTGTGTTGCAGGCCGGAAGATCCAATTCAATATTTAGCTGAATGGATGATTTTCAACAAAGATGAAGCTTATAAACGTATAAAAGTGGCCAGATAGTTTATTCCTAAGTTGTTATCATTTGACCTTTTATTTAATTTCATTTTTATACACTTTCATTCATTAATTTATCATCTAGTAAACAAAAAAAAAAATTATGTAGAATCTCCTCCCGTTGTAACTCCAATGTATCATAACTTCTGAAGCTGGTATATTGTGGTAGAATTTAGATATAAATACGGAATGAATGTATGTTTATAGTTTAGGAAGTGACTCAAATGTATAATACATTTTTAAACTAAATATATATTTGCAGTTTTTTTATTTTTTTTTTTGACATATAATTTATGAATGTTATTTCGTACATTGTTTTAGTCCAGTGTATTTTACCAAATCATTTTAATGGCTCTGCATCTCATAATTTAATGAAAGAGCTATTGTTCGACTGTTTATTTAAATTATCTGTATTTGTAATGACTTTTTGTGTATTAAAATTTCTTCTAATATCATCCAGACTGTTCATAGTCAGTGTATTAAACATTTGTTTCAATACACTCGTAAGAACCCACCATATTAAAACGTCATTTTGATAATAATCAAATTGACCAGATACTATATTGTGTATATACGTTTCTCCGAGAGTTGGACTTATTGCAATGCTTCTTCAAATATACACTTATCAAGGGGGTGGCCTCTGAAAAGCAAATAAGTGTATAAGCTAGGGGTGGTTGTTATAGGCAAAACACTAGTAGATTATGCTAAGTATCTGAAATTAACCTATGCAGCTTTTAGGACAAAAACGATTAAATTTAAACTTTTAAAATTGTACAAACCTGAAACTAAAAAGTTTTTCTAAGTATTTAAAAATTGGATCTATAAGATATTTATGTAATTATCTAAATCTGATTTTCAAAATTTTAAAAATATATAACTAAAAAAAATTTTAAGTATCTAATTATTGATCTATAAAATATTTAGTTTCAATGTTCTATGATATTGTTTGTAATTTAGCTTTCAGTTGTCATTCTGTGTTATGTTTAGTATGTTTGCAAAGAAATAGAGTAATTTTAAATGAATAAAATTATAATATAATTGAAAGATTGAATTTGACTGTTTTGAAAATGTTTGTGTACACTTTTTAAAGTTATAAAATTGTCCTTGAACTTAGTCAAACAATTGTACTTGTTATACTTTCAGTTGGAAATTTTTTTTGCTTTTTACCCTTTATTCTTCACTAATGATTCAATAGTGATAATGAGTGAGTCTTCAATAATGATTACAGACGTACATTTTTTGATAATAGAAAATTATAAATTTCAAATAATCATGTTGCATTGGAAAGTTTTTAAATGTAACTAATGTTGCCAAATGATTTTGCACTGAAACATATTGTGTGCACATACCTTTATTTTTGATATCGAAAATTATGACTTTTTTGCTTTGATAAGAAATTTTTAACCTTGATTGACATTACGTTGGTAAACCTCTTTTAGAATAGTGGTGAACAGTACTGTTGTACTTGCATACATGTACTAAACATCTGTTTTACAGTCTTATCAGATTCTAAGGCTGTTAGTACCGTTTGGAATCAAGCACCTGGATAAATCTTATTTGGTGGCAATGTTCCTATCCATGTCAGTATTCTATTTATACAAATAAGTATGTCTCTAGTATGCTTTTATACTGTGTACTTTCATATACTAGAACCACCCCTGCATGTGCAAGGTCTGCTTAGATTTGATTAGAATAAGGGTGAGATGAGAAAAAAGATGTGTTGTTTACTTTTCAGTTAACTGTTCTTTTTGCTTCAGTGGATATCTGAACTTATCACCCCTTCTCAGAATAGAATCTATCCCGAGTGCTTGATTTTACTTATGAAAAGTATTTATCTATATAAATATATTTTAGTGAATTGCTTTTGAGGATAAGTAAACGATTCTAAGGAAATTTTATTGTAAGGTGGATACCTTACAAGTCCCCCACTCTAACTGTAGGACCTGTATTTCTACTTTAAAAGAAAGAAAAAAAAGCACCAACATCAAACAAAATATCCAAAAATCTAATTCTTGTTTGTTAGTTCTGAAAAATGTAGCTAAAGATTTGAACTTTTAACTAAAATTTAGATAAGTAATGATTTGTTTATATTTATTAACTATGTTACTTTGTGATCCAACTTATGAATATTACTTACCCGATTTTTTCCTTAAAGGGCCCTTCCTCTTCCGACCAAACTCTTCAAAGGGTGGGGGTAATTTAAATATGTTAATCCTCTTTATTTAATTTTTCACAAATAAACTGATGATGAATATTTACTCCATTTGGCAGTATTTTTGATACATGCGAAATGAAAGGTCCCCCAACCAACCACAATTTGAGATATAAAGTGTATGACATTTTAGATTCTCTATTAGTTTTTCTTTAAAGAAATATGCCAATACAATTCTGCAATTAATAGTTTTCGATAGGTAGTTAAATAGTATACAGTTGTCTGTTTTTAAATTTTTGAAAAGCATCTTTGTTTTTATACAATTAGCGCTAAGAGAATATTTTTACCGTCATCCTTACCGCTTTTTATCAATTTAAATAGTTCTGTTTGCATTTTATTTTTTTTAAAAATAACTTTTGTTTTTAGTTGATGGGACTTTTTTTCCTTGTTAATTAAATAAAACTAAAAAATTATTGTTGCATTTTATTTGTGGTAATAATTTTTCCTACAAGTAATTTTTCATAGAATCAATATGAAACTCATATCACTCCTATGTACTCATGCTAGTTATCGGGACGGTTCACTAAAATAACTGAAGTTCATTATGAAGCAATTTAGAGAAAAATATATTAAATTTAATTAAAATATGTTTTCTTATAATTTTATGAGCATATCTCATTTTCCGTTTGAATTTTACTTTTGATAAGACATGTATCTGATCAGTATATAATCTCTATTATGCTAGATTATTTTGTCATTTTCATATTAATCTGTAGCTCTTAATTCTGTAAGTAGAAAAAAAATGAAATTTTATTTATTTTGTTTACTTTGGCTTTTTCTAATATTCATTTTATTTTTGATTTTTTTTTTCTTTTTTTTTTTCAAAATTTTATTATGTAAAGAACTTTTGATTTCTGCAATTTTAATAAAATTTTTTTTTAAAATTTAGTAAAACTGTTTTATTACCAGAATGCATGTTACGCATAAGAACATTTATTAATGCATAATCCTACAATTCATAAGAACTAGGTGTAGTTCACACTTATCAACCTTTAAATATATTTGTTTACTATTTAATGGTGTCTATTCTTAATGACTTTTTATTATTGAGACTTATATTTAAAATAACATGATAAAAATGTAAACAAAAGTTGTTGTATTTTTTCTTTAAAAGAATTGTGTTTTAGTTAAGCAAGTTTTATTGCATCAGGGAAAAGGTATTCATTTGAGTACAGGTTAACTTACTATAAAATGAAGCAAGTTTTTTTTTTTTTGAGTAAAAAACATTTCTGTGCGTAACTAGTTATGAATAACTAAGACCTCTTATAAGCAGTAAAATTTGTATCTTGTTTATTAATTTTTTTCCATTACACATATTTTATTTAAAAACTAGAATTTAAAAAAAAAAAAATTTAAATAGATTTCGTTAAATTTTGTTACAATATTTTATTTTACAAAACATTAATTTTGGTTTTTAATTATGTTGTAGTAAATTTTTAATGTTATGAATAAAATACTACTGTAAAATAATTCCAATACAGTAATACTGCAGCTTGTTAGTTATTACATTAATGGCATCAGAGCCTGATTTATCATGAGGCCTGAGCTACTCTTAAATGTTCCAAATACTTTTTTGCGTGTTTTTTATAGAGAATCTGAATAATTTTGAATAATTTTAAAAGCATTTTGAAAATAAACAACATGTAAATTTGGTTTAGTGTAATGACAAGTGAGGTGCAGTTCTGTGTCTCCAAATTTCTAAATCAGGCTCTGAATGGCATTTAAGTAGTGTTAAATAAGATATTTAATTTTTTTTTAAATATTTTTTATAAAAATGTGAAAATGGAAAAAAATTCACTGGCTAAACTAACAATTGGAATTTGTGCTTGTTGAAAGTTTTGCCATTATTAACCTGTTATTGTTTTCTGAAAGAATGGAAAGCCATTTATTACATATAAATATTGTAAATAATTTTAGCATTAATGTCAAGAAAGAAAAAAATTACGTATATTTTTATAGATAAATTATGTTTTTGAAATATCTAAATCAAAAGAGTTTAAAAGATTAAGTGTTATTTTAACTATTTTTTTTCTCTTCCTGGTGGCGATTGAGATTGACGTTAATTATGCATGATGTAATAATTGTTTATAAATATATCTATAAAATCTACAAGAAAAAAATATTTCTTTTTACTCAACCATGTAGTGTAAATATTGGGCATTGTTTAAAAGTGTGTTTTATAAAAAGCAGTTTCTTTAAGATCTTGTGTATTGGAAAAAATATGTTGTTTTTTCCTCCTAAATACACAATTTAAATATAATTTATAACATTTTAAATGCAGTGAATATAGACCTATACCCTAAATCTCTTTAACTCTGAAATAATTTATTCACTTGCATTATGAAAAGTATTAAAATTGTTCAAAATGGAAGCTGATTCTAGTTGCTCTAAGATTGGTGATATTTTGCTTACAGATTACTTTTTTTTTGTACTAAAATTTTGATCATTGTCCTCAAGCATGAAATTAAAATGCTATTCTTAAAACTATTTACATGGAATGCATTTCTTATCAGTTTACTATATCCAAGGCTCAAATAACTTTTATTTCACTTTTAACCATTATCTCTTAATTTGCAATTAGTAAATTACACTAGAAAATATCATTCAATCATTATTTATTTTCTAGTTAATCTCTTACAAAAATTAAGAAATTTTAAATTATTACAACTATTATCTACTTAATTTTAAAAAAAGAAATTTTTACATTATTGTTATGATTATTTTAATTAACTTTCTACATCAAATTGTATCTCAATAATCATAATTTTGTGTAACATTCATATATTCAATACTGTATGTTATATTTATTATATGTAATAAATACATTTAAAATTCAAAAGCTTATTTTTAGCATAATCTTTTCTCAAAAAAAAATCCCTACATCCTTTTTTTTTTTTTTAACTTTAAGTCAATGTCTACATTTTAATCTACTTTGAGGAATGAAAAATTTGAGCTTAAAGAATGTGAATGTAAATAATTTCAGCTTTGTTTACTCCTAGAGTGTAATCATTGCGTTGTGTACATAAATATGTACAAAATTACATTATTTTTTTGCAAGAGAAATGAAACTGTTTGTTCATTTGTTATTTTAATGTTGGACTGAATCATAATTGTCTCTTCTGCAACATTTAAGTAAAGTTTTACACCTTCAATCTGTCCTCAGATTTATTTACAATATAAAAGTCTCTGTCATTTCTCCAATTGTATTAAAAATATTTTCCAAAATATTAAAGTTATTTCTAATGATTAGTTGCAGAGGGGACAACTCATGTGGTTTTGCTACGATTCTTATTTTCATCGATGTTGAAATGTGTATCTAGCTTGATTGTAACTTATGCATTTTGTTAAAAAATTTCATTATATTTGAGGTTTCCTCATTTCAAAAAATTGTGTTCAAAAAATAAATGTGATAAACTTGTTTTGCATAGTTTTATTCGTTTTGTTAAGTACTTTGAAAGTGAAAGATAATAGGATGCTCATTAAAAGGAGAAATCACTGAAAGAAGACAAAGAACATACATTTTAATATGTACTATATTTAGATTTATAATTGTCGTTCACAATACAAAATAATTTTTTTTTAAAAGTATAGTTTAACAGTAACATCTCAACTTCATAATGTTGGCTGTGATTTTAGTTGAATGTTTAAATATATAGGGTGGAAAAGGAATATAGACTTCAATTCTTCATTATATTTTTAATATGGTTTTGCCTCATTTTTCAGAGTGTGGATCGTGCTTTATGGAAATTAAAAACTCCTATTAAGTTTAAGCACACAACTGCGAATTCGTTTTTTTTTTTTCGAAGAAATTTCGATTTTGAAATGACTGGAAGCAGAAATTTGTATAGTTCGATATTTTCAAACGATGGAAACACGTGAGCATTTTGAAAACTGATAATAACAGTTTAGATTGAATTATGAATGTTCACTGTTTATTATTATGCCCTTTTATTTCTCCCTTGTGTATCAATGATTGTATAGTAGTGAATTTCTCTCGTAAAAGCTTTAGCTTTTACCCCTTTAAAAAAATAAACCGAAATGCACTTCATCTGCTTTTTCAAGCAGCTGCTTTTACGAGTTAGTACATGGAACAAAAATATCCCCAAAATCTTTTTGAAGCTGACGATTAAATCAATAATTTAAAATCTCTTTTTCTTTTTAAAAGTGAACTTTTATCTTTGATGAATCCAAACTAAGTATTAAAGCCAAACTAAGTAAAATTAATAATAATAAGCAGGAGAAGATTTGAATAGAAAAAATAGGATAGTGGATGTACTAATCTAAATTTTTACTCAGCTATTACAAAAATTCTCTTTAATTATGCAATGAATTCAGAAAAAATTCGTACTTTGGAAAAATATTACCCCCCACAACGCTACACCTATGTCTATGCCCCTAAAAGCCAATTTTCAGTTGACTAGTTACAATCCCTTAGACGATTACTAACTAACTAATCTCCAACAATAATCCTCTCTTAAATAAACAAATTCGAGTACATTGGAACTGCTTAATCTCAGACTTTAAAGAAACTATCCTCACGGAAAATAACTTCTCCAAGCAAAGTTTTCAATTAATGTATCAGCAAAAACTAAAGACATAGCTCATAAAGACCGACTCTTAACCCACGCTTTCCGCCTTTCTGGAATAGTCAATACGTGTACCTTTCTATTAGGTAAAAAACACAAGTATTCTAGAATTGCACGCCATACTCAAAATCCAGATTTGTAGAAGCTGTATAAAAGGACCACGACCATAGCTGAGTTGCGGATGGCAATCCACACAGTCAATCGGCAATGCTGAAATGAAATATGCATTATAACTTGTCAATCTAAATCAAGCTATAAAATACTCCGCCTAATATTAAATCGCCCTGAGCCCCTTAATGCACCTTCAAACATTGAACTTCATAGTGCCTTGGCACAAGCAAACGCATTTGCAGTCTTCTTTTCTGAACCGTCTTTCGCTGGACTTCAGCAGAGCAGACCAGGAATTCTATCGACTCCTCATTTTTACAGGAACTTCACAATGTCCTCCAAACGTAAATCTACAGGTTTAGTTAAAAATCTCCTTAAAAGCACTGTGTTCTCTCTCAGTAGCAGAAAGATTGGAACTACAGAAACTTCTGGATGAGTTGAATTCTATCTGGGCTTCCGGACGAATCTCTGAGTTCTGGAAACTGGTCCACGTCATTCCAATTCATGAAGAAAGAAAACTTATGATTTATTGTTCTCTCATAGACCTATATCGTTAATAACCACTCGGAGCAAAATTCTCGAACGTATGCTTCTAAAACACATCGCTGATTTTTCGCTAAGAACGAGAGTTTTACATTACAAAATCCTCCCATTTAAAGGGATAAATTCAGTTCTCACTATCCTCCATCACGAAGTACTTCAGGCCCAGCATGAAAATAAATTTGTAATTTGCTTCTCCCTTGATATCCACGCTGCTTACGCAATGTCAACCAGGAAGCCTTGTTCCTCAAGCTCTTAAAATCCGATATTGCAGGCAGGGCTGCCCTCTTCGTCCAAAATTCCGTCAAACACAGAAAGATTGCCTTGTGATATGGAGGAATTCGCTACCTGCAAATTTTCCAATGAGCAGAAGCGTTCCATTTGGACTAGGTTCTATGATTTACATGTCCGACCATCATCTGGTTCTAGCTGGTGACGTATTATGCCTTGTCTCCGAAAGCGGGAGTGAGTACACTAACTTCACAACATAAATAGTTTTCAGCAAAATTCTACTTTCAACACGTTTCCCTCAATCAGCTTACCATCACCTACATCTCCCTCCATCACGCTTTCCACAAGGTAAAATGACTTCACTTATACCATTCTTGCCTATATGGATGACCAGAAGGAATATTTCACCATTTATCGTTATTAAATACCACCCTCTAACTCAAATTCCTTCAAAATGTTTCAATTTATCATGAGAATTTACCATTTCAAACCAAAAATTTCCTCCTGTCACAGTTTCGAGCTCTGTTTGAAGAGTTTCGCTCTCAGAATCTGTCAACTGATGTACTGATTATTCTGTCAACTAATGTATCCAAACAATCAGACAAAATTGGTTGAGGAATATAAGCCTCAAAAAGGTACACAATCTAAGGTAGACTTTCTTCGCATACATCGTTTTTTTTTTCGCCAAAGAATTATCAGGCATGAAAGTGGACAAAAATAAAAAAAAGCTGAAGTTTTACAACGTAGGTCACTGGGAGGAGGGGGGGGAGAGCTCTATATGATACTGAGGTTTATAAAAGCAACTTTTAACTATGCTGGGAGATTTGTACTTAATATTTAAAGTGGCAGAAGCATTTAGACATTTAACTTTAAATTTCTCTTAAATATAATTTTAAAATTTTGACCACTGCAATATTAAAAAAAAATTAAAAATTATAGGAAGACGCGACAATTAAATTACTTACTAATGAAAAATGTATCACATCTTTACAGTAAATTCAAGAAAAAACTTTACTTCTACTTCTTTCAAGAATCACGATATTGGATTTTAAAATCGCGTGAATATGAATCACGATATTGGATTTTAAAATCGCGTGAATATGAATCGCGCGGTTGTATTTTCAAATCGCGTGAATATGAATCGTGCGGTTGTATTTTAAAATCGCGTGAATATGAATCGTGCGGTAGGATATTTAAATCGTGTGAATATGAATCGCGATTTTGGATTTTAAAATCACGTGAATATGAATCACGCTGTTGGATTTTAAAAACACGAAAATGCAAATTACGATATTGAATTTTTAAATCGCGTAAGTAAGAATCACGTGAAAACGAATCGCAATGAGTAATTTTTAAATAGCGAACAAATACGAAAAACGATATCTGATATTACAACTGCGTGATAACGAATCGCAATATTGGATTTAAAAATGCGTGAATACGAATCGCGACGTTGGATTTTGAACTCGCGAGAATACAAATCGCGATATTGGGTTTTAAAGTTGCTTAAATACAAATCGCGATATTGAATTTTTAAATTGAGTGAATAGGAATTGCTAGTACGATTTTTAAATCGCGCAAAAAAATCACAACACGTAAGTTTTAAATCAGTTAAATACGAAAATCGATGATTGATATTAAAAATCGCGATTTTAGCAGATTCTGGTGCAGTTCCTAATATTTAAAATTCCGAAAATCAGCTAAAAAAAAAGTCAAATATCGGCGGTCGAAACTTCCACTCTATAGCAGAACTCGCGGTAATCCGAGTATCGTTCGGGCGGCTTGGGGTTTCTCTAATTGGACTCCCCAAAAATTTTAGTTTTTGGAACATGGTCAAACATTTTAAAAATTGGGAGAAAAAAGCAGATTTCCGCTTTTTCGCGGAAGTCTTTCATCCCTGTTATTTTCTTAGTCCTTGTGGAGGAATACATTTTGTGAGAAATAAGTAGACTCGCTTCTTATTATAAAATATAATATATTAAACAGCCTTGAATAATAACAATAACGTACATATTAAAAACAGGAGAATTATCAAGCACGTTCGATCCTTCTGACTGCCCCCAAAGGCAGCCGAAAATTTTTGAGAATCTCTTCTTTTTCTTGACCAAATTGCCAAATTAAGTCAGGCAGCAGGATCTTTTCATTCATTTGTGCTTCATCTTACACAGGAATTAAAGAAGAATGAACAAGCTTGCAAAACAATCGCTAATCCAAAAGTTCATTTCACATCTTTCATCACCTCAAGGCTGTAGCTAGGCCTTCTTTCAGGAAGTATTCAATAAAGAACTTCAGTGTAAGGAAGGGTAGCAAATATATCCTCTCCTTCCTTCACATTGACGGATCTTAAGATCACCCAAAATCTTGATGTACTAATTGCAATGGCTAATGTGATCTTGCACCAGTACAAACTGATACAAAGCCCAAACTGTCCGTACTGTAGAGGTGCCGATGCCGACATGAACGATCACTTTCTCCTGGAGTGTCCCTCATTCAGGAAAGATCTTTACCAAACTTGGTTTTTTTCAGAATCCAGCATTTACCGATATGTGAACTTGTCTTTCAATCCTCGGACCAAACTCCAATCTTTCTGCAAATACTACTGATCAGTAGTATTTGATCAGTAGCTCGAGCCACAAACCGCTTCTGACTTTTTACTGCAACTTTCTGCTCTGTATTGGCAATCGAAATGGGCTACAGGAGGCGTAAAGCAGAACTTTCTCCCTATGGCAATACTTCGCAGACTTTCAACATTAGCGTTGGAGAGTCATAGAAGAAGGAAGTACGTAAGTTTCTGTCTTGATTTCTTATAGACTAAGATGAAGATCTTTCAAATTAGGAAACTATGTAGAACTGAAAACTACATTAAACATAGTTCAAAAATAAAAATTTATGGAAATTTTAAAGAATATTTTTATTAATTAAAAAGAAAAAATATCGTAATACATTCCTATGCAACTGATTGTTGTTTTTGTTGTTAATTTTGCGTCGCACTAGAGCTGCACAATGGGCTATTGGCGACGGTCTGGGAAACATCCCTGAGGATGATCCGAAGACATGCCATCACAATTTTGATCCTCTGCGGAAGGGATGGCACCCCCGCTTCGGTAGCCCGACGACCTGCGCGCGAAGTCGAGCACTTTACAACAGAACAGTTTAACGAAAATCGATACCGTGCACCTTCGTTCTCTTCGCAGATCCAAGTGGTCACCCACTCACCCACTGACCGCAGCCAGTGATGCTTGACTTCGGTGATCTGCTGGGAACCGTGTCTTATCGATCAGTCCACTGCGGGACCCTATGCAACTGAAAAGAGAATGAGTGAGGGAAGGGAAAAGGGCCAAAGGGACGGAACTGGTCTTCTCTCCACAGATGGCGTATTCCATCAAGCGTTGCGATTGCTTTAACCGAATGAATAAATGAAACTACAGAGCTATAAGCTGATGCAGAGAGCTCGTAGCACTTTTCTACAATTTACAATCTACCAAACAAACGATATTTTATGGGCATGTAAAATAGTTGTTGTGACAATTATAAATAAGTAATTAATGTTTAAGATTTTAATTCTTTATTAATTCGTTAAAGCGGTTAAAAATGGCCGGTTTAGAGTTATTGGCTGATCAAGGTATTCGAATGGATGGCCGGCGTCCAGGAGAATTGCGAAAAATTGATTGTAAACTTGGAGTATCAACCAGCGCTGATGGATCAGCTTTTTTTCAACAGGGCAATACCAAAGTACTTGCTACTGTGTATGGACCTCACGAAGTAATAGCTGAATTTCATCAACTGATTATTTATTTACGATATAAATTTTTTATATTTATTATCAAATTCTTTTGTTTAGAAAAAGTATTTCATTTGCCTCATGGATACGGTTAGATAGATTAACGCCATGTCCTTAATTATGTTCTCAACTAATATTTTGGAATAGTTTTTGTTTTATTCAAATTTGATCCTCAGAACGTAGTTACCAAATTATAAGGTTGTTTAATCTACTTACAATCTTGAAATTTAAATTTTGTTAACTATGTTTCTTAAAATATATTTATTTCAATGAAATGCCTTGGGATTATTTCTTATCATGGGGCATCCCATTTCTAGGGTAAATAATTATCCATTACCTATTTTTTTTATTAAGGAACTTTTCATGAAATTTAAAATTTGAGCAGAAATTTTTATTTACCTAATTCCTATATTTATTCAATTGAAACTCGCTATTAAGTTTATAAAATTAAGCATTTTTTAACTTCTGTTACTTGCTATCTCTCTTAGTAATTAATATTTTGTTTAGCTTTGTTTAATTTAAAAATTACATTAGCTTTAGATTGGTTGTTTCACATTTTTTTAAACATTAAAAGTACCTAATTACAATGGAATGGTGATTCTGCTGGTTTTTGAAAACTACCGGTTATTAGGACTAACCAATTACTACTAAGTTTTTTATTAGCAAAAGCAAACTGAAAATAGTATAAATGCTCTTTTTAAAGATGTACACAAAAAGTTGATTTTTTATGCTTTTATTTTTTTAAAGTTGTTAATTTCACTAGAAGGACAGGGCTACTTCACAGAAAGTAAACTGAAATTTCCAACTCAACTTGCTTTCTTTGTGGCAGAATTTTTTCGAGCTTTCTGCCACAATTCTCTACCTTTCTGAGAGACATTTTTAATCGTACCAGATAATTATGTTACTAATTTAAAGTAACAGAAGCGCTTTCTGTTTACAAAAAAAGCATTCATGTATAGCAGAGAACAGTATAGAATTTTTTTTCCTTCTAAATCTAAATATAAAAGAACTACGTATTCTAATATTATTGGTGATATTCTCCTGCTCTAAAGAATATTTGTATAGTTAACCAGGGGTCTGTCCAAGCCAAATTTACTACCGTTTAGCGGTACCTTCACGAATTCAACTTTAGGAAGAACGGTAGTTTCACAAAATACTTTTTCTTAAAATTAATTAAGATTAAAATTAATTAATTAATCTTTCTTAAAATTAAATAATTTGTGAAAATTGATTTTTAATTTTCACAAGTTATGTATAAATTAAAATAGGTACCTCTCAGAAAAACCTAGACAGACCCCTGTTAACCTTTTTTAAATTTTTGTTATTTGGAAATTACATTTTATATCAATCTGAAATTCTAGCTAAAGCCAATCATTGGAGAATTTTTTTTTTTTTCTCAAAAGAAAAAAAAATCACTAGCGTTTTTTTCTAGCTGTATTTCCAGGGTGCGTAGCGTTTATAAAAAGTACTTAAAGGTGCTTTTTTGGGGATTTCGTTTTTAAAAGCTTTTAAAGGTGCTTTTTTCAGCTGTCGTTTTTAAAAAGTGCTTTTTTTCCGTGTAATTTTTCCCCCCCCTTCAGTGATATCTGGTGGATCCCATGCATTTCCCGAAAAATGGGGAGTTTGCTACGTAATCATTCACGCGGACTTCATGTCGTACCCACGTTATGACTTGCGCATGCGCGCACACTTGAAACCGAAACCCGAGTGCTCCAATTCGGATAGAGAATATCAGATCCTTATGAAATGTTTTTCTTTTTAATTTATTTTAATTTTGTTCTTGTTTATTTTATTTTACTTCTAACACTTTTTTTGACGTAGGGGGTAAGGGTACTTTTGTTCTGAGTTCAGGGTCAAGTTGAATTCACTCGGTGATGTGGGAAAGTACTGATTGTTTCGATTTACGCCCGTTTCTTTTTGGTTTTTTTTTTAACGCTAAAACTGTTTATAAAAAGTTTTTGTTTTTCAATAATATCATTGATTGAATATGAATTTTTTGAGTGCTTGAAAATTTTTGTAAAGTGCTTAAAAAGTTTTTAAAAAGTGCTTATTTTTGATTCAAAGATTTGGCTACGCACCCTGATTTCGAATACTATGGCGATGCAATATTATCTTGTTCTTAATATGTTCCAGAACACTGTCACAAATACACACATGGAAGTGAATGAGAAAATGCTCTGGCTTGTCGACTGAGAAGGGAGAGTGTTTCAGGCTTGCATGTTCAGCCCCTTTCCAAATTATTAGATGCACTATAATATTCTATGCAAAATCGTAATTATCAGGTTATACTATACAGCTTTATTAGTTTTACGTGGCTGAAACCGGTTTGCACTTGTTTACGTCCCTGTATTAATCGGTTAACATTGTAATGTAATACGTTAAAAATAAATGCAAATAGGAAGTGTATGAAAAATCTTCTGAATAATAACCCCATCACATGTATGTTTAAATATAAAAGTACTGCATATGAGCTCATGAAAAACATGCAATTATTAAAGCACTACAGTGAGTCTAATAATTTGGTCTCATTATTATAATATAGTACTAATATAATACGTAATATTTTAAATACTCTATATTTATATAATATATCGTTTAATTTATTCTATCGTCGAATTTATATTACCGTATATTCCGGCGTATAACGCGCACTTTTAATACAAGAATTAACATTGGAATTTACAGGTGCACGGTATGCGCTGAATATAAAAAATTATAGATTAAAAAATTTAAATATAGAAAAATACTTTTATTTTAAAGAAATAACATACCTTTACCTATATACTTTATTGATTTTCGTTATTACATAAATAGTTCATTACATTCGTCTTCCGTTATTTCTTCGGGCACGTCATCACAATCTGTGTTACCCTCATCCATAAATAAACAGTCATCTTATGATCCGTCCAGATTATTTGAAATGATGCATTTTTTGAATGATTTTCTAACCATCTCAGGCTTCATTTCATCCCATACTTTTAATATCCATTCGCACACTGTTTCCAAACTTGCATGACGCATATGTCCTCCTTTCGTAAAGGTTTTCTCGCCCTCCCACATCCAAGTGTTCCACTGTTTTTTAAAATTGGCTTTAAATGGTTTGTTTAAGCAGATGTCCAATGGCTGAACTAATGGTGTCAATCCGCCCGGAATTACTGCCATATCGGTGTTACAATCCTTCAACAATTTTTTTGTACTATCTGTAAGGTGGGACCGAAACATGTCCCACAATAAAAGGCTTTCTGGTTTTCTATTGATACTAGACGAGATATTGCACATGTACAATCCAAATTCGTGCGCGTTATACGAAGAGTATATCTTAAAATTTAAAAAAAGTTATTAGAAATTACGGGTGCACGTTATATGCCGGAATATACGGTATGTATGGTCTAGTTTAACCAATTGATACACAAACATAAACAAGTGAAACCGGTTTCAGTCGAGTAAAAGCAATAAAGCTGTATAGTATCACCTGATAATTAAAATTTTGCGTCTTATAGTGTGTCTAATAATTTGGCCAGGGACTGTATATTTGGCACGGAAAGGGTTCAATGATTTCAACTAATTTATACAATACTCTTTAAAAATGATTAATTCATGATTTTAACTTTAGGTGACTGTTCGTAAAGGAAAGGCAGCCACTGATCATGCTATCATAAACTGCCAATATAGAACGGCTCCTTTTAGTACATCCACAAGAAATAAAGTGTCACGTAATGATAGAAGATGTTTAGAAATGTCTATTATATTGAGACAAGCATTTGAAGCTGCTGTGTTGACATCTACGTACCCTGGCTCACAAATTGATATATTTTTCTTGGTAAGAAAATTTTAAAATGTTTTTGACTACTAGAATTGCATATGCGTAGCTGCCAACATGAATAGGAAATAATCGAGTAGATTTTACATATAAATTTCTTGATGATTGTTGCACTGAAATGTTTTGACAGATGGTGATATTTGACTAAATAAGGGTTATTATTTTTCCCTTACAACCTTATCATCAGTCCTGTGGCAGAATTTTTTCAAGCTTTCTACAACAACCTCTCTCTAGCACTAATATCTTTTTTCTGCAAGATTCTTTAAATAATAACAAATACACATGTTACTAATTGAAAGAAACAGAAACATTGTGTTTACAATATATATATGTTATTTAATTTTATTTGGATAGGGTTTTTTAATTGAATCTGTAATACTCTTTGGTAAGGGGAAAAGGTAAAAACAAGCTAATTATTTCCTTTTACGCATTTTGTAAAAATCAACCCATTAAAAAAATCAAAATCCTAAAACAGTAACTACCGAAAAAAAGATAAATTGCGAAATCTCGCAAATCAGATATTTCGAAAAAGGGATACTAAATGCTTATTTTGTTTCCAGATTCGGTTGTTGTAATGAATAATATCGTATTAAAAATTATGTGGGTGTCAATGGCAATAACTGCTAAAGAAAATCGATAGAATCATTGCGCTAATAATTAAGTATTCAATTGCATGATTCGAATTTCCCATATTGTCAGAAATATATCAGGATGTTTAAAAACCACATGAAAATTAATATCACTAACTGCCGAAAATTCAATCGAAATACTACATGGGTTCGCAATATTATCGGCATGAAAAGAGCATGCTGAAAAGTGATTATTTAAATGCCCAATTCAAAATTTGTGTAGAAATAATATTGTTACGGTGGTTTACAGACTTGCTAGTACTGGTGATGAAATTGTCCTATTAAAGGTAAATAATCAAATATATGATTTTAATTTCTTGTGTAGAAAAGAAAAAAATGTTTTTTTTTTAAAGTGAAAATTCGTAGCTATAACTAACTGTTCAAAGATCAATTAAAACACTGCAAAGATTAACGAGGATATTAGTGCAAGTACGCTTAAGAGTGTTTTCTTGAATCTGCAATTCGAATTTCCCGTGCCATAATAATATTGGTATATTTTTTTAAAGACGCGGGTTTTGGGTGATAAAGTGAACACTCAAATGCTCAAACTAAAATTTTCATGTGCGTAATATATTAAAATTATCAACACCAACAACAAAAGAACATTTGAAACTTTCTGCAGAGTTGAAAACCAAAATTTTTTACTTCATTATTCTCAAATGAGAATAGAAAAATCAGGACCATTCCTTCCCCTCCGATACAAGAGTATGGCATCTTTTGAACATAATTTTGGAGAAAAAAAAATGTTCAGAAAATTTCTGCAGAAAAGAAACTCTGTGCATGCTTAAGCTGACTTTTGCTGGTACTGTAAGTGAAACATAATTACATTCTCACGGGTCTTCACAAAACCTGCTTGCTCATTCACTGGTCCTTAACGGTTACCAACCTACTATTCTTTCATTTATTTACATTGCTTCATTGAGTGAGAAAGAAATATCAGTAGCTTTTATTATTTAAAAAAAAATTTTAAACTTTAGCAACTACATTTTATTTTTCTGACTTTGAGGTATAACATTTTCATTTGCAGGTATTATATTCCGATGGAGGTAATCTTAGTGCTTGTATCAATGCTGGTACTCTTGCTCTCATCAATGCAGCCATTCCACTGAAAGACTATCTCTGTGCATGCTGTTCTGGCTTTGTCAATGAAACTCCTCTGAAGGACATCAATCATTATGAAAGTATTTTAGGTGGAACTGAATTGAATCTCGCTATGCTTAGGAAATCTGAAATGATTGTGTGTGATGAACTGACAGCTAGGATCCACAGAGATCACTTGGGAAAAATTCGTAAAATGGCCATGCAAGGCTGTCATGACATTAGTGCAATCCTAGATGCTGCTATAAAAAAACATTTGGCACTTGTGAAGATAACTTAGTTATTTTGCTTACAATAAAAGCTGTTCTTTTATTTGATTACATTCTTTCTTTTGTAGTCAGACTATAATACTAGTCATGTACTGTATAATCATGACATTTATGCCACTGTAAAAAAACACATGGATCTTAATTTTTTTTTATTACAATAAAAGTTATTCTTACATTCCTTTCTTTATAGTCAAGCGAAAGCACTTGTACATAACCATGTACAGTTGAATCTTCTTTCATCCAGATACCCATGTTAGCCATAATAGTAGATAAAGTGAGTGTTAAAGAATGTTTTGTTCAAGAATAAAACTACTGAACATGTGGATCCTCCAAAGGGGACATTTTTTACTTTCCGTTTCTCCTTGTTATTTCAATAGAAAAAAAAATCAACAACATTAAAAAAACACAAAATATGAATCTTGTTCCAAAGGGCATTTTGGTCAAAAGAGAAAGGTCACACAACGAAAGGGACTCTTAACATGTGAATCCTTCAAAGGGAACATTTTTTACTTTCCGCTTCTCCTTATTGCAATAGAAAAAAATCAACAACATTAAAAAAACACAAAATATGAATCTTGTTCCAAAGGGAATTTTGGCCAAAAGAGAAAGGTCACACAACGAAAGGGACTCTCGTATTTGGGATAAGAAGAGATTGGTAAATTATACAGCTCTATGTTAAAATTTATCACTTTTTACTGTCCCTAGAATTAATGAGTCTGTTGAGTGACCCTTTAAATATTACCCTTACTATGAATTCTATAATGTAAATATACATATTATAGTTATTTTAATTACAATTAACCAAAACAAAATTAAATAATTGCAATTTTTATGCGAATTAGAGGAACGAGACCACCTAATTTTAATGCCCATGTCTACGGAAGTGACTAAGAATCCTGAATTCTGTTCAGTCAGAAGGCGTGTCTACAAAAACAAAGGTCCAAAGTTGGGTCCTGCAGTATATAAGCTGATAATAGTTTTAAATTTTCGATTTTAAAAGACAATGAACAATTAATGGGATGTGTAGGGTAGGAATTTAAAAATATACACGTTATACATAACGACCTATATATTAGCAAAATATTAACTTCTAACTTTATCAAATACATTAATCCACATCTGATACATCAAGTGTCACAAAATTATAGACGAATTAGAAGAGGCTCATCACACTTTGTCATAAAAACAATATTTCCCTTATAATAAAGTGTTGCATTTGTAAAAATAACTTCTTCGATTTTTCGTCATGTTTCAGACGAAAATTGTTGCTCATATATTGTATACATGTAATGCCCCATATTTTCCTTTAATATCAACCTATTATGAAATTTGGTCAGATAAAATACTGTAACATAATATACTACCATACCAATGAAAATAATTCTAGACAAATTTGGGGGCACACAATAGGGCATGATGTAGTTACATTGACAAACAGCAAAAATAACTTAAAAAACTTGTAATAAGTCTGACATCAAGGTGAACCAGTAGGGTTGAATGATATAAAGCAACAAATAGCCAGTCACAAGGGTCCGTAGTTGGAATTGCAGAGGCGGCCAATTTTTAAAAATAATAAAAAGAAAAGTTTGTTTTTTTTTTTAGATCCTTTTTTTACAATATTGTAACATAAATAAAATATTCCTTTACTAATTTTATTTATTTATTGTCACTGCGTTTACAATAATAGCGTTGAAATTAGAATATTGTTGCTCATATACTGTATATATATAATGCCAAATCAAAATTACCATGATTTTGAAACTCAGATATTGTTCTGTAACTCCACCATGTACTACCATACCAAAGCAAATAATTAAAAACAAATCAGGATGCACACAATGGGGCATAATAAGGTTTCCTCGCAAACCGCAGAAATTACTTAAAAAGCTTATTCAATATCTTAAACCCACGTCAATATGTTGGGTTAAGTGGTATGAAGCAACAAATTACTAGACCTAAGGGTATGTGGTTGGAATCTCAACGACGGCCAGTTTTTTAAAATTATATTTGAGAAAAATAATTTTTTTATTAGAAATTTTACAATATTGTACACAAATAAAATATTCCTTTGCTTAACGTAATTAGGAATTTTGGATCATATACTGTATATACAGAATGCCCCATATTTCTCCTAATATTAACCTATTATTTTGAAACTCAGTTACATATTATATTGTAATATTAGTTATGGAGTTATTAAGATTGAGTCCTAAGAATCTAATCATTAGATCAAAAGTTATTCAGGGTGTTCCCTTTTTGTTTTGTACATTGTGATATAAAAAAAATAGTAAAAACAAGCATTTTAAATAGTAATTCGCAAATTTTTAATCGAAAGTTTAAATTGTTCTTTGCAATATACAAAGGGGCCGCGCAAAAAGTACGTACATCCCGAAGGGGGGGAGGGGATTTGCTATTTTGTACGGTTTTGTATGATGGGGAGGTATTATACAAAGTACATACATAAAGTTGGGTGTTATTGTTTAAATAATTTAAATGAATAAATTATATTAAATAAATATTTAATTTTATTTAAAACATAATTATTTTAATTTTTATGAAAAAGGGGGGTAGACCAGTGGTTCCCAACCTTTTGTGGACCATCGCCCCCCTCTTGGGGTTGGCTGACACATATCGCCCCTTTTTCTTTTTGCTCAAAAAGCTATTCATTGTTGCTTGTGAGCAACCAAACACTGAAAATATGCTATGTTATTTGATTTTAATTTGAAGTGTAATGCAAATAAGGAGGCACATTTATCCTGTCATTTTTATTAATTGAAAAAAAAATAGTGCATTTTTTTTAAAAAAAAAAATGATATTTAAAACGGAATAATCAAAACCCAAGTAAATTTTTTTTAAATTCATATTTTAATGTAATCAAGAAAAAGTTAAAACGTTAACAACTAAAATTTGAGAAAAAAAAATGAGGGAGAAAGTACATTTCTACCACTTCAATGACTGCCCTGTGCTTGGTGTATTTCAAGTTAAAGCTTGGATGTCAGGTTTTATGCTCGTCAGATTTAAACGCAGGTCTCCTTTGAAGCAAATGTCCAACCTATCTCTTTGCTTTGTGAGCAGCTGGAAGACAGAACTAAATCCTCTCTCCACTAAATATGTTGACGGGAACGAGATGAGAAGCGGCTCAGTTTGTTTCCACAATTGTGGATAAGTATCCATAAGCTTTACCCAAGCTAACTCGTAACCGTATTTTTTAAAGACGACTTTAGCCTCACAGTCATACTTCAAATCTAAAATCTTAGTCTACAAAGAGGAAGTGAGCTTATCCACAACTTTAAAAGAGAAAGGATCGAAAATCCAATCCGGAATTTCTAATTTCATCAAATCTTTAAATCTTGATTCCATAACTGATCAAGGTGATCAGTAAAAATTAAGATTTTATTTTCGAGAATCTCGATATCTGCCATTGAACACTTTTTAAGAGTTGGAAATTGCATTAGCTCTTTGCGACCAATGTTTGACTTGTAGATATCAAACTTGGCGATGAATGAAGATAATTCCCATAGCCTTGATAATGTTCATTTTATTTCCTTGAAGTTTTACTTGGATTTCGTTCATTTTTTCGAAAATATCTGTGAGGTACGCAGTTTCCAACTTGCGTTGCTTCAAACTCTCACTTAAAACAGGATCAGTGGTGTCGAGAAACTCAGTAACCGAATCCAGCAGCTCGAAGAAACGGCTCAGTTTCCTTTTGAAAGTCATCTCACAGCTGTATGTAGGAGCAGGTATTCGAAATCTTCATCATTTTCATGGCAAAGTTCTCGGAACAATCGGTTATTAGGAGAATTAGCTTTTATTTTATTGATGCCATAAATAACCAATTTTTTGCATCCAAAAGTTGACGATGAATGACATAATGAATGGTGAGATAACTTCCTATACTTCTTTTTTAAGGTGACCCAGAAACCCAGTATGACAACCAGACATGGTTGGAGCACCATCTGTTGCACAAGCCCTTACATTTGTGAGGGGAATTTCTTTTACCTGGAAATAATCTTTGACTAATTTAAAAATCGACGATCCTTTTGTATCTGTGGTCAAAGTTCTTGTAAACAACATTTCCTCGTTAATCTCCTTACTCTCATTTATGAATCTCACGTAAGCTAAAACAGCTTTGTTATCTATCACAGTTGATTCATCAATCTGCAACGCAAATTTACCTTCTTTCAGAAATTTGAGTTTTGATTCAACGTCGGCAGCCATCTCATCAATACGCCTGGAAACAGTATTATTGTTCAGAGGAACAAAGTGACTTATCAGATTTCCGCCTGCGATACCAAAACGTATGACGAAAACGATCCTGCACTTGAATTTTTTTTAAATTTTTAACTATCATAATTCTTTGTCTACACCAGAACCATAGGTCTCATATACATTTTCAATTTCAATCTCAAATAGCTTTTATTATTAATATTATAAGCAATTTTTATCTTTTGAATACTCGTCGCCCCCCTTGAGAAGCTCTATCGCCCCCAGGTTGGGAACCACTGGGGTAGACTAATAAAATTTACCTACTCTAAGGGGGGGAGGGGGTTTAAATTTCTCCATTTTTGTGTGCGTACTTTTTGAACGGCCCCAAATTAAACAATAGCGTTGAGCGTTTTAATATTTTAGAAAATTCATGAACGAAAGCAAAAATCTTTCTTTTTTAAAATGCAAGGAGAGTGTGCAAGGAGACTCATAAATAACGCATTTAATATTTTTCTCTAACCACTGGTGTTTTTTTTTTTTTTTTTGAATGAAAACAAGTTAACTAAAATTGGCAATTTGTTATACTTTTATTAGCAATTGTCATAATCAGTTGTAATTATTTGTATTGAATTTTATGATTAATTTATTTATAATATCAGGAGATATTATTATTTTTATTTTTTTGTCTTGATCAGAATAGATATAGTCCGAAGCTTTTTAAATATTTATTATTTTGCTGTTTAGAAAAAACAATTATTTTTCCAAATAACAGCTTTTTTTAGTTTACTTTTTAATAATGAGTGATATGTATTTCTATATTGTAGTTTTATCCTTTTTAAAAATCATCATGTTTAAAAAACATCAAAATTTAACAGTACTTCATTAAATCAGTTAAGTTGTTTTTACTTTAGTTTCATCTGAAATAATAGTGAATAACATAAGTATTTTGTAATAACTTTATATTTCAAATCAACAACAATTTTAAATATGCATGCAAAATTATTAAAAACTAAAATTGTTATAGTTTTTTTATTGAAAATTTTTGATAATATATAATACAATCTTAGCAAGATGATTACATTCTTCAAATAATGCTTTAATTTTGCATTTTAAAAAATAGAAATATAAATTTTTTTTATAGGGCACTAAATCAAAATTTGCCATTCCTTTTCCATAGCAATTTTAACAGACAACTGTGTATAAAAATACAATTAAGGGTCCCCTTCAGATAGGAAAGAGATTCTATTTACTCCATGTTATCCTATGGATAATTATAGTAATGCTTGTATAATTAACATACTTATATAATTAATTACTATTGCATTTTTTCCATATCATTCATTAATCCTAGCTGAAATGGTTTTTATGAAAGCTTTCTCAATTAAAATTTAAAAAGATTTAAAACTTTAAAAATTTGGTTTCAATGAAACATATTTCAATGAATAAAATTAAATCTTAATAAGATACTTAAGAAATTATAATTTCATGCCTTTTTCTGTCTGAAGAGAATTCTTATATTCATTTTATAATATAGCTCTAGAACTAATTATTCTTAATGTAAAGGAAGAAAAGTGGCAATTTTCCACAGTTATGTGAAGATTTTTAAAAAGTGCAGCTCACTCTCAATACTTCTGATAAGTTACTTATATCTAATAAGTACTTCTTATAAATATACATTAAAATGTTCTTCTTTTTTATAGACATCATTTTGCATATACATTCACACATAACTTTTACATCATATCTTGTACATAATACATCATACCTTATCATCAGAGTAAAATCACCGTCCTTAAAAAAATAATGATTTTACATTTGAAACAAGTTATTAGCAAATGTATTTTTCTATAAGAGATTATATGGTTAGAATTCATATTTGATACTTCTATAATGAATTGTAATTATAACTAATAATAAAATTTTGAATTTTTTTACCACGATTATGTGTGTTATAAGTGTCAGACATAAAAAAATTTATAAAAATCCCATTCGATAAAATAGAACAAATTGAAAACTCACTATCAAAACATATCTTACAAATTCAAATTAAACATTGTAACATATGTTAAATGCAGGGTTTGTGATTAAAAAAATAATAATAACAAAAACTTTAGCTTGAGTTTTAAAAAATATTGAAAGAAATTTAGTTTATATTAAGTTAAAATAATAATACATTTTAAACTATGTATTAGTTACTATCTAAAAAAAAATTTAATAAATAAAAAAAAACATATAGGAACAGGCTATCTGAATTTTTCTTTTAGCAGCTGTTTTACTCAACATTGGAATTACCTTTTAATACTGTAAATACTTTTAAGATTCAGAAATATATTTGCAATACAAAAATAAAATGTGGTTTTAAAGACTATTTAAAACCAAGAATTGGTAGAAGTTTCATTACCATCATGTTTTTTGCAAAGATACCCATTTTCAGTAAGTACTTTTTAAAGATAAATTAAAAAAAAAAAAAAACATTAAATTTTCAATTTATTATTTAGACTGCATCCTGAAAACCCCCAAAAAGTTATAAAATATTTCAAAAGCATTGTAATTTATTTAATACCAAATATTAATGATTTTTAAGAAAAAAAGATTGATGTAAATCGATGAGCGCTGGTTAAAACATAAGTTTTGGGGCTATCAAATTTTTTAAATGATTTGTAAATGACAAAAAAAAAACAAATAAAATGTATTGATTTTTCAGAATTATCAGAGAGAATTTATAAATAATACGGTGAATCAATGAAACAAATATAAAAATGAAACATTTTAAAATATCATAACATGACAACATATACAAGAGGTGAACGAAAATTAACAATATGATGTTTATTAATAAAGGCTAGTTATGTATAATGTTTTTAATATATGTCTGGCGAGTTCGTATTTCTGTTTATATTTCTGGACATTTCATAAGTCTTTTTGGCAGCAACAACTTTGTTCATTTTGTGTATATTTGCAGTTTGTGGAGTTGCACTGGAACTAGTTATCTGAAAGTAGAATAAAATTATCAATTTAATAAAATTGGAAGTTCCTACTTAAATATTAAATCGATCGAAGAAAAAATAGTTATTAATTTAATTTTTTCCCCGTCTGTAAGTTAGCTTAGAATTGTTAAATAATTTATAATGTGTTTTAGAACATTCAGAATTAGATCAGAAGGTTTTCATAATACAAACCTGGAAACACGAAGCTTTGCATTATTTATATAGATCATTTCACATATAATTAAATACACCATTATCATCTACGAAATATGACAATATATATTTGGAATACATCAATATTATGTGCTTTAAAATAATTTTTAAATACAAATAGAGTTTAAAAAGCAAAAATCTACACTAAAGTATTTTTTATTTACAGAAAAAGAAATATCATTATCAAGAGAGCATTATTATTAAAAACCATATATTTGCTGGTTTGCTTTAGAAATTATAAAATTCATGTAGAATTGCGTTAGATAGATTTTTCAATGCTATAATTTTTAAATAGACTTCATATTAAAAATGTTATTATGGTGCCTAATGACAGTCACACACTTTTCTGGGAGCTGATAAGGGGGACACTGACAGAAGTAAAATTTGTTTATAACAAGGTGCATAGCCCAATCTCTCAACAAAAAATAAGCACCTTTTCTCAACAAAAAATAAGCACCTTTTAAACACTCAAAAAATATTTTTAAGCACTATATATAATAACAAAATGCAAAATAATTTTCAGAAAATTTACATAATCATCATTAAATAACTAGTTTTTAACAAAGAACTCTTTTCTTGATTATATTAGCCACCATAAAAAGATCGAGAGATTTTTTTGGTCCGATTTCAGAGGGTGGAAAATGAAGACTGAAATTGAGAATATCTTAAAAAATGCAGTAGGGTTGCACATGAGAGTGTAAGAATCTCACTGAACCCAGCTCAGTAGACACATATGCAGACTGCCAAGTATTTAATCAAATATGTAATATGATTGGCGTTATCATACATCAAGGACCAACTGTACGCCAAAATTGATTGTGGTTGAATGAACTGTGAAAACGTTGAATAAAACAATGTGAAAACCACGCTTTTACATGATACACAGCAAAAATCGACATGGTACAGAAGAAAAAATCTAATTTTCCAAAAGGTAAAATTAAGCTCTTAAAAAATAAAAAACCCTTTAAGGTCTTTTAAAAACGCTACACACCATATTAAGAGTAAAATGTTTCAAAGTTTTGATAAATGCAATTTATATTTACAAATTACATCAGCATTAAAAAAAAAAAAAAAAACTAACTTCTTTGTGTAAATATATTGTTGTAGTTGTAGACTGTTGAACAACTCCTCTTGCAACAACTTGTTCGGGAGTTGCTTCTTTTTCTTCTGCCACCTAAAATAGAAATGCAATTAAATTAAAAAGTCGAGTTGCATCCACCAATGAGGTTTTGTCAGTAAGAAAACGCATAGCAATCATTGAATGTGTTTTGAATAATTTATCAACATGTATTGTAAATAAAATATCTACAAGAAAATGTTTGACCCAGATTAAATCATCCCATTTTACGCATATGAAGAGCCAATATGTTTAATTAACTCACCCACAAATTGAATCAAAGTCTAACTAAAAAAGAATTGGGGAAAGGAAACAAATCTTTAAAGCGTTCACAGACACAAAATGAAATTTTAAATTTGATGTTCATTGAAGATGAAATTTTAGAGGACATTTCTTTGCAAAAATAAAGTGTTGTTGTTGTGTCCAATCATTCAGGATCTAGCGACAGCTAGATCAAATCCATGAGACCGTGAACTCTAGTAAAGTCAAGCACCAGAAGTGGGCTATCACGGATATCCTTAAGAGAGAGCCCCAAGCAATCGAGCATCAGATTGCACGTTGGGAAGACTTTGCGGCCACATTCAAAGGTCATGCCTTTTAGGTGCCCACTGATAAGTCTTGAGGCGGCCGTTTGAGCATATCTGTCAGCCTCAAGATCCAATGCACATCCTGGTCTTTCACTACAGAACCAGGGATGGGCAGGAGGGGAGAGCCAGACCTGCCGGTCTCTAATTTTCGTCATTGAGAAAATCTCTTGAAAAGTGAGGTCATAGTCGGTAGTTGCCATCTCAGCGCAGCCTCTTTTAGCCAAGATATCCGCAACTTCGTTTTCAGGGAAGTTGACGTGAGGGGATCCACTAAAAGTGGACCTCCCTACGATTTGCAAGAATTTTGAGCATATTGATTATTTGAATGCTTACGAGGTCTTTTACTCGACTCCAGTCCTGTAGATGTTGAATCGAGCTGTGGCTATCTATGAGAGTCTAAATATCGCTAGAGTCAGGAGTGGAGGATGGTTTTTAAACCCTCCTCAATAGCTATCAAATAGCTCCTAAGTACCGAGCAGTTATATGGGTTTCGTCTAGAGAGTCGAACAGAAATATTCTCGATATAAATACCGCTCCCAGTGTGATTTGACTCGTCTTTACTGCCAACTGTATAATATACAATAATTACAAAATTAAGTGAAATCATGAATCGGTACTAAATATGCAGAGTATCTTAATATAGGCAGGTTTATAACATGTTTTTTTCCTGCACATTTAATAAAATAGCAAAGGGTTATCCCAGATTAAACCTTCCAATATATATATACACTGACTGAGCAAAACTCATGGGATAGCAGGGCTCTGATTTGTGGATGGACAGCACGTGTGACCAACGCCACCTGGTGGCATCTGCGACAGTCTCAGTTGTGTGTTAGTCATTGCTTGAAGTGGCTGTGTGAGTGATCAGGTAAAATGCAGCGTCGTCGTGAGTTGACGGCATTCAAACGCGGCATGGTTGTGGGTGCCCGACGCATGGGACATTCCATTTCGGAAGTGATTCAGGAATTCGGCTTCCCAAGGTCAACCATGTCGAGAGTTTACCGAGAATGGGTGAATGAGGGTGTCACAGTCCACAACAGACACCATACCAGGCGTCCACAGGCCCTAAATGACCGAGACAGGCAAAACCTGAGACGAGTGGTAACTCGAGATAGGAGAGCAAGTGTGCAACAAATCACGTATGAATTCAACACTGGCCGCGATAGAGACGTGTCCCAGTGGACAATCCGTCGGAACATGCATGTTCTCGGGTATGAGAGCCGTCACCCCACACGTGTGCTACTGCTAACGCAGCATCATCGGACATCGGACAAACGTGATCTGGTCTGATGAATCACGTTATCAACTGTTCCATGCTGATGGGAGACACCATGTGTGGCGCACACTACACGAAGCGATGGATCCAGCATGTCGAGTGGACACAGTCCAGGCCGGTGGCCTATCAGTCATGGTGTGGGGTGCATTTTCGTGGCATGGAATGGACCCCCTGGTCGTTCTGGATGCCACATTGACTGGTCAGCGGTATCTTCAGCTGCTTGGAGACCATCTCCACCCTTTTGTCATGTTTCAACACCCTGATGACATTGCTGTGTATCAAGATGACAATGCAGCCCCACATCCCGCCAATATCGTCCGTGCCTGGTTCGACGAGCATGCAGGTGAAATCCAACGACTGAATTGGCCACCTCGAAGTCCTGATACGAACCCCATTGAACATATCTGGGATGCCCTCGACGTTAGGCTCAGGGCATTGAATCCTCAACCACCTCATTGGGGTATCATCGTTCGTAGTTCTTTGAATGACCATTATCCAGGAAGACGGATTGGGCGAGGAGGTTCAATTCCTTGGCTACCCAGATCACCTGATATAACGCCGCTGGACTTTTTTTGGGGGGGGATTTATAAAGGACAATGTTTACAGGAGAATCGTATGGAACATTTATGACTCAACAGCCAGAATTACAACCGCAATAGCCTCTGTGGTTGCCAACATGCTTGCCGCTACCTGGCATGAAATTGACTATCTACTTGATATTCTCCATGCGACGAAGGGGGCACATGTGGAAGTTCATTGACAAGGTTCATGAAACTTGTTGAGTCTATCTAACCATTTATGTTATTAATTTTAATCTATCTTTATTATTTTATGAGTTATTGAACATCAAAATGGGTCCGCGACTTTATAAACACTCTGTATAATAATACAATAAAAAAACAATTAAAGGAGGACTCAAAAACAGGCTAACAGAAACAAAATAAAAAGGACTTCAATTTGAAGATAAATTAGTATGTCATATAATTAAAAAATTGTAAGTTAGTAATAAGCACGATTACAAAATTAAATTCAAAAATTTTTAAAAAGTCATTTGTAAAAGGCATTTCATAAAAGATATTAATTAGCCCTGTGGCAGAATTTTTTCGAGCTTTCTGTGACAATTCACTCTTGTACTAATACCTATCAGAAAATAATTTTTAATAGTAGCAAATATATATATATAAATGTATGTATGTATAACTACTAATAAACTAATTTAAAGTAACAGAGGCATTTCCTGTTTAATAAAAAAAAAAAAAATTAAAAACCCATTCAACTACAGAATAGAACAGTATATAATTTTTTTAATCATAAATGCAAGAATTTTTATTTTTAACATACACATAAAAAAATACATATTCTGATATTAATGGCGATATTCCCCTGTTCTAAAAAATTTTTTGTGCAGTTAACTTTTAAAAATTTTTTTGATTTGGAAATTACTTTCTAAAATATCAGTCATTGAGGAATTTTTTTTTCTATTCTCAAAACAAAATTTTTTAAAAAAAATCATGAGCATTTCTTCCATTTTTGATATGTGAGAAAGGCATTTTTTGAAAATAATTCTGCAGAAAATTTAAAAAAAAAACTCAGCAGAAAAAAAAAATCTTTCCAAAATTTCTGCAGATGAAAAAATTAATCTTTTTTGCTTCAGAAATTAAAATTCTTTCTGCAAGAATTCGGTAATATTTGGCGACAATGTCACCGTGTGGCCACAATTCTGCCACAGGGATTAACATCAAGGCTGAAACTAGACTAGAATAGAAAATAATTCATCTGGACTGAGCCAATTAAACGTGAGCAAGGCTCGTGTTTAACAAAAAGTTGGGGATACTTCCATTTTAGTCTGTGTTCCTATCACTACTATCACTAAGGCACCAAAAGGTTTTTATATACAGAAAATGTAAGAAAGAAATAATAAGTTGTTTGCCCAAAGGTGGCTATGAATTATAGTTACTCTTCAAGTGATGTGCTTTTCAGTTTTGAGCCGTTGACCTACTGTTTTCTAGATTTAGAGACATATTTGATGCAGGTACCAATACCAAAATCTTCCAAACAATACAAAGTTTTTCATTCACAGGGAGGGGATTTTGTGGTGATTACTATAAAAATTCACAGTACTAGAGGTGTATACTTTTTCCATTGCTATTTGAGTATCTGGATGTAGATCATAAGGGGGGATTTCTGGGCTGATAAAAATAGTTTTCTCAAACCTCTTCAAACCGTCAGCACCTACTATTTAGATCAACCCTTTCACAGTGCTCAATACAAAAAGTCTCTTCTTATTCCATTGATACAATAACATTTTTATGCATTTTAAAAATGAGGGGATATTTCCATATCGTGATCTGTCATGCCAATTGCAATCGCCAATGTGCCAAATACATTTTAAACTTACAAATTAAAAAAAAAAAAAAAAACATGTAGATGTTGCCCGGGGGTGACGTTGAGTTAGGGGAGATTTCCATATCTTGATCTGCAGCAGAATGATCTCCAAGTCATGGCAACTTCCGGGCAGTGGGCCATAAAAAAGTTTTAAAAAAAATCACAGAAAGGAACCAACTTGAAAGGTAACCACTCCCAACCAACTCGTAACCACTCCCGGGCAAACAGCCACATGCTTTTTTTAAAAAATTTGCAAGTTTAAAACCTGTTTGGAACATTGACGATTGTAGTTAGCGTGACAGATCACGATACACAAGTATCCCCATGAGTTATATATTTCGAGTTGGTCCGTTCTGTGATGTTTTTTTTAGTTTCTCGTAGGCCGCTGCCAGGAAGTTGCCAAGATTTGGCAATTATTCTGCTACAGATCACGATACAGAAATTATTTCTCTTACAAAATAGACAGATGAAAAGTGAAAGGAAAGCTTTATGAAAGTACTGTGCGTCAAAAAGATAATTAACACCGAACTCTTCGTCTAAAATAAATATTATGAAATGAAAACTAATGTTATAATCAGAAGATAATTTACAAACTTTTGATCCTAAACCATACTGAAGTGTATACTTTAGCATAGATACATCATCAAAAAGGCGATTTAGTAATCTACAGTAACTTAGTTCTGTACTTATAATTTTCAACTTCCTTGAAGTATCTTTACTTGAGTATTCACTTAATAGCAGGGATGCATAACTACAGGTTCGAATAATTGCATCTCGAGAGACATAATCATTTAACAGAATATTTAGACACTCCATATTTATAAAAACCTATATAGGAACAAAAATACTTATACGAATTTTTTTATTTTATTATATTGATGAAANAAAAAAAATTAATTAAAATTAAAAAAAGATTGTGAAAAATATTTGTATTTGAATTGTAATTGAAAGAAGAAAATTAAATACGTAATAAAAAAATAAAATCTTGAACTCAAGGTTTTACTTTAACATAAAAAGTTTTAAAAATTAGCAAATCAATTTTAAAAAAATTAACAAACTTTATTTGATCTATAGAGAAAATATAAATTTATTTTTAATGTAGTTACTTTATATGAATTACTTTCATATGACTACATAGTAAAATTTTATAAATTTAAATACTCTGGTTATTATTAGTTCTCTAAATAATCAAATCAAAATAATAAACAATTCAAGATATAATTAGAAAAAGTGCATGTTAAATAAAATGATAAAACTATTTTGAAAATAAATAAAGTCGTTTTAGAGTTAAAAAAAATATTTTTTAAGTTTATCTTAGAAAGAGAAAAAGCATAATATAAGATGAAGAGTGAGTTTCTTCTGATATCTTTTGAAAGCTAGTTGACCCCCGCAGGTTGCAATTCCCCTTCTGTGACAGTGATTAGTTTCGGGTTACTTAACACACGCACCCCCACAAAAAATGTAGGGGAGACAGTGAAACGGGTTTTGGAGGTGCAATATATTTCGTCCCTTTTCGAACCTATCCTTACTGAAGGTTAGAATTGAAATGAAAAGGCCTCTTTAGGTATTCTTTGGCCAAGCTTCAAAATATATTTTTAAGTATAATATTTTTAGTATATATATTTTTAAGTAGAAAACAATTATAATTAAGTATATACATTAATTAGAAAATTTAATTAATCATACAGCAGGAAAACAAAATTATGAAAATCATACTGATTAAGAGTTAAATAATGAGAAACAACTTTTAAATTAAAAATTTAGTTTTAACTAAAAACATACAAAACAGCAAACATTAAAGTACATAAATAAAGTTTATATCTCTCTTTATACGGAAAAAAAATCCATTAGGTCCTGTTATTAATTCAAAGCATGGAAATAACAGGTAAAAAAACTACTTCATTTAATACCTTTTGTAGAAGTAAAATAATTATGACTATCATGAATTAGTTTCAGTTATTACAAATGTACAGTACAGAACCCGTTATCCGAAAATCAGAAAACCAGAATGAAATTCGATAAATTTTCCCTTCATTTTTTTAAAAAAGATGTTTTTCTCCTCATAAGATTTTTCATACTTTCTTGAAAGATGTTTACCTTACCTTCATTTTGGAATTCATTAGTGTATTACTTCAGCGTTTCTTCTTCTTTTTAAGATTATTTCCAAATATTATTATTATTATTTTTTTAGTGGGGATTAACAATAAAAAAAACGGCTTTTTGTAGCGATTCAGAAAACCGTAAAAATCAGTTATCCGGAATAGCGATGGTCCCGATCGTTCCGGATAACCGGTTCCCTTCTGTATAAGAAGAAAATTTTACAAATATACATGTTACAATTAAGAAAGAGAAGTGATAGTCAATAATAATTTACTTTCTCAAAAAACAGGCAAAAATGAAATAGTTTTATTGCCCATATGAGTATAAAGTACAGTTCTGAGTATGTTACAGTTTCAGAGTATGTAAGATATACTATCAGTTCTGCAAGATATACTACATACCTGTAATGGACCAGTTCTCTTCCCTGCTTTGCACTCAAATCTTTTATGGACGTCGTCTTTTGCTTTACATTTTTCACTGCAGTATGCAAAAGACCTTAAGCCAGAATAACAGCAAAGAATTTTTGCTGCTTGGGAACAATCAATGAGGGAACACTAAATAGAAACACAAACATTTACATTACAAAATTAATGGGATCCTGTATTTAAGCCACTGACTAAAAATAATTCACAAAATAAACTATTGTAATCTTTACTAAGAAAACATTCATTGGAAAAGCTTTTTTCTTCCTCTTCAAAATAAGACTACAAAAAAAAATAATTCTTATAATGTACTTAAAAGAAAACATTTATCAATAAAATAAAAATAAATAAATGAAAAATAAATGGGACACATAATGAATTGATTTTAAGTTTTAAAATTATGAAGTGTTGCACTTTAGGTTTCATGGGAAAGGCCTGTTGGTTAGATAAAAGTAAAGATCACCTTCAAAATATTAAAAACCCAAACTTAGGAATGATATATTTAGGTCGAACAAGAAATTAAAAAAAAATTAGATTACAGTGAATGAATCTCAATAGATTGAAATTTTATAGAGAATAACTGACTTAGTTATAACTTTTTTTTTCTAACTTGGCAAAACTTCAAGATGCATAAAAAAATATGTTTAATGTGGATTGCATATAATAAGTATACTTAGTTGGACTTAGCAACTAAATTGTATTCTCATTAATTATTTTTGATAAAACTTTCCATGAGGAAACATAAATTGTTTTTTAAAAAAATTCTGCTACAGAGTTTTCTGTTATTTTGACGAAAATAATTTTTATTCATGTACATCTTTAAAATTAAAAATTATACCATACCTGTCACCATTGAAGAAATTAAATAACAGAGATTTTACTAGTGTCATTTTTTAGACTACGAGTAATTGTCTGTTTCATTTATGCTCATATTAGTATTTCTTCCTGCTGGAATGGAAGTTGTCTAAATGAAAATGTCGGACAAAAAAAAAAAATCAAATTTATAGTGAAGTGGACTAAGTCGAGAAAAAAAAAGTTGCTTTAAAATTTAGAATTCTTTTCAAACATATGAAACATTAAAAAAAAATAATCATGATTTGATATAAAATTATGATTTATCGAATTCTTGTTTAAATATAAAATTCTATGAAGATGAGGCAGTTTTGAAGGGGATACGCTCAATCAGGAGATGAAAATTTTACCATCTCTGGACCTTTCATAACAGAAAAAGCTTTTAGATTTGCGAAGGGATTGGGGTATGCTGAATTTTGAGGAAGCAGTAGATGGCTTGCTAAATTTAAAAGACACAAAATTGGAGAAAAATAATAACTGATGAAAATAAAGATGTGGATAATGTTTAAGAAAATTGGATAATGGAAACTCTGAGTAAAATTCTTAAAGACTATAAGCCGTAAAACATCTTTAATATGGATGATACTTATTTATTCAATGCTTGCTTCAGAAAAGATTAACATTTAAAAATGAAAAATACTTTGGAAGAAAACATAGCAAATCAATATTCAATGTCATATCATGTACAAGTATGACTGGATATGAGAAATTGAAATTATTAGTTATCGAGAGAAAAAACCAAAGGCACAAAATCTTTAGAAGAAGATTATAACTTAGAAAAGTCTCGGATGACAACAGAAATTTGTGAAAAATGAGTCCAAAAGTTGGACAAACCTATGATTGCAGAGTATCACAATATCGCTCGTTTTTGACAATTGTTCAAGCCCATTGAAAAGAAATCTACAAAAATGTGAAAAATTTTACAGTTTTTTGCTTACCACCAAATACTACGTCAAAACTGCAGCCAAATAGATCAAGGAATGATACAAAATTTCAAACTGCAGCATCGTAAAAGAAGACAGCGAATAGTTATCACAGTGATCAAAGTTTAATGTTGACATGCAGATGGGTGATTTTCCCCCATCATGATTCTGAAGTTAAAACCTCGCAAATAAAACATTAATTGCAGGGGTCTGTCCAGACAATTTGTGAAAGGTCTGTTCTTCGTGAAATTGTGAAAAAATTACTCACATTCTTTCAACCAGGGTCCGCTTTTAGAAATTTGTGCAAATAGGGTCCGTTATTGCAAAAAAAAAACTTTTTCAAGGAGTTTTTAAATTGTAAAGACATACAAGATTATGCTCAACACTGTAAAATTATAATTAAAAAAATTAAATTTTAAAAAATAAACAACAATTGCTGCTTCTAAATTAGAGATGCAACATACAAATATTTGGTATTTAGCCTATACTGCTGAACGCAGAATATTAATTTCGGACGAATAATGGAAGAATCGTCTGCCGAAGACAAAACTTAATTCGTTGACATCTATCTTTCTTGTTTTCTGCCCTGGAAAGGGTTTATTCGATCAACAAAACAATAATGAAGATAAACAAATTTGTGAAGGCTCCGATTAAAAGAAAAATCATTTTGTGAAGGGTCCGTTTTTAAGTTAAAATATTTTGTGAAGGGTCCGTTTTTATGAAAAGATATTTTGTGAAGGGTCCGTTAACGGACCCAAATTTCTTCTAAACAGACCCCTGAATTGAGAAAGCTATTCTGGACAGCGTAAAAAATACAAATGACACAGCAATGAATAGTGATGAAAAAGACAGGAATAATCATGAAGAAAAAATTTGCAAGTCTTAGCATGATGAAATGCTTAAAACACTTTAAACAATTCAACACTGACTAGTATTACAGCAATTTCTGGTATATAAGTTTACGTTCACAGTGGATTTATTTAAAAATAAATTATTACAGAAATTTTTCAGAAATTACAAAACTATTTTTTGATGTTTGCTCTGAAAACCTTCTCTTATTTATTATTTAAAAAAAAATTAAAATAAGGGTTGATAATAGAAGTTTTTGATCGAAGAAAATACGTATGATGCTTCTACAAATGGGGTTTCAAATTCCGATTCGTAACTCAAGCATAAAGTTGTATCTAGATTTTTTTACTCTCTCTGTGGTAGAATTTTTTTCTTGCTTTCTGCGACAATTCTCTCTAGAAATAATACCTTTCGGAGAGACATTTTTAGTAGTATCAAATATATATGCTACCAATTTAAAATAACAGAAAGAACTAATTTAACAGAGCTACTAATTTAAAATAACAAAACAAAAAAAATCTATAATGTATAGAATAGAACAGTATATAATTTTTTTAATTATAAATGTAAGATTTTTTTGTAAAATCTACATTTAAAAGAACACATATTCTAATATAATTGGCGATATTATCCTGTTCAAAAAAATACTTGTACAGTTAACTTTTTTAAAATTTTTGCTATTTGGAAATACTTTTTATATCAATCTGAAATTCTAGCAATGCTCAATTTTTTCATTATCATGAGAAAGTAGGAAAAAAAATCATGAGCACTTTTGCCACCTCCGCTACGTGAAAAAGGCATTTTTTGAATATAATTTTGCAGAAAGGGGGAAAAAATTTTGCAGAAAAAATATTTCGAAAGCTTCTGCATATATATATATATAAAAACCCAACTTCTTTGCCTCCCAAATAAAAATCTTTCTGCAATAACTCTGTAATGTTCTGCGACAATATCGCCATGAGGTTTACTATCTTCTTCTCATTTATACTTTCTTTATAAATATTTTATTTTCAAATTGTCACAAATTGTAATCAAATTGTCTTTTCATTCTATGCATTGATCCAATTTCTGCAGATACTTTTAGTTGACATTTAGCGATTTCTTTAAATACAGGCGTATATAGATTGAAAACGATTTTTTCAAACTTTAAAGTGTGATGAATATAAAGTCAAATTGTGCAACAGACAGAATAGTTTATACTGGTCAAACCAAAATGAAAACCCATTCCAAGGCAATCAATACAAAACAGCATCCAATAACTTTACTTATTTACGTAATAATATTAACTAAAAATGTGCTTTTTACAGAAACATACATGATATTGTAAATAGGTAACTTCATTTTTATAAAAAGTAGTATTGAAACAACAAAACTTACGTATTTCATCGTTTTTGCCTCCTTGAGCCTTTCGTTAAATCTTGCCTCAAGTTTATCTAACTCTTTTTTCAAATTTTGAATTTCTCTTTTTTGAATTTCGCTTTCTTCCTTGAGCTTCTCTTCTTTTTCTTTGAGCTTTTTTTTTTCTTCATTAAGTTTTTCTAATTCTTCTTTGAGCTTTTCATTTTCTTTATCTTGTTTGCTGATTCTTAATTTCAAGCATTGGACAATGTTATCTATCAGAGAATTAAAAAAAAATTTAGGAAACATATACACAAGGTAAGTACGGAAATAACATAAAATATTTAAAAAAATCTAATAGAGATTATCAAGCAATTATAAAAATACAAACTTTTGTTTGTACTTGAAAAGTGGTTGAGTAAAAAAAGTGGTAGTGGTTGAGTGAAAAAAACAATTATAATCCTGTATTTTGCTCCCTGTTAACAGAGATTGCCATGTTGATGCAAATTATACTTTGATACAAACATATCAGATCTCCATTGGCATCAGGATAACCACGGGAGGTTTTCGTGGTTCTTACCTCCATTGAGCACGAATGCTGATTAGTTTCACTTAAAAGAATTCTTCTTGAAGGTGAATGTGACTTAGTTCTTTAACCCACTGGCGGTTAAGGAAATGGGTAAAATTGGGAGAATGTTTCTCTCTTATACACTATTCCCCTATCCATTAACATGGAAAAACCGGTTTTACTATGCAGAGAAGACTGCAGGTTAGAATGCAACTTTTTACATGTAGTACAGTTAGTGTGTTAAACAGGTATTTGTCTTCTAGATTCAAGGTTAGGAAGTTTAAAATTAAAAAAAAAAAAAGGTGCATATTCACCATGGTGAATTGGCGTTCAAAGACGGAAATTCATGAAGTGGCAACCTAAATTATAAAAAATGAGGATCGCTTATCAAGCGAGTAGTTCACAATGATAGAAGAAAGAAAAGAAACCAAAACTGCTTTACAAACACATTTTTAAATAAAAATGTTATCATTCTTGCACGAAATTGCATTTTTTTTAAATGAAAAATTGAAAACATTTTTTATTTGAACAGCTATACCTAAATATTTTTTGTATTAAAACTAATAAAAATACTTTTATTATCAAATTCTCACAAATTAAAGTGATACATACCGGTGAAATATCTACTCCACAAAAGTTTAACTCAAGCTACTTCTGAACAGTTTTTGATCGGTTTTCGGACTAACAAGGCTAAGTAAAATTTGATACCAGTTAGTTCCAAATTTAGGTCGCTAATATTTTATTTTATGAATATACGTCTAAATGGATGTATATTTATTTCATCTTTTCAAACAAAATTATGTTCGATGAAAAACATTAAAAATAGTCCGTGAAAATAAGCCAATGCTATGCACAATAATCATAAAAATCTTACTTTATAAAAGAGTTAGAATTGAATAAATAGAAACCCAAAAATTTTGTTTGTTATGCCTTCAAAAACATAAAGATTAAAAGAAAAAACAAAAAGGATAAACGTATAAACTTCAGTGTTCATTTACTCAAATTCTCTGAAGTATCACTTAGCAAGTTCGTCCACTAAGCTCTTCAACTATGTAATTAATAATAATTTACTTATTATGAAAAGGAAAAACATTGGAACACTGATTTTGTGATACTTAGATGTTAACTGATTTAGTTAAACTTACAGGTTAGGCAGCTCCGAGGAACAAGGCACATCCACAAGAGGTCTAATTTACCCAAACCCTAGATCCTGGCAGAAAAATTTTATAGCTGAAAACAAAGTTCAGCAGAGACTTGACTGGAATGTCCTGTAGTTCCACGTCTTAACGTGATGTTGCCACAGATGCGAAAATCTTGGAGTAGAAAAGACTTCACACTCAGAAAGCATATGTCGTGAATTCTTCTCCTCAAGATGACATCCTCGACAAAGAGGATCTGTGCAACTTATAAAAATCGAGTTTATATAGTTTCCAATAATTTTCCATGCATTTTGTTCATTTTATATCAAGTTTATCTTAAAATGTGTTGCAAAAATTCCTTCTGAAATTTTAAAGGAAAGAGATTAAAAGTTGGGAGTTAATTTTAATTTATTATTTTTTATTCAAAAACTAAGGAATTTTTACTTGGCTTTCTTTAAAAATTTTATAAGAAATTCTTGCAACACATTTCCTTTAAATAAAATGAACATAATGCCTGGAAAATTAGTCAAGACTACATAAACTAGATTTTTATAAGTTACAAACACTATTTTATTTATTACATTTCTGTTCAGATTCATAAAAAAGTTCTTTTTTTCTTTTTAAAGCCTTATCATGACATAAATACATGCAGTTTACCCAATGATTCAATACAATAATGTATTAGCTCATACATTTTGAAATATACATTTGAACCGCAATGAATTTGGATGTCATGAAAGAACAAATTTTGCTTATAAAGATTTTTTTTAATCAACATACATATTTTTGTAAAAATTCTATAAATTTGTAATTTACCAAAATAATACTAACCATTCATTAAGACATTTCTTAGACAAACATTTAAAACAAGTTTCATAATTTTTTTTATTTTTATATTAAAATATTTCTCATTTCACAAAATTGAACAAAAATTCTCTTTTCCTAGGGTAATTTGAATGAAAGCACAAAAATTGGGAAGTCTCCTAAAAAATTTAATTCCCATATCATCTTGGTTTCAGACCATTGAAAATGAAGGTTTTACAGGCAAATGTATTTTCGACTTTTTCAAAGTATAAAGATTTGTCTCGAGACCTGTATAAAGATTTGTGCACTTACACAATAATATAACTTTATTAGGATACTAACTAGCAAAATTAAAATTGAAATTGAAAATAAATCATTAAATTCAGTAAAAGAAAAACAAGCATTATTTTTTTAGACGTTTGACAGGAATAAAAACTCACATAAATAGGATCAATCCCATTTGAAACATAATAACTAAAATTGAGCAATTGAATTACCTGCATTTTGCATTTTTTCCTCATACGTAACATTTTTCAAAAGAGAGATTTCCCGCCTTTTTTCCTCCAATTGTATTTTCAGATTGTGTATCTCATTCTCTTGATGTTTAATAATTTTCTCAGGATTTGGCACTTTAGCTGTAGCTCCCCAAAACTGAATAAAAAATTGCTGAACCATCCTGTTAGCCTATTGATATGAAGATAATAACATTAATTATGAAATTATTTTTGATAGTGATAAAACAAGCTTTATAGGCAATGCATTTTCTTTTAATTTTAACTATCACTTTTTTTTGTTACCTCACAGAATAATTTCTTTGTACTGTGTAATACAAAAAGTAAATAATAAACTGATATTAATCAATACTAGAAAATAGTGCACAAAATTGAAAGGTATATACATTACAATTAAAATAGGTAAAATAATTCCAATATTTCTATAATTATTAATTGCATGTCCCATTGGCTTATTATGCTATTAAATTACATGCAGGGTATCTGCTACATTTTAGATTTTCAAATTCATGACTTACCAAAGTTACTATTTTCTCCACAAAAACACAAGGATAAATTTAAAAAATCATTATAATAACATTAATTGAAATGATAGGTATAACCAAAACTGTTATACTCTGCATCTTCTTGTTTATTGATTTTAGTCTTAAAAAACAGAGTAAAGAATGAGTTGAAGCAATAAAATAGCTGAAAAAAATACAAAAGCAAATAACTAAATACTGTCAGATACATGTAGGTATTTAAAGCTGTTTTATTTCTTCTTTAAAGTAGTAAGTGTAATATGAAAAGCCTAAACTAGAATTTTAAATTGATGAAATAAAAAAATAAAAATTTGAAATCACCGAAGTTTAAAAGATTATTTGCTCCAGAAATGATGTTCTTTCTTTCATTTTTTGAAAGAGCACCATAATTTTTAAAGAACAGGATAAAAACATTTTATATTTTGATAGAATATGACTATGAGGGGGGATTTTGCGACAAATTTAGATATTTGGAACATCTAAAAACTGTGAAATTGAGAAGGGGGTGAATTTCATTTTAAAAATTAGATTTTTCTGTGACCTAAACCTATGACTTTCCATGATTTTTTTTAAAAAATAGTTAAAACCATGAAAAATTTTGTTCAATACCAAAATCCATGACTTTCCATTATTTTCCAGGTGCGCAGATATCCTGTAAATGATTAAGCAAAACAAAGGTGAACTATAATCTGTACAATGATGATGCTATAGTTCAGGACCAACTCAAGATGGACTGAATTTACAGTTATTTAACTTTATTTTTGTACGACAAAACATATTTCAACGGTGTGACAATACACTTGTAGTTTCAAATATCTTCAAACTACTAATTCAATGACGTCACTCAACTATGATTTTGCCTATGTATATATGACATAGAATAACAAAGACAAATAAGAACAGGCAATAAACTCTCAGTGATACCTTGTTTTGATCAAACATAAATGACAAGTGATGTTATTAATTTTTTTTTAAAAAGAAGAAGAAAAAAAAAACAGAATTGTTTAGGCAGTTGAATTTAAAACAATGCTGAACTATTGGACAAATTGAAATTTTTGAAACATCAAGGGCTAAAATTTTTTCTACTTCATTTCAGGATATCAGCACAAACAATTTTGGAATGATAAGAGACTCACACATAAACAAGCAAACAGACACTTAATCTTTTTCATAAATTCAGTCACTAATTGATCACTCAAATTAAAGGTAGACAAAAAATTTTTTTAAAATTAATCAAAATTCTTGTACCACCAGTTATTAAAAAAAAGGTTATTTTTTTAAAAGTATTCTAAAATAAATTTAATTGTGGTTCAGAAATTACTGCTTATTAAATAAACTTAGCGACTGAAATGCAGTTACTGAGGAGAAAGATCCTATTATACACATTATTTTTTCAATTTCCCTTATCACAGTAAAGGAAGGTACAAAGTGAGAAGGTGCATTGACAGTTAACAAGAAACCGTAGAAATTTCATCACTTGGTAGCAAATTAAAGAACCAAGATTGTCAGGTAAAATTAGAAATTTTGCTGCTGACAAGTAGCCAGTTATTACATTTTCAACAATGGCCACTTTCTCAAAAATTTAAAATTTTAAACGACTAAAGTGTGTATTAATATAGTAAGACATTTCTATTATTTCTCAAAAGATATCACAAAGTCCATGTACCTAAAATAAGAAAAATTTTAAGAAACAAGCATAAGATAAAGCAATTTGCACAATATTATAAAATATTTTAAGTGATTCCACATTAATAAAAAATAATATACTGCCAAAAGGATACATCTGTGACAAAATAGGGCGACTGGCAGATAATGTTTTAATAGCCAGTTGTTATATTTAGTCTGTGACTGATGACGACCATTAATTTTGCACTATATTGTCAGGAGTTTATAGATTTCAAGCAATTGTCAGCTTGTTGATAAGAAATCAAGGAAAGACATAATTTTCATTTCATATTGCATTGCTAATATACAAACTTCAAAGCTTATTCACTCAAATTAACTAAAATATCATTTTGAGACTTTAATCTCCTCAAATTTTCAAACATAGTGGTTTCATTGTTCAATGTTTAGTAGTAGCAAGACAAGACACCATTGTCTTGCTACTACTAAACATAGTGGTATCAGCCACTACGGTAGACGAAGACACATTTTCCTGAACTTTGCCTGCCATTTTCATGGTTTTTCTAGTGCAACATAATCACATTGTAGCTTTATATAGCATTATAAAAATTGAAGCTATCAAAATAGTAAAGCAAAAAAAGCCAAAAAAAATTTTCTTCTTCTTTTTTTAAACATTGAGTGTCGAGGAAGTTTGAAGACAAATGTTTTTTTCTTTTTACAAGATATTGCAAGATTGAGGTTTAGCTGCCTTAAATGAAAAACCAAACATGCCATGAATTTTTCTTTCAAAATTAGAGAGGCTACAAAAGTCAAATAAATAATTGAAAGTGTTATGTAAATGAAATACTTCACATTAAAATTTGGTAACTTATATTCCAAAATATTAAGTTACTTATTAAATAAGGAATCAGCATTTTCCATTCCATAGATAAACATGGAAGCATATAGGTGGAATCTTAGAAAATTGTAAAAGTAAATAAATAATAAAAAGAAAATTTTACCTGTTTAAGCATTGTTAAGGACTTAGGATCACACCTCAGAATGGCTTGTAGAATGCAATCTGTGTCATTTCTTTTTGTCTTGGCACCTAAAATTAAAAGTTACTGTTATAAATTTTTTTCATTTTTTAAGTTTATCGTATGTACATGTTTTTGTAAGTTCTCTAAAATGAAACTTCAATTAAAATAAAATGACACCTTGATAAATATATTGTTGTAGAGTAGTTCAGGCAATAGGCAGGAGTTTTTATTTTTTGAGGACTTAGCAAAAATCCGCAATTTTTGATTAAAATTTTTTCTAGAAAAAAAGTCTCCCCCCCCCCTAGAAAAAAACAAGAAAAATCCAGCTTTTTGCATAATATCTTTTAATGACCTAAGATAGAAAATTTTAGACAAATTCCATACCAAAAATGCGCCTATAGGGTAATAAATCAAAGAATTATGAGCATGAAAATAATGACTATAGCATTGGTTTTTTACTTTAGAGTGTAGAAATAATGACTTCGTGACTCTTTCACTACTTCAATGGAAAAAAAGGAGAATAATTAATAAAGATTTAATACTTGTAAAAAAACTATTTTGTGGGATTTCATAATATATACAAAAAATATTTACACCCTCAAAGGGGAAAACTCCTCCAATAATGAAATATTTCTAAGCCTTTCTCAAAATCATAATTTTTAGGGTATTTTCCATTTTTCATTTTTTTCCTTATGTTCTTAAAATTTTACACAATTTGAACTTCTAACAACACTTATGTCAGTTTTTCCACCCCCCTTGTTAATTTATTCTTAGTCCCTGAGAACAGTTACCCCTCAGCCCACTGAGAAGAGCTAACCAATAGCCCCTGAGAAGTTACTCCTCAGTCCCTGAGAAGAGTTCCCTCTCAGTACTTGAGAAGAGTTATCTCTCAGCCACTCCCCCTCCATTTTTGAATAGACATAATTTTCTTAAAAACTTTTCTAAAGTCTATATTTTTGCTCTTTTGTTTTAATTGCCATGCAAATAAGAGTTTAGAATGTGAGTCTTTTCTCCAATTTTACAGTAGTTTTCAAGTAACAAAAATAGTCCACCCCACTAGATTGCCCAATGACTTAAAAACAAAATTTTTCAGGGCATTTCTCATTTAAAATTTAATGGAATGATGCAAAAAGTTTAGATAAAACAAAAAAATAGCAAAATTAAAAAAAATAAAAAATAAAATAAAGTTTTATTTAGCAAGTTAAGTATAAAATTTATCCTTTTCAAATAACAATAATAATATCCAAGGTATCCTATATTACAATAATTATTAAAATGTTATACTCTTTTTCAAAGTTTCCAAGGACATGCAAGCTTAAATCAATGCACAGATAAATGCATAAAGATTTAAAAAAATATGCTAGTAATTCTCACATATTGCTTGAATATGTAATCAATGATGAATGGGATTGACATTATATAAAGGGAAATTCCACCATTAGGGACGTAATACAGTAATACCCCGCTTAACGCTGTTTTGGTTTAGCGCTATTTTATTTCAACCTGGGGATTCTCCAAAATTGTGCGTGGGGTATCCCCCAAATATGTACATAACATATCCGAAACAGTGTAGCTGTGTTTCTTGTTTGGTGCGGTGCTGTATGGGCGCATTTTTATCATTTGAAACATTTGTTAACATTATTGTAAGAACATATAAATTTATATAATACTATAACGATTAATACAGTGACAAATATTATGATCTTTAGTTTTCATCATGGGTGATAATGAAAAACAAGAAAAGAAAGCAACCAGAAAAAGCATTTCACTGGAAACTAAAAGGCAAGTGATTAGAAGATTAGATTCTGGTGAACGTCAATCTCAAATTAGTGCTGCATTGAATTTGGCAACTTCAACAAAAAGGACAATTCTTAAGAATAAAGAAAAGATACTGTCATCAGCAACTGCCTCAAGCTCTGCAACTAGAATTACTCCTTCTAGAAATAACATTATAGAGGAAATGGAAAAACGACCGTCTGTATGGATTGACCACGAAATTGAACGCAATATGCCATTAAGCCAATCTATCATAATGGAAAAGCTAGAAGAATTTTTAATTACATTCAGGTTGAGGTAAGTGACACAAGTGAATGTTTCGTTGCTAGTCGAGGATGGTTTAATAGATTTAAACATTGAAATAATCTTCACAACATAAAGATTATAGGAGAAGCAGCAAGTGGTGATACGAAAGCGGCGGCTGAATTCCCGGCGACATTAAAAACAATAATTGAAGAAGGAAACTATCCTCCAGAATTGGTTTTTAATGTGGATGAAACAGGCCTGTTTTGGAAAAGAATGCCAAAACGAAAATTTTTATCCAGTGAAGAGAAACGAGCACCAGGATTTAAAGCCGCAAAAGATCACTTAACACTTCCACTGGGTGGTAACGCAAGCGGAGATTTCAAATTAAAATCACTACTAGTTTACCATGCCAAAAACTCAAGAGAGATGAAAGGCATATCTAAATCAACTTTACCAGTAATTTGGGAGTCTAATAAAAAATCATTGATAACTATTAAAATTTTCCAGGATCGGTTCACTGAACATTTCTGCCCGTCTGTTAAACGTTATTGCGAAATTAAAAAACTTGAACAAAGAGCATTACTATTAATTGATAATGCTCCAAGCCACCCAACAAATTTATCAGACTTAACAACATGCATGCCAGTCGAAGTGGGTTTTTTTTGCCGCATAACACAACTGCCTTAATCCAACCAATGGACCAAGGTGTTATATCCAATTTCAAGGCTTATTACTTGCGGCGAACATTAAAGCAGATGCTTGACAAAATAGACCGAGAAGAGAAGCAATCAATAAGAGAATTTTGGAAAAACTACAATATCATGAATGCTGAAGAAAACAAAAACCTTTCTTGGAATGAGATAACAGAAAGATCTTTGAAAGTAGTATGGAAGAACATTTGGCCAGATTTAAGTAAGAGCGAAGACATTGGACTCAGTCGATATGGATGTGTGGGGGGCGTAGTTATCGACTATGCCAACCGTCATCTATCAGAAGGTACCTCATGATTGAATCAAGTTAGCATGTCCTATACACCAGTGAATTGATGTTTAATTTTCATAGTGGTAGTTACGCCACAGATGAAATAGTGGAATTAGCAAAACAAACCGGTTTAGATGAGGTAAATGTGGAAGACGTCGAAGAAATAGTTCAAGAAACAGAAGCTAGTCTTTCTAATGATGAGCTCAACGAATTAACTGAGTCAAAAGAAAACAAAAATATTGATAGTAGTGATTTCAAAGAAGAGCAAAAAGAACTTTCAATGACATTTGTAAAAAGGAGTTTGACCACTATAGCTGAAATTATGGACCAATTTATTAAAAATGATCCAAATTTTGACAGGAGCTCAAAAGCAAGACGGAGTGTTATAGATGCTTTATCCACTTATCAACAATTTCTAACATAACGCAAAAGGAAAACACATACTGCATTAGATGCCTTCTTGACAAAAAGGCAGAAAATTGGAAACACAAAATAGACTGAATGATCTGACTGACCTAGAATTTTATTTGTTTTTAAAAGTACGTATATTCGTTTATATTGTTTTTATTTTTGTAAGAAATAAATGTTTGGTTTTATTTTTATTAAAAAAAAGCACAATTATTAAATTTAACACCTAACCAATTTTCTATCCATCTTCCCCTAACTTCATTATTTACATGTTAAGATAGCCTCATTTAGCGCTGTTTCCCATTACGCTCTACTTTGATGGAACGTATCCTACGCGTTAAGCGGGGTCTTATTGTATTTATAAAATTTGAATGCATGTAACTTAATTGAAAATCATCAAATACTTTTAATATTTTTATAGCAATAACTTTTGGGGTCCTATGTAATAGTTCTGAAACTTTTTAGCTACCATGAATAATTTTAAAAAAATAAATAAATAAATAACTGACTATTATAGGCAATAACAAAATAAATAACTGACTATTATTATCAAAATTGAACAGTGGGTAATTCGTTTACACATTTCTACGGATGGTTACAAACATTTTAAAAAAGTTTTTCAATATATATTTAGATAATTTTATTTTCGAAAACTATTATTATTTTCGAAAGTTCTAAAGATTGCGACATTTAATAATTATGAAAAATTCAAATTATTATGTTACAGACTAATGCTTGGCATAACGAACATAATACTTTGTGATTTTTCATTATGAATTAGTTTTAACAAAATGGAATCCATAAATAAATATTAGATATCAAAAGAAAAATAACTTAAAAATTAAAAATAAATAGTCTTAATGACTTAATAAACATATTCGATAAGCAAGAAAGAATTTTATTTTAATTTCTAATGGCAGATTATGAACAGTTACAGCAAAGAACAAGTAGAAAGAAAGAACACAGAGTAAAACAGAAAATGCTGAAAGAGCGTTTATTAATCTAACATATCTCTAGCCTCTCAATAAAGCTTGTCTAGAGCAGAACAGTGGAGTAGATGTAAGGAGTTCATGACCTCCCCAGAATTGCACAGAGTACATATCCAGGAAAGAACAATTTTGAGTCTAAAAAGATGGTTTCTTCGACAGTCATGTTCGGTGACTAGGAAGAATTCAGAGACTGCTCGATGTCTCAGGCCATTACAATAGCATTCTTTCACGACTTTTGGGAAACATCAGGGGCGGATCTAGTTAAGGGCTTTTTGGGCTGCAGCCCAGGGCCCTGTGGATACAAAGGGCCCCAGTCCCCACTGAAAACAATAGGTGATATTTTGAATTAAATAAATATCTAATATAAAAAAAAAACCATTATAGGGTTGGCGACCCTGAGATCAATCAACCCATGCATGTGCGCGTCTTCGAACGGAACGCTTGCTTTGGCTTGTTTTTGGTCAGTGTATTTTTTCGCATCTATTACGGGGGACGCGTCTATTACGCCGCGCCGCTGCACATCTGTTCTCGTTGTCAAAGTAACAAACTTGTTTAGTTTACTAATAAACGATAACTTAAAAGTTATAAAAACCGGACCTTTCTCTTATTTTACTTATAATTGAAAGTACGTAATCAGTATAATAGATTTCCTGCTCTTAGTTGGTAAGTAAAAAGAATTATAAATCATGTTTTTTTGTTTTTAATGTATTTTTTCGATACTAAATGAACTTTTTAATCGATTTTTAATGATAATTTCTGAATTATCATTAAAAGCACTCATTACAAAGTATTAAAATGTGATGTGAAGAACAATATTACATCGACTGTACTGTTTTTTGCTTGACTTGCAAACTTTTTTCTAAAATCCCTTCTAAATACACAACCGGATTTTCTGATTGGAAACACATAGGAACTTGTTTAGAAAATCATGAAAATTCTAATGAACATAAGAAATCAGTGTTAGTGTGTTAGTGTTAGTGTGAAAGGAAAATAAATCTGTCTTAGACAAGCAGCTTCAGAAGCAATTAAGAAAAGAAGCAGAATATTATCGCAATTTCCTAAAACGGGTTATTGCAGTGGTCAAATTTTTTAGTATAAGGAGCTTAGCATTTTAGAGGTTCCGAGGAAGTATTTGGTTCTCCACATAATGGTAATTTTATGGTTGCTCTGGAGATATTGGCAGAGTTCGACCCATTCATTCGTGAACACATTGAACAACGAGAGCTGCGACCAAAACCGATAATGTCATACTTATCAAAAAAAGTATATGAGGAAATAATTGAGATTATGGGACGACAGATAATTAATTAGTTGTCATACTGACTTACATTTATTTAATATTCTACAAGACTTTTTAGAAACAAATGGACTACTACTGGATAATTGTAGGGGACAATCTTATGACAACGCTGCTAATATGGTGGGTCACTACAATGGTGTACAAGCACTACTAAAACAAAAAAATAAATCCCCTGATTATGTGCCATGTGCTGCGCATTCCCTTAACCTAATTGGTGAAGAATCTGTTAGGGTTGCAACCGAAATTTTGAACTTTTTTGGAGCAGTGCAAAAAATATATGTTTTCTTTTCTACTTCTACCCATAGATGGGAAATGTTAAATCAAGAAACAAAACTCAAATTTATGTTAAAAAGTTTAAGCCAGACCAGACAGTCTTGTAACTATGATGCTGTCAAAGCTTTGAAAAATAATTATGATGACATTATGAAAATTTTCGACAGTTTCAGCGAAAATTAGGATGAGAAAGATGATTTCCGGAAAGAGGCACGTAATTTATTCAATAAAATGGTGAAACTCGATAGTGGAATTTTGATTATTTTATGGGAAAAAATTTTGGGAAGATTTAATTTAGTTAATAAAAAAATACAGAGCCCTGGTTTAGATATTTGTGAAGGCAACAAGTTAATTGTCATTAAAAGACTTTGTGAACAACATAAGGCACCAATCAGATCAGAAGCTAAATGAATACGAAGAGAAAGCTAAAAAATTAAGAACTAGTGTGGGAATAGACTACAATGACATAAACAAGAGACGCATTGCTCCAAAATTTTCAGATAAGTTCTCAGTATATGGCGCAGAAAAATCTATAGGAGACACGCTAAACCTTGCGTTGGATAAGCTAATTATGGATTTAAATAAAAGGAGCCAAGTCTATGAGATGTATAGCAAGAAATTCAAATTTTTAATGAATTTGCAAGACAAAAATATGGAAAACATGGATCTGGAAAGTGTACGTAATATTGTTGATTATTATCCAGATGACGTAGACGAGCATTTAGTGAATGGGTGCATTCAGTTAAAATCTTATTTACTTCAGTCTAAGCCAGAGTCTTACACCTCTTGCAGTGAAATTTTTATGCTAATTTATGAAAAGAAACTTGTTGATGTTTTCTTAAATTGCCATACTATCTTAAAGATCTTTTTGACTTTGCCAATCACTAGCTGTGAAGCGGAGCGCTCTTTCTCCAGGATGTCATATATAGAAAGCAAATATAGGACAACAATGTCGAACCATCGACTAAATCATTTATCAGTTCTATCCATAAATTGTGATTTAAGGAAGGACTTACAATGTGATGAGCAAATAAAGGAATTTGCAGCACAAAAATGCAGAAAGGTTACTTTATAATTTATATAACATAACTACACATAACCTGTCAATTTCTTTTGCAATAATGTTGTACAGTTGCTGTTTGTATGCATAAATAAATAATAAATAAATAAAATTATTTTATTGTCCTATTTTTTTTCTAAATACTTATCTGCATCACTATAGAAAGTAGTTTTTTGACAAAATGGCTATTAGAGCCCCTAAGTAGTTTCAGCCCAGGGCCCCACAAATTCACAATCCGCCCATGGGAAACATGGTTATAGAGGTCTTTCTGAGCATGGGCTTTAATAGATATTTAAATAAGATTTTTATTAGTATTAGTAGATTTTTATTAAGAAAGGCATAGGAAGAGAAATCTTTTGCATAATTAAAGCACCCTTTTCAGCCAGGAAATTGGCTTTCTCGTTGCCTGGAACTCTACATTGTGCAGGGACCCACTGGTTTCTAAGATGATAAAGGCAATCCAATATGTCCTGGCTTATGGGATTATTGTCAGAAATAATAGCCAACAGAGCAGCTCTAGAATCGCTAAGGATAACAGCTCTTGTCATTTTTCAAAAGTGGCATTGCAGCTGGGACAGAGCTGTGCAGATTGCAGCAATTTCTCCGTCAAACTCCTGCCCCACAGGATTAAATAAAGATTTATTAAGTAAGAAGATCATTTCTTGATCATGTTTGCATCATTTCTTGATTATGATCAATATTAAATCAATTTTTTTTTGCTAGTAAATAATTGATCAATTTATATTTATTCATAAAATTAATTAATTGAATATTATGTAAATAAAAAAAATTTCTGGCAATTTTTTAAATAAAATATTATAAATTTAAGAATTGTTTAAGTTTATTTAATGTGTAACACATTAAAAGTGATACATTACTAAATTGTGTTATTTAAAATATGTCTATTAAAATTATTAAAAATGGGAGTGATTTTGTTTTCATTATTCTTCCAAAATGAATATTCTGTGTTCAGCAGTATAGGCTAAATACCAAATATTTGTATGTTGCACTTCTAATTTAGTAGCAGCAATTGCTGAGCAAAATCTTGTATCTATTTACAATTTACAAACTTCTTGAAACGGTTTTTAGCAATTTTTGCAATAACAGGACCCTATTTGCACAAATTCACAAAAGCAGGACCCTCTTTGAAAGAATGTGACTTAATGCTTATTTTATATTCACAAATTATGAATAGTTTTTTCACAATTTTACAAAAACAGGACTTTTCACAAAATGCCTGGACAGACCCCTGATCAGTTATTAGTGTGCTTTGCATTACTGTATTACAAAATGTGCACTTTTAAGCAACGAGCATGGCCTAACCAGGATTCTGTGTCACACTCAACATCAACATATCAATTAAAAATACATCTTATTTTGCTTAATATGGAATGCTTTTAATAAAACTTACCGGAAGGAGATAATTCACTGATAATTTCAATATCTGGTTCTTCATCATCGTGAAACTGAGTACTTGGGGGATAATCACAAAAATCACCAGCTTCCGACACCCTGTCATAATTCCTTAAACAAAGATGCATAGAATTCGATGAGGTAGAAAAGACTGAAGTACTTTGGAATGGCTCTGGTTCTGTTGATGGTGTACTCATAGAAAAATTAGTACTCTGCATGACAGGTTCAGCATCACAATGAGCAACTTCAGCAAGGTCAGTACCCGAAGAAACATCTGTTCCAGAAATAACATTGCTTATAGAGATCCCAGCAGGCGACGGCATTCTATGAGTTAACCAGTTTTGAACATCATCTGTGGTTTCGCTAGGCAATAAACTACCAGTGATAACTTCTTGAAGATCTTGTAATTCTTTTGGGTTGCCTTCAAATTATAATAAAAGATGTCAAATTAAGAATATTATTTATATTAAATGCTTTAAAGACTTTTTTAAGATATACATCTACTAAATACAATAATTCTTTTATGGTTAATTTAAAGTTGATTAGTCTTTGATTTCAATATAATTATGTTAATGTTATAAATAGAGATGAATTTTTTTAAATAAATTTTTTTAAATGTATAATTTTGGAATTTCTTAATCATTAAATTATTTGGATCAGCATAAGAACACACGTTCTAATGCAGAACTATTTAAACTATAGAATGTTATAACAAAGAAAAACATGTAATGAAGCAAAATTACAATACATTTTTGATAACTTCTATCTTTATATTAATAAAATTAAATGTAACAACTGCTACTTAAAATAGAACTCTGATTATCAGACACTCTAATTATTCTTTGTCAAGTTTTCCGAGTGCGTCGGACCTAACAAATTTTAAAGTGAAATTTTGAAATAATGACCCTTACACAAAAATTTACGACATTGTTTTATTATATATGTTTTTTTTAAATTATTTCTCTAAAATAAAATTTAATCAACCAGTTTTTCATTTTTTTAATATAGTAACAAATCACTGACAAGCTCGATTTTGTGTCAATTTCATGGTGAATCCATGCTTTTTTTATTATCAATTATTGCTACAGATTTCTACATGGTTTACTGACATCCCGATGTTTTCTATTTACTTATATACAGGTTATGTGAGATGAAAACATTTCATGAGCCTGGCACTGAAATTTCAATGACCAGCCATTTCTGGGATTTGAACCTGGTACACCTCATTGGGAGGTCTCTATCCCCTGAGCACCATTGCAACTTGAATTAACTTTTTAACATATTCAGCAGCCCTATAACCAACAGATTGTAATAATAATGATTGTAACGATAAGCACTCAATGCACTTTAAAAGGGATATAGGATAATCAAACTTCTGTATAATAATGTAATCGGATAATCAGAGATCTATTATAATTCTAAGAGCTATTGTCACTAACCTTGGAGGACATCCATAGAGTGTTGAAATCCAGCTTAGGTTTTGAGAGAAAAGAAGAAAATATTAGTAAAGGGAGGGAAAAAGATAAACTATGGAAAAAGAAAACATGTTATAACTTATAATATTATGTTTGTTTTTAACTCAATAAAAACACATCTAGACTAAATTAAAAGAGAATGGAACTGATGAATAGCTTACTTTTTATCATCGAGTCGTTATTGATGGTATCTGTAACAGTATAAGCAAAAAGTTAGAAATAAAAAAAAAAACTCACCCCTTAATATCAGCAGCAGATTTTTGTAATTTATAACCATCATGCTTATATATCTTAAGAGCATAAATATAGTTTCCTTAATTTTAGCCAACACTAAATTGTTTCAGTTCTTTCAGCTGATCTTGTTTACTTAATGCCACACATAAATATTACGCATACATGCATAAACTAAATCTTTAAAATTTATTAATGAAAGCAATCCAGCAATCCTTTAGTATGTTTCTGAAACATAGAAGCTTACAGTGTTAAAAGAATAAAAAAATAAATGATTTTTCAAAAAAAAAAATTTTTTTTTTTAAAGAACAATAATAAAAATTCGATTGTTGAACACCATCAAATCTGAAATGCTTTTGCAAAAAGCATTATAAAGGAGATGCATTTGCGAAAGAAAAACAAAATCCATCAAGAAACATAAAGAGAAAGAGTCATATACTAAGAATGGACACACATTCCTGGCATTGTCCTTGATTGGGCACTAGAGAGAAAATGCAGAAGAGGTTGACCCACATAGTGAAAAGACTGGATGAGCCAGGGGGGAAAAGTTACAGTGGAACACAGAAAGTTACGGGATATCTAACTGATTAATTTTTGTAATAAATAAATAAAATTCGATTTTTAGAAAATTGCTCTCTTTTTTTAAGTCTTAGATAAAACTTCCATCCAAACTTGGTATCCAAAGGACTAGGACAAAATAAACAGGTGCTAGCGACCAAAGGGAACCTAAATATAAAAAATTTAAAAAATACTGCCAATCGCCACTTATTTCTTCAAAAACACACTGACTAAATTAAAATAATAAGTTTTTTAATTGCTTAAAATTTTTAATTGTTAAAAAAATGTCTCCTGTTAAAAATGCTATAACTGGCCAGTAGCAAAATTTCTTAATTTTTCCCTAAAATAAAGAAATTTTATTAAAGTCTTAAAAGCTGCAACTTCAACTAAACAGTGGATTGCAGCCATTTCTGCAATACTATAATGTTTCCAAAACATATTGGAAAATAAAGAGGTCAATGGGAATAATATTCACCTAGAGAGCTTTGATTACAGCCAACTTGATCCAGACCTAATTGAATTCATTAAGAAATATAAATCTAAAATTACAATCTAACAAAACCAAGCATCACAGGTAAGATTAAATTTCTTGTTTACATGAATTTTTAAGAGTGGACAATTTGTGAGCACCACTGTACCCCTACATGTGTTGGATACTACAAAGAAATTCAGAGAAGTATTCAAAATTTGATGTCGATTAAACCAGCTTTTTAATTACCTGGATTGCAAGAAAATCTCCCTCTACAGCAGTACATCCAACTTCTCAGCAGGATATACCAATAGAATGTTCAGCCACTATCAAAATACTGCAACGATTTTTAGCCTGAATCGCTAAAAAGGTGTACTGTGGTGATAGAGAGACTAAAAGAAACTTTTCCACTAAAGGGTTAAGATAAGTAGAAAAAGTTCTATTATCAGGGTTGCCACAGAAAAAAATGAACAAAAATAGTTGCTTTTAGTAGCCTCAAGCATGAAAATAGTTGCCTAAAACTATGAAAATAGTTGCCTGAACAGGAACAAAAATTTATCAAAAATAGTAGCCAAATAACTAAAATTGTAGCTTAATTGTCAAATACTATGATTAGGACAGGTTGATGTCAGAAATTTTAAATTGTGATACATCGTACGTTAGACATCGCGATGTATCGCGATTTAGCAAATGTTCAGAAATTACCAATGGGAAATCTATAAATCAGTCAAAAATAAATAAAAAGGAATAAATCTATTACAAAATAAAATATTAATTCTAAACATATTCTACTATAGCATCAATATCATTGTTTAATTTTTTCAATTGAAATAATAAAGAAGTCAAATTAAAAGCAAACCCAAGTTTTATTTAATATTTCTAAAATTAAAAATGATTTAAGATTTATTGGTTTAAAAATAATAATACTGTAACAAAATATTTTACATACATGCATTAAAATTTAAAGAAAAAAAACGAAAGTAGAAAACAAACCAAAGAAATGTTCACTTTAGAAAAAAAAAATTTTTTTTTAAATTATTTGTTGAAAAAAAAACCATGCTTTTGAAACATCATTAGACCTTTTTTTTTTAATTATTTAAAACATAAAGTAGTATTAACTAATGGTCAAATTCTGTACTTAATGTAAAAATATTTTTACTTATTTGTTCTTATTTTCGTTTTTGAAAATAAAATTGACTAAAGATTTATTTGTTTAAAAATGACACTGACTATTGAAAGAATTTCAATAAAAAAAAAAATACTTTAGATACTAATGTTAAATTATTCAAAAGCGTCAAAACATTACTAAACTCTTTATTTAATTTTTAAAAAAAAAGTTTGTTTCTTAACTAATAGCCAAATTTTTTTAAAACTTTGTTTTCAGTTTCTCAAAAATAATAGCAAATTAAATAAAGGTAAGCTTTGTTTTAATTTTTTTTATAATTAAAAACAACTGAACATTTATTGGCTTAAAAATAATCAAATTATTATACTTACCTACATTAAATAAATTTGAAAAAACTAACTTTTTATAACAAAATTAAATACAAAATACCCCTATTAAATTGTATCGCTTAAAATGAAAAACAATAATTGAAAAAAACCAATGAAAGATCTTTTTTTTTATTTATATTTTCTTTTCATTGATCTATTGAGTTTAGAACGAAAATTTAAGATAACAGCGATTGGGCAGCAATCACAAAGTAACAGTAGGTCTACGAAAAATAAGTATAAGTATAAAAATAATTTTGCTAAGAGTAAAAAAGTCTCCCGATAGTCGCCTATTCCTGAAAATAGTTGCTTTTTTAGCCTTCCCAGGTAATAAAAGTCGCCTATGGCCGAAAATAGTAGCAAATAGTCACATTTTAATAGTCTGGGGCAACCCTGTATTATATGAGCTCATGCTTTTCATGGTACATACTTTTAAGCCTTTTTTTTTATATAACCTTGTAAACATCTCTTTATGCGTCATTATGCAATTGTTAAAGTATAATTTACATAAAAAAAATTTTTTAATTACTTTATTATGATTACAGCCATATCTGTTAAATCAAAGAAATTATTTTCCAAGCAGAGACTTGACGTCAGAATAAAATTATAATCCTGGATAATAATACCAATGAATAAAATAATAATTATTATCTAGGATGGTTAATCCTTTAAGATAGGTCAAGATGGACAAAGAATTAGCTGACGAGGCACTTTGCCAAGCTACGCTACTAAGTATGTAGAATAAATAAGGAAAGAATGTACCATATAACCCACATATTACTAAGTTTTTTTCTAAACCTGTTTTCAAACATAAACTTTGGAGTATTTCAAACATGGCATTATTATTGGATGAATTTATGTTGAATTTAAGTTTTTAAGCTACATTTAATTTTTCAGTTTATTAGAATGCAAAGTTATGGTANAAAAAAAAAAAAAAAAAAAAAAAAAAAAAAAAAAAAAAAAAAAAAAGGCTATTTTTAAAAATGTAAAAGTGCATAAATATAAACACTTACCTATAATTTCCTGACTATTATTCGAATTATTGGTTTCATTAGCTGATCTGTTGCCATTTTCTATTAACAGTAACATAGAGGTATATTTCACAGTCATAAAAGATACTTACATAACACATTCTTACATATACATTCAGCACAACTATTTTGATAAAATATCATAGGTATTTTTCATCACTTTTTATATACATATATATAAAAGAAGGAGACATTTTTTGTAAAACTTTTCGAGAGAATTACTTTTTGAGTAAAGAAGTTATGACTTTTGAATGTTAACCCCTTGAAATATCATTAAACAATCTCTAAACTATGCAGAATTATTAATTTCTAGATATAGAAATGATCTTTGATTGCAATGTAAACAACAACTTGCAACGGAATGTAGACAGAGATGCCAACTGCTCCGGACACGCCAAAATAATTAAAAACGGTAAATAACTACAAACTAAATTTTGCAAATATTTGACTATTTTTGCTTGCTTTGACGTAACTACCAGGCCTTGGAAAACCGCCCGTCCGCGGCAGTCAAAAATTCCCCACGGACAACAAATTTCTCGAATCCGCCGTCTGCGCGGACGGCCATTTTACCGTTAATGTTCGTGATACATTTTCAATTTTTTTTACCTTACTAGAGTCTAGCGCCTCACTTCTAAAATGACCCTCTAATCTAGAAATACAGCAACATACTGTGCATGATGGAATCGATGTTTTCTCTGGTAGTACTGCACCGGTTGAAAGAGGCTTTTCAGCAATGAACTTACAAAAAAACACATTACGTACTAGTCTTGAATAAGAAGCGTTAAACGCACTTATGAACATCCACCTAAATGGAAAACCTCTTTCAGACTTCTGTGCAGAAACCTCTGTAAATCATTGGCTTGATTGTGGAACTGGAAAACGTCGTCATGTTTGATTCATTTAAAAAACGCAGTACCCTCGGATAAATTGACATTCCAGATAACTTGACCTTTGTCATTTAAATTATTTCATAAAAGAAATACTAGGTTTTATTATTAGTAACCTAGTATTTCTTTTATTACTGTATAATTCAATCCTAGTAACTACTAATTCATTGTGCAATTTATATAAATGTTAATAATAAATAAGAGAAAATTATATTTTTATTTATTTAGAAGCTACGGGTTAGTTTCAAAGGAGGACGGGTACATTGTTGGACAAGCCGTCCTCGGGGACGTGTAAAATTTCTGATATTTTTCGAGCCATGGTAACTACTACAAAGTGGTGAATTATATAAGTCTACAAATTTAGAAATAGTGGTGGATAAAAATCTACTAACTTGAATAAATAACTAGAAACTAAATTTTGCAAATATTTGACTATTTTTGCTTGCTTTTTAAAAAGTATAGCATGACATAACTACTATAAAGTGGTGAATTATATAAGCCTCAGAATTATTTAGAAATAGTGGTGGATAAAAATCTATGAAATTGACTTTATTAAACCAAGAATCACGACTGATAAACTACCAGTTTAAAATATTTATTTGCTGTCCGGAGCAAGTTGGCATCTCTCTGTTGAAGACGTCTGAGACACATCAATTATCGTTTTGACATAAGAAACAAATGACATCTCCCAGACGTTTTTGTATGTCAAGGGGTTAACTTAATTTTTTTTTATTAACAATAACAACATTCAAAATTAAATTCAAAATATTGGGGTAGGAATTTACTTGATTAACACTCAGTTCCTAGTTACACATGCTCAATTGATTTGCATTTGAAATTAGCTACAAAAATTAATCTACAATTTGAACAAAACTAAAATAAATGTTGTTAAGTAATAAAAAAGTCACTTTTTGTATAAAATTAATATTGTTCTTTACTCTAAAAAAATTCTGTTTGTGTTTGCTTGGTTGTGCGAAAAAATGAATTACAACACTATTTTCAAATCACTCTCTCAAACTGAAATTTAGGAAATAATAATTTTTTTTAAAAATTATGCATAAATTAAAATTTTGAAAAATGCAATTTGTTAAAAAAAACTGTCCTTCCTCAAGAATCTTTCCTTTGAAAATTGATGGATTCTTTAGGATAAAAATTTTGAATGAAGACATTCAACATTTTAGTGAAAATTATGTTTTTCAGAGTTTTTCTGCATTAATGCACTTTAAATCACCAAACAATTTTTAAAAAAAATTATGGGAAAAAGAAACTGGTTGTTTATTTGAGTTGAAACTTTTTTTTCGTAAATTCGCCAAAAGGCTAGCGATTATTTTGAGGTCCAAGCTGGGGCACGCCACTTCTGGTTATTTAATTGACACACCTCATAATTTGGCCAGAAAAACTGGATCCAAACTGGTAAGCATTTTCCTTCGATTTTTATGTAGATACACAAAATTGGATTTCTTGTATGTATGTATATATATATATATACATAGCTGCCAACCTCTAGTTATAAAAATGCAGAAGATTCGTAACTGCATACTAATTACTAATAAATTTATTTTAAAAAATAGTCCCCTTTTTTTAAAAAACAAGAAAAGGAAAAAAAATTAAAAAAACTTTTGACCAGCTACTTGAGGGTACAATATTCATTTATTAATTCTTGATTAAAGGAAAATATATAATATTTTAAGATTTATATTAACATTAGTTTAATTACACTATAATAGTATGCACTATATATGAACTCAATAGAAATTATGGAAAAAGAATTATATCAAAAAAAAATTTTTTTTTTTGCAAAGATACTTTAGTAACACCTTTTGCTTTTACTGAATATCTTTCGAAAAGTCTCCTTCAAAACAAAGTCTACCCTCTTTAGACTTAATTATTTAAAGTTTTTCGAGAGTCTCATCAGACATCCATGAGCGGAATTGAGTCCTATTGTTTTTACTACAGAAAACACCCTTTCGCATTCAGCATTGCTGTGGGGTATAGTCAACATAGTCTGACTTAAAGAAAATACTAGCTATTGGGCAGAAGGGTAAAATGCAGAAGATCTTATCTTCTGAGCGTAAAAGCGGAAAAAGTAGCTAAAGTAAGTAAAAATGAGAAAACCTTCTGCAAAATGCGGAAAGATTGGCAGCTATGTATATATATATTGATAATTAAAAGTTTCTTAAAAATATTAAAAATTTTAAAAACACTTTTCAATTATGACAGTAATATTAATTGTAAATTTTTGGATTTAAGTTATAAAACAGAAGGAATTATCTGGATTGCTGACTTATACGTTAAAAAAATTACATTAAATTTAATATAAATAAATTAATTACTTGAAATTTTCCTCAAAACACGAATAATTTTCCCCCCAGTTTTCTTAGTTAATATCTGTTTTTTAAAATTATTTTCTGTCGCTTTACTTTTATAAATATATATTGCAAGTGGTTTAAGTTAGATTCGGTTATAATTAAAAAACGAATAATTTTCATACATAAGAAATTAATTCCTAGAAATTTTATTTTATTTTTTTAGCAATAAGAAACCCGCAAAATAATTAATTTCTGCACAAATCACTTTCAATTTGTAAACTGGTATTTTAGGAAAATAATGAAATTATTGCAAGTGGTAATAAACTGAATAGAAACCATTTCTCTAGAGAAAGAAAAGAATATGTATGCATGTATTAGATATTGCAATTAAAAAACTCCACCAAAATTTCTGGCAAGCAAATTATTATCATGATTTAATTTTAANTGTCCCCATAGTTTAATCAGGACATATATATAGTGGCATGCAAAAGTCTACGACCAGTATTTTAAAACTTATTTCGACTTTCATAAGTTAAAATGGGTGATAAACTATTTTTACTTTAATTATTATCAGCTGAATAACCGTTTTTATCAGGAGTGAATAAAAGAAAAGAATCAATAAATAAGTACTGAACAACACTACAAAATACTGAACAAACCTGAAAGGCAATTAATAAAGACAAAATAATTTTTTTATTATTTATTATTAGTTGCATTATTTCCCAGTAGTTTCACATGATAAAATTAAGCATATGACGTTTTTTTGTAGTTATCAGATCAGAATAGATTAATCGTATTCCGTATCACTTGGCATGACGCTATTGCTCAGGGTCAACTAATGAGAGTAAAAATTTATCCCAATCAAATAATTTTCGCTGATACATATCCTTTAATGAGGCCGAAGGACACTTATTTCAACAGTATCAGTATTAAAACTGCTCAGTATTGGTGCAATTTTAATAACCAATTGCATCAAGATAATACTTTTTATGTATATTAGTATATTACAAAATACTTTAANTTTTTTTTTTTTTTTTTTTTTTTTTTTTTTTTTTTTTTTTTTGCAAAATACATTTATCAGTGGCAGCTAAATTAAAGCTGAAATTTTAAAAACAAAAAGAATTCTTATAAGACTTTGGATAAGGACTTTTGAGCATGACAATTTCTCTATCTGACCTTTAATATATTGTTTATAAGTAGAGATGAGAAAAAGTTATTTGAATTCTACCTAATTCATTAAACATTAATACACTATCTTTGCTACCACTGGAAAAATATTTTCTGAAACTAAGTAAACGGAAAATCTATTGCAGAATTTTTATTAAAACTACAGAAATTACTTTAAGACCAGTAGTACATATTACCAAAATAAATCAAGCGTCATCTGCGTATGGCAATTTTCTATGGTTACCCAAAACAAACAACTGCCTTTTTTCCATTAACTTCGCTTTTTGGTACATTATTTTTTTATTTTAATTAATACATATTACCAATATTAATTAAGTGTCATAGGTATCAATAATAGTACAGAAATATTTTACGCTTGATCTAACAAATAACTCTAATTTAATTAAGCATCATTAGTGTCAATAAAAGTATCACGAATTTTCATGATTCTCCTAAACGAATTAGCACAATTTTTCCATTAATTTTGTCTTTCAATACTTAACTAATTTTTTTCATTTACTGTTGATTTTAAATTGTTTATTTTTATTGAAGCACATTTTCAGAAAAATATTGTAAACAAAACAAACGTGTGGTTTAAGATAACTATAGAAATATTTATTTACATACATAGTCCAACATATAATATGTCCAATATATATATAACATGTAAATGCAAACATTCACGTTGTTCATTTTATTTTAAATTTTGTAACCATCCGACCCAATTTTGAACAGCCGACCCAATGAATTTATGACTATTTAACTATGTTATGTTATGACTATGTTAAGTAATGTTCAACTACACATCCTTGTAATTTTGAATCCAATCAGAAGACAAGGGAACTCGTGAATCAAGTATTGTGAGAAATTAGCCTTTCTGGAGGAGTTTTTTGAGGGAACTAACCTGCATTTGCATTACATGGAGAAGAAAATCATAAAAATCTCTCACAGTTAGCCTGATGATAAGGGGACTCTAACCCATGATACGTCTACCACTGAGGATATTTTAGTCAGCATTGCGAACGATGCCAGCTGTTTACAGAATTCTTATCCATTAGCTATTGCTAGGATTCAAATCTGGGTCAACTCATTGAAAGGCGAGCGCTCTATCCCCTGAGCCACCACAAATTTATCTGACTTAATGAATAAAAAAATAATTAAATATGTAAGCACGTGTAGTACTCTTTTTTGATCAAATAGACCGTGGAAAATATTAAAGATTATTTTAGTTTTCATGTTTATAAATCTTGTATACAGTAGAGAACCGATTATCCGGAACGATCGGGACTATCGCTATTCCGGATAACTGATTTTTCCGGTTTTCTGAATCGCTACAAAAAGCCGTTTTTTTAGTGTTAAACCCTGGANTTTTTTTTGGAAATAATCTTAAAAATAAGAAAAAACGATGAGGTAATGCACTAATGATTATTTCTGAAATAATGGTAAGGTAAACATCTTTCAAAAAAGAAAGAAAAATCCTAAAATCTTATGAGGAAACAAAATATTTTTTTTTAAATTGCGGGAAAATTTATCGAATTTCGTTCCGGTTTTTTTGTTTTCTGATTTCCGGATAATGGGTTACTGTACATACAATGATAAATAAACAGTGATACTGAATTTGGTCATAATAAAAATAAAGTAAAAAATATTTATTTTTCTCCCATTTTAAAAGCCAAAGACAGAATAAATGTATACTGATGAGAGACAATTGCACGCCAATGTACGTATACTAAAACCATATATAGTAAAAAATTAACTTACCCAAAAAACCATTTGGAACCATATATGAATCCAAAGAAACGTCTTGTTCTACTTATACCAATGCAAGCATAAAATAAAGCAGATAACAGTCACAAAAATTTACTTTAGCTTTTGTGAGTTGCACAAATAAAAATCATGTATGTAATTCAACCCTAATTGTAAGTTGATTTGAGTTGTACACCAAAAACAAAACAATCCATCTTAAATAACTTTTGATCTAATGATCGGACCTTCACGTTCTAGAACTCAATCTTAATGGTTTGAGAGGGTGACTTCAAATATGCTAATTAGGTAGTGCAAACAATATTTTAAGTTACAGAATAAAGTTACAGGCACAAAATTATAGTTTTTCTGAATAAACCTTTCTCTTCTTCAACAGATTCAGATTTCTAACCCCCAAAATATGTAGCCACAATCTGGGAAATACTGTCCCCATAGTTTAATCAGGACAACGATCCTAACTTTGGACCCCTTAATGTCAATTTTACATTTTACACATATCTCGAGAACTTTTTATGGGAATTCGTAATTTTCTGCACACAATTATAACATTTGTTTGCCCCAAGATAATTCCATGCAAAAAAATACTTAAATATTTATTAATTTTTAATACTTTATTAAAAAATGGCAGAAAAAATTTTGAACTCTGAGGCGTACAGTTTTTTTACATCATTTTAACGTAATTTCAGCGAAATCAGCCAAATAGTTAATGAGAAATCGAATTTTTAAAAAATAGCATTTCTAAAAATTTCATTACTCGGGAACTATTCCTCCGATTTTGCTCAAATTTTGTATTTTGCCATGTAAAATTACATACTTTAAAATGATTTAATAAATTGTATATCTTACAGTTCAATTTTCTTTTACTATTATTAAATTAAATAATAAAAAACAATAAATACTTATTAAAATTTAGATTTTGCATAGAATTCTCTTTGGACAAACAAATTTTATAATTTTGTGCAAAAAATTTGCAATTCGCTTACAAATTGGTAAAATACGCAAAAGTAGAATTAACATTAAGGGGTCCAAACTATGGTGACTATATTTCCCAGATTGCAGCTGCGCCCCATATTTTGGGAGTTAAAAATCCGAATCCCTGGAAAAAAAGGTGTGTTTATGCAGAGAAAGTACATTTTTCTGTCTCATTTCAAAACTTAAAATATCACCTGCACTAATTAATTAGCATCCTTGAGGTTACCCCCTTGAATCATTAGATTGAGTCCTAGTACGGGAAGATCCAATTATTAGATCAAAAGTTATTAAGCATGGTATTTCTTTTTGGCGCACTTTACATGTAAAAAACATGGCTGCAGTTTAAAACTGGTTACACTAATATAAGTGCTATTTGAATAAATTATCTCAGATAAATAATAGTCATATTAGTTGCTTATTACCAAATTTAAAAATAAAGATGGAGCTCCAGCCTTTTGTTTAGGATTACAAGAGTTGTTACAGTCTAAATTGCATGAGAACACTAATCATGAAATTAAACTTAGTACTCTTACAAAAGCTACTTAGGGTACTACTTTTTGTAGTTAACGTGCTACTTTATATTTCGGCATGTCAATTTAGGTTTGAAAATTTTTAAATTAACAAACTTCGTAAAGAAAGCAACAACAAAAATAAATAATTATCATTTCTAAAATGATAAAGAAATATTTAAGGGTTGGATCCCAAAATTTTAGATTTTGTCTGCCAAAACAAGAGGGGAAAAAAGCGGGCACTTTTTTGGTAAAACTTTTCTTTGAGAATTCAAGAAAAGGGGTTTGGAGATATCATACTAAACATTAATCAAATTTAGTGAAATTTAATTATATTTTAATTTTCTATAATTAGCAATCTATTAATATTGATTATATGCGCCTCTTTAAGGTAACTGATAAAAACACAATTAACTTTATCTTACAATTCTCACATTGTGTAAATTAATCACATCGTAATTAAGAACTTTAAAAGTAAGTGCTGCTTTAAAGATTAAATTAAATAAACTTTAATAAGAAAAAACTTTGAAATAAAGTATATGATGAATCATTCAAACCTTTTCAGGATTATAGAGAAATTAAAAGTATTAAAGTCATTCTTAACAAAGAGGGATTGGGGATTGTAATGCCATATCTTTGAAGATCAATGTTCACATTTTTAAAATATATTTATTTTTATATTATTATGGAAAGAAAAATTAGAAAATTTAAATAGTACAACTGCAAAATTTATACAACAATTTACAGTACACTACAAACTTGTATGTGCATATATATATGTTAGGGTGGCTCTCAGCTACATGTTATAATTTTTTAAAAATTACAATTTCGCTGCTCTTTACTCTATGCCAAATTTCTGTTTATATTTCCCAGATGCATAGTTAGGGTTTGCAGAGCCTGGAAACAATTTCGTATAAAACCTAAAAAGGGGCGTTTCGGAAACATTCTATGTCTTAGAGATAATGTCATAATTTAAATCCAACTCAATTTGCATTTTTTTTTAAAAATTTCACATTATATAAGACTTGGCAATGTGGCATAATGTTTCTTCAGACAGCATGCTTTGTTTGCTTCATAAATATTACTTTAATTCTGTTTAGACTTCATCAGTGATTCTACTACATTTTTTTATTGCACTTATTGTTGCTGACTGAATATTTTCCGAAAGACATTTTTCAGTCGATGTGTCACCAATTTGTAAGAAATAATTACTAAAAATCCCTACTTGCAAAGCAAACTACAGCATTAATAGGCATCTTATTAAAATTTTTTTAGGTAAATAATATAAATATTTGAAGAAGTTACGGGGCACAATTAGTAAATGAAATTGAATATACAGTGGAGCATCGTTTATACGACGCCGAAGGGACCGCCGAAAAACGTCGTATAAACGATAACGTCGTATAATCGATTTTTACTTCTAAAACTGAAACTAACTCTGTTTTCAGTTAATTTTAATGTTTAACGTGTTGATTTACATAAATTTCTAAATTACACAAAGCAAAATAAACAAATAACCAAAGAAGAAAAATTGCAGTGAGCAATTTGAATGTATGTTACCTTTAATTATATTTTCTTGCTATTAGTCTCTACAATGCTTTGAATAGCGAGTTGAACTTACTGCTTTCTATGATGCAATTTTAGATTTCTAATCACGGTGTAATCTAATGGCTGAAGCGCACTTGTGCAATTTGCAGGAAAAAAGAGAGCTTTTACATTTTCAAATTAGTATCGATGGGTGCGCTGGACATTGGCCGATGAATAGCAAAATTTTTCGTTTTTGCCTCTTCAAAACATTGTCTAGTTTTTTCAGTCATCTAGTAAAAATTACGGTCGTCATCCAAGCATTCTTGTTGGCACCCTTTTCTGTATCATTCATGTTGGCAAATTCCGCCCTTTTTTAAAATACACAAGAAAAAATAAAAAATTAAATAAACGTGATCAAAATCTAAAAACCGACGTATAATCGATTCTGTGCGTCGTATAAACTATATATTTTTACATTAAAATGAATAGGAATGATTTGGGACCACACTAAAACGTCGTATAAACGTATATGTCGTATAAACGATGCTCCACTGTACTTAAAAGAGAAAAAAGTTTAACTCTGGTATTAATTAAAAGTTTTTTTTTTAAAAATTCGGCGCCATTTAAAGGCTGCGCTTGGTGATTGATTATCTATGTGGGTCATCTTGGAGTTATCTGAATGAAGTAAAATTTTGTATGCATAATTTTTCTGATGATTGGAATAAATTATGAGGGCTAAGCTTTTAAAAAATTGAAAAATTGGGTCACCTAATATATATATACACATACACGCATATACAGTAGAGAACCAATTATCCGGGATGCTCGGGACCATCGCTATCCCGGATATCTGAATTTCCCGGTTTTCTGGATCGACCAAAAAGTGTCGTTAATCGATGTTTTATCGAACCCTCATGCACATATCCTAATCATATTTGGAAAGATTTCTGTATCGTGATCTGTTGCAGAATAATCGCCAAGTTTTGGCGGCTATTGAGCAATGGCCTTAGAGAAACTAAAAATAAGAAAAATCACAGAAAGTGACCAACTTGAATCGTATCCACCCCCAGGCAAGCACCTACTTGTTTTTTTAAAGTTCAAAATCTATTTGGCACTTTGATTTGGTGATTGTAGTTGGCCCTACAGATAACGATAAGGAAATATCCCCTTATATTTTTTTTAGAAATGAAGAGTTTAAGAATCTTTCATGAGTGCTCAAGAAGTGCTTAAGAGGTTCTAACTTTTTATTCAAAATTTGGCTATGCACCCTGTGTAATTAACTATGTAATCATTGTTATCATGGCTTTTTAAAAACCATGGGTGACATTTTGTGTGGAAAGAAGCTTTAAAAAACTGGAAGAATGAAAAAAATTGGATGAAATGGAAGAAACTAAAATAGTTAAAATTCTCCTTATTGATATTTTAAAAAAATAACTATTTTAATTTTATTTATTTTAATTTTGTGCAGAATACTAAAATTTTACAGCTCTTTAGTTTGGGTAATTTAACAGCGTTTGATTATAGAAATTTATGTGACATTTGTGTTTGTGAATTCAATGTGCAATTTTTTTGTTTTGTTTTTGCAGTAGTGCATACATGGCTTCAATGCGTGATTTGTAAATTTAGTGGCATAGTAAAAACTGCATTATAATATTTTTACAGATTCTTTATATAATTATGTATAACTAGGTTTTACTATGCAAGATATATTGAAGAAAATGTTTTGTGAAATATTGAANGGAAATTTCCGAAAAAGTTGACTGGAGAAAAGCAATTTCCCAGTGAAAACATTCTTTAAAGTGTCATTTTATCCGGAGTTCATAATTTCTCCATGACGTATTAAACGGAGTTTGTTAACACTAAATCCAATGCAAATCAATCGGGACTTGAAAAAAAGCGTCGAAATAACCGGAGTGACGAATTAAGCGAGTGTCAAATTATCGAGGTCCGACTGTATATAGTTAAGATGGATTAATAACAAGAGACAGTTACACAAAATAATAATAAATTAAAAACTATAATCTTTGCAGTTTAAATTTTAATCAAAATAGGAACTTTAAAGTTGGGGTTCATAGTAATCACGATTATTAAAAATCTTACCAAATAAGGTTGTCGTGGTGTGACTTTTCTGCATAGAAGTAGCAACATTCTCCGTAATCTGATCCCCATCTGGAAAAGAATGATCAATTAGTAGCAATAATGAATTCGGGGAGATTTCGTATTGATCTCTATGCCAAAATAATCAACATATCTGGCAAATTTTGGGCGAACTCAAATAAATATCATAGAAGGGGATCAACTCAAAGGGTTTAACTTGTACCTCAATTTAATTTTTTTCCTTCACATTTTTGCAAGATTAAACTCTCTCTGGCACCGTAGCCAATTGCAGTTTTTGCTAACAGATACCGCTACAGAAACAACTTCATGAGTTTTTTTAAAATGAAAAGGTAGGGCGACGGGCATCAAATAATTTAAAAAAAATTTTTTTTTAAAATTTTGATAAACAACGCAAAATTTAACAATCAGGACAGGTGGCACTAGCTTTGGTTTTTGAAAACATCCATAAATATTTTATAGTTAAAATCATTATTAAATCATTAATACTACATTAATACACAAGGCATTGACAAAACTAATGATTTTAAACATCAGGATAAATTTGAGGAGAGCTAAATTCTATTTTATTTTTAACTTTCTTTAAAATGGACATAAAAAAAAAAAAGGTTTTCAAATGGAGACAAGTGCTTGCCTTTGCATGTAAGAAAACATGAAAGAGTAGCCATTATCACATGCAGATTATTATCTTTACAGCCTAAATTGTCCTTTATAAATCCTTTTTATTATATGTATACAGTATAAAGTCCCATATAAGATGTCCACTTACTCCGAAAATGTACATTTTCTGGACACTTTTTTACAATCAAAATAAACAAATCTCTTTTCCTTTTTCATATATAAATACAGTAGAATCTCCATCCATCGTTCCTGTCTCCTTCATTTTCCCGTATGCATACCCTCCAACTGCTACGGAATTTCCATAGTTTCAAAAATCTTCTTTTCAGACGGTAGCAAAATTACTGTCTTAATATTTAAAAAAAATTTTTTTTAGCGTAACTTGTCCACTATTAATTATAAAAGTGCAGGCCATATGGCTAGATTCTTAAGTTCTGATAAAAGTTTTATGAGAGATCCATTTGCTTTAAAAATTTCTACTTTGGTTCGCTACCACTAGAAAGAATTATTTTCAAAATCCTCATAAGTTGGAGGGTATGCGTATGTATCATCTTGTTCTATTCTCATAATGTTAATAATACCCATTTAGATCTTTTTTGAAACTAGCAGATTCCTGTTTTTATCGTTCAAAAACTTTGACTTGAAAAAAAATTTAAGTTAACTTGTTTTAAGATAAGAACAGTAACTTCTGATGTTAATAGTAAAGAAAATCAGGATTTGTTACCATTAGAATAAAATGCCTTAAACAACAGGTTTGATGTTTATGCTTCAGTTGATAAAAATGTTGAAACTTGTGGCAGAAGCAGTAGTGCTTAGCGAGACCAATGAAAATGTACAACTAGTTAGAACAAACATCTGAGTAAGGCTTTAAAACAATTAAGAACTTTTTGTATGCACACAAACTTTCAGAAAACGAACACTAATCTGTAACAATAAATGAAAAACGAAATTGATAGACTTGAAAAAGAAGAAACATCGCAGTGAGGTACACCTGTTGCTCCGATGACTAAAACGGATGGATCAATCATATTATGTTTTAAAGAAATTTCGAAGACAAGTTTTACAAGGGCTTCAAGTAGGACACTTGGGAGTTGTTAAAATGAAAGCCATTGCCCTTTCATGTGTGTACTGAAACAATATTCAGACTGGCACGTAATTGTGTTGATCGTGTGAAAACTCAAACAGAGTTCAAGTGCATTACTAGGATTGCCTTTGTAGAAATGAATACATATCGATTTCGCAGTACCATTTTTCAAACATTATTTTCTCATAATAGTTTATGCTTATTCTAAGTGTTTTGAAACTTATCCCAAGAAAATTATTTCTGCTCACGCCACTATCGATTCTCTAAGAGACTGTTTCTCCTGGTTTGTTCTTCCAACTACAGTGGTTAGTGACAACGGTCCACAGTTACTTTCTGAAGAACTTGAACAATTCTATTTTAGCAGATAACTAATACATAGGAATAAAATATTATGAATGAAATTCCAACAATTTCGTAAAGATTTTTGAAACAAATTATTACATACCATCTTCGCTTAAATCATCAGTTAAGTCCACAACAGCAAGGGAACTTCCCGATTCATTATCAGATGAGGACGGAAAAGTATCGTCTGATACAATTGCTTCTCTTGAATGCTAGAACAATTTCATTTAAATGAAAAACAATTGTGTTACACAAATAAACAATTGCAAGCATAAAACATCATGCAAATTTAAGAACCAATTATTGATTAACACACAAGAAGAAAAATTGAAAGTAAAGAGCTGTATCACAAGATGCAGTTTAAAAATCTATACAGACTCAAAAAAAGGAAAAGTCATCTGAAATAATTTCCAATAATTCGCGAATTCTAAAAACTTTTATTATTACTGTAAAAGTATTTCGTCGTTCTAGAGTTTTTTGTTGAAGGATTTTTCCTTTGGGAAGTAAAAAATTCTTAATTTCTTTTTTGCAGAAATTTGCGAAACATTTTTTTGTCCCATCCAGAATTATATTCAAATGATGTATTTTTAGCGCATAGGAGGAGGGAAAAGAAATGTTTGAGAACAATGAAGTAAAGAAAATTTGTTTTTCTTTTATCCAGAAATTTTTGAAAGAATCCTTTTTTTCCCCATCCAGATGTCTTTCTCCTGCATAGGAGGGGAAAGAAACGCTTATTTTTCTGTTCAGATTTATGAATCATAAAAAATAATGGAGTAAAAAATTGTGTTTTTCTTTTCTCCAGAAATTTTGGAAAGGTTCTTTTTTTTTTCTCATCCAGAATTACATTCAAACCATGTCTTTCTCGCGCATAGGAGGGAAAAGAAATGCTCCTGATTTTTCTCTTCTCATTTGAGAATAATAGAGAGTAATTAAATGAAAAAATGTGATTTTCTTTTCTCCAGAAGTTTTCAAAGGATTATTTTTTTTCCCATCCAGAATTATATTTAAAGGATGTCTTTCTCGCGCATTGGAAAGGAAAGAAATGCTCCTGATTTTTCCATTTACATTTGTTAATAATGAAGTAAAAAATGGATTGGATGGTTTTGAGTCCTGACGCAGACAAAGACGAAGTAGAAGAAGGTGATGAGGAAGATGGCGTCCACCCCCCTTTTATTTTACCATCTTACCTTTTTTGTTCATTTTATATTAAGCCTGTATATAATTTTCTCATCATTTTTTTCCTTTTTATTTTATTAAAGTTATGTGTATTACTTTATTGTTTTTTCTTCTTTTTAAAATTATTTCTAAATAATTGTTTTTTTTTAGTTGGGTTTGACAATGAAAAAAACAGCTTTTTGTAGTGATTCAGAAAACCGGAAAAACCTGTTATCCAGAATAGCGACGGTCCCGACCATTCCGGATAATGGGTTCTCTACTAATATTTGTTTAACTGATAATTGGCAAGTTACAAAGGTAAGCCAATTTAAAAAAAAAAAAAAAATAGGAAGTTGTAGAAAGATTATTCACAATTACACATTAAGCCTATGCGTAGTTTACTTTTATATATATATAATAGTTACTATATTAAAGTAATAAGTTGTTACAATATTAAAAAATAGTAACAACTTATTTTTGAAGTAGGCAAAGAAGAAAAAAACACTAGATGGTGGATAGCCTTAAGAGTCAACAAAGAATTTTGAAATTTATGGACGGTCATAAGCAATTACCATATTTATAGCCACTTAAATTGTTGTTATATTTATAACTACTAAAATCAGACTAATTAATATCATGGTAGGAACTGATTGCCTTAAGTATGTCAAAGCAAAAATTCGGATTTTCTTTTTCTTAATTTAAAATTGCAACAGTTGAAGACCTAATTTTCTTACTTTAAATATTTCCAGTGCAAGCATTACTAAGAAAAAAATATTAAGCATTACAGTTATTAGCCTAATAGGTAAAGTTTTGTTCACACTGCACCAAACTTGCATTTTAGAAGTTCTAAAAAACAAATTTGATAGTTATCCTTCCAATTACGTGTTATAATTTTGTAATTTGTATTCTGCATTTCTGGATTGACTATGTTAACAATATTTTGCGGAAAAATATTAAACAATAAGATAATCTTTTTAAGGAAATATGAAGAGAAAATTGTAATGGATCAAATCATAATGCAAAAGATAATTAATTCAGCAGAAATTTTGATGGAATTGATAATGTAAATTTATATTTCCTATAAGTGAAAAGGCATGTATTTAGGTGATTTGAATCAAATATTAATTTATTACAGTGGCCACCACTAATCATTGGATTGTCAAATCAGCTTCTAGGGGTCTTTCTAGGTTTTTTTGAGAGATACCTATATTGCGAAAATTTAGACATAATTTGTGAAATTTAAAAATTATATTAAAAAATGAACACAAAAATATGCTAAAATAAGATAATATTTAAATATTTTTCAAAAATATGTTAAAAGTAATTTGTGAAACGACCATTTTTCCTAAAAATGAATTTATGAAAGTACTGCTAAACGGCAGTAAATTAGCCCTGGACAGACCCATGGCTTCTTTTTTAAATAAAAATGGCAAAGAATGGAATCAGTACAATATCAAATCATGCTAAAACCACCTTTTATAAAATCATGATCACCATTTTAAAAAAATTACATTTTTGTCAAATGTTTAAAATAATTAGAAACTTAGCTTTGTTTCTAAGAACATAAATAACAAATTTTATTCTGTCCCCTATGAACAAAAAGAGCAAAGTTACAGGCTTTAATTTCAATCTTTAAGGAAATTGATGTTTAAGCTGAGAGTAAAAAAAATATATATGGATNGAAACAGGGAGGTAAAGTAATTCATATATATATATACAGTAGGGAACCGATTATCCGGAACGATCGGGACCATCGCTATTAAGGATAACTGATTTTTCCGGTTTTCTGAATCGCTACAAAAAGCCGAAAAAAACATTTTTTTTTAAAAAATGGAGGGAAAATTTATAGAAAATTTTTCCGGTTTTGTGGTTTTCCGGATAACGTGTTCAGCACTGTGTATATATATATGTGTGTGACATAAAAAGATTAATAGAAGCTTTTTTTTATGTCACACGCACGCACGCACACACACACACATACATATATATATAAACACAATACAATATGGATTCCTAAAGAAAAAACTTTTTCTTGTCTAATTATAATACAATGAAATTTTGAACCCATAAAATAAATTCTTCTACAAAATAAAGAGATCTGAAAAGACAAGAGAACTTAATGTTACCAACTATACAAATAACAATAGATCTGAAGATTATTTACAATGCAGTTAAAAACATGGCAAACTAAAATTTAAAAATCAGTAAATTTAATACAAACTTGACATTCTTACATTTTTTAGCAATTCCTTCAAAATATTTTCTTCCCTTTTAAAATCAAAAGGTGTGTTTTTCTCTTGATAAGGGAATTTCCCATAATGATCTTTAAAAATGCCAACGTAAGCTTCAAGCTCACCCATTGCCATTACAAAATCAATGTTATTCCTTGACTTCTTGTCTTGCTTTTTGGAAGAGTTTGAAGGATAATCTTCAGACATGGCAAGAACATTTGACAATGGTACACATGCTCTATGAGACAAACGATGCATATTATTTTTACCATGTAAAACATACAATTGAAATACATTAAAATACAATGTTTTTGTTAGAAACAATACACTGAAATAAATTAGAAAGCATGATTTTTTTTTTGAAAACTTTAATATAACTTCTGCTAGGAAAAAGACTTAAATTCATTTGCCAGAGCTACAGAAAAAACCAAGTGAAAAAAAATTTCATTCATTTCCTTTTTTATTTCTTAGTTTTCTAAATGTAGTAATATGCAACAGAAAAATGAAATGTAAGTGAGTAATGAGCATTGAATAGAAGTTTAAAATTTTTGCTTTAAAAAAATAAATAAACAAACAAAAAATGGCATTAAATATTAAAACCCTGGACAAGGCAGGACATTGTAAGTTCAACATCTTAAAATTTATGAATAAAAAGAACTGATTTATTGAGCATGAAATTTATTGTGAATGGTGAAAAAAGAAAAACTCAAAATGTAGTAGAATTAGAAAAGAATGTACCAATGCATAATCTATACATAATAATAAACGCGGCTGTGTGTGTGTGTCTGTAATCACAATATATCGCCCCAGAAGCCTCGCCCAGGCACGAAACTCGGCATATAATTGTGTTTTGAGATAATGAAGAAGTATTTTTTTTCTTTTTCAAAAATTTGGATTAGTTTCTTAGTTATCAGTCATTTTGTAAGAAAATCTATGCTTTTTCGTCTTCAAAGAGTCATATTCAAGAAACTATTAAAAAATGCATATACTTTTCTCCACTCTTATAAATGTATGCTAATGCGAACCTTACAATTGAAATATTAATTTTCGACAACTTAAACCAATGATATACGAAGGAATTAGTAATTTAATCGTAAGATTCGCATTAGTTTACATTTATCAAAGTGGATAAAACTTTAACTTTTGTACTAAAAATGTGGCAACATATTAGATACGTAAATAGAACGCTACGCTTTGATATATTTATCGCTGTTCATAATTGTTATATTAAATTTTTCTTCTTCTTTCCACGCTCTTTTTTTTTTCTTAAGCGAAGACGATAAGGTAAAATTATACTTGAGGATGCCCCTTGGCGAAATTGGTGACTTATGTTTGGCGCTATTCCTGTTTGCGCGGAACACCGTGGTAACAGAAATAACGGCCAAAACATAATGATATTTCAAAAAACATTGGAAAATTTNCCCACAAACTCTTGGACATGAACCCAGTGCCCTACCAAACAGGCTATCCCAGCCATATTCACATGATTTAAAATATCTCACTATGGGATTTCGTGTGATTTAAAACTCACACAAACCCATGGTGAGATTTTTTAGATTGAGATTTGTATTCCCACAATTGAAAAAAAAAAATTGTGCATTGATGTTTTTTATTAATAAGTTGAAAATACTCTGTGCGTGTTTACTGCATAAATTTGTTTCTTGCGCTTGAATTTCATTTTTTTAAAATAATTTTAAAAGTGTTTTGCACATAATATTTTTGGATTTCTATTTTCAACCTTTTGCGATTTTTTTACCAAACTTGACAATGAAACATTTTACCTTTTCTTCTCAAACACTATGAGAAGATATCAATTTGATTAAAAATGGGCATATCTGTCTGGATTTTTTTTTTTTTGCAGATTAAGGTTAGAAATGTCTTATTCCTCAAATAACATGAAATAAATATTCTGCTAAAAATTACTGTTACAACTTTATAAAAAGCACAGGTCACAAAACTAACTTATGACAGATAATATTTTGGTTCATTTGCTTTCGTAGTCTCGATAGAATTTTTTGGTTTTTCTTCCCAAGTAATGCAGCATTCGAGTAAGTTTTTAAATCTTAAAAAATACCACAAACACTTTTCATTTTCACAAGACTGTGACTTTTATCTATATTGTTGTATTGCCTTATTAGTCAAAAATCTTGCTACAAATTTGGCTGTAATTTTACTAATTCTTTTCTGGGGTCATATGATAAAACGTCGTATGACTAAAAAGGATCAGTTTTTTTTCGTGAATTATTTATAACTAAATGTCATAAAGCAGGATAAAAAGTAGCCAAGTGATGTGTTCTGAATTGAAATAAAGTAATTATAAAGACAAATGGCATTTAACAATTTAAAAATATTCTTAAAAATTTAACGAATCATTATTAATTTAAAATCATTATTATCATTATTAATTTATCAACTCAATGTTTTTAATAATTTAAAAAATCTGAAATTTCTTAATTAAACCGATCAAATGATTTTTTTTCATGAACTGTTTTTATTTTTATGATGGTAGTTCTGCCAGCTGGTTACTAAATTTAAAATTCAAACTATGAATCTTAAAAATTGGAGTTAAAACTCAAATGGTAAATATTGAAATATATTGTAATGAAAATTCAAAAAGTGGAAACATTACATTATAGATTTTAAATCATGCATGTTAAAAAAATTAAATTTATAAAGATTAAAAAGATAACTTTACATGTTACGAACTATTACAAATGTGTTTATTGTGCCATCAATTGAAAAAAATTAAATTCTGATTTAATTAATAATGAAAGCATAAATCAAAATTTTTTCAAGCATTTTCAGAGTAAATATATTTGGAATATTTTTTTAAGCAATGGGTGCTTGATTTTATTCCATTTTCAGGTGTTTATTAATATTCTTATCTTATAGAAAATACCACATCCCCTGGTATGGGCTAAAGTGAAAGGCTATTCATATTGGCCTGCTAAGGTATGTTTTTATTTAATTATTTATTTTTAAACTATTATTATTTTTCAAAGTTTTTGCTCCTAAAAAGTAATTTTGTTATCTTATAGAATCCAATTATGTAACAGTTGAAGTTCGAAATAATATGTTTTCTCTCGATAGTAAATGTGTAACGGTTACCTGTTAATTATAGGCTTATAATGTTTATTTAATTATGCAATTTTTATTTTGTCAATTTCAATCTGAATTGAATATCACATATTTTATTTCATTTAAGCAAATTCCTTTTAAATCCATAAAAATAATTTTCATTCTATTTTGATGATGCATAATTTTACTTATGATGAAGTAATTGTTGAAAGGTATCTTTTAAATGCAGCAATGCAAATAAAAGCTACAATCAATATATATATATATATATATATATATATTGATTGTAGCTTTTATTTGCATTGCTGCATTTAAAAGATACCTTTCAACAATTACTTCATCATAAGTAAAATTATGCATCATCAAAATAGAATGAAAATTATTTTTATGGATTTAAAAGGAATTTGCTTAAATGAAATAAAATATGTGATATTTAATTCAGATTGAAATTGACAAAATAAAAATTGCATAATTAAATAAACATTATAAGCCTATAATTAACAGGTAACCGTTACACATTTACTATCGAGAGAAAACATATTATTTCGAACTTCAACTGTTACATAATTGGATTCTATAAGATAACAAAATTACTTTTTAGGAGCAAAAACTTTGAAAAATAATAATAGTTTAAAAATAAATAATTAAATAAAAACATACCTTAGCAGGCCAATATGAATAGCCTTTCACTTTAGCCCATACCAGGGGATGTGGTATTTTCTATAAGATAAGAATATTAATAAACACCTGAAAATGGAATAAAATCAAGCACCCATTGCTTAAAAAAATATTCCAAATATATTTACTCTGAAAATGCTTGAAAAAATTTTGATTTATGCTTTCATTATTAATTAAATCAGAATTCAATTTTTTTCAATTGATGGCACAATAAACACATTTGTAATAGTTCGTAACATGTAAAGTTATCTTTTTAATCTTTATAAATTTAATTTTTTTAACATGCATGATTTAAAATCTATAATGTAATGTTTCCACTTTTTGAATTTTCATTACAATATATTTCAATATTTACCATTTGAGTTTTAACTCCAATTTTTAAGATTCATAGTTTGAATTTTAAATTTAGTAACCAGCTGGCAGAACTACCATCATAAAAATAAAAACAGTTCATGAAAAAAAATCATTTGATCGGTTTAATTAAGAAATTTCAGATTTTTTAAATTATTAAAAACATTGAGTTGATAAATTAATAATGATAATAATGATTTTAAATTAATAATGATTCGTTAAATTTTTAAGAATATTTTTAAATTGTTAAATGCCATTTGTCTTTATAATTACTTTATTTCAATTCAGAACACATCACTTGGCTACTTTTTATCCTGCTTTATGACATTTAGTTATAAATAATTCACGAAAAAAAACTGATCCTTTTTAGTCATACGACGTTTTATCATATGACCCCAGAAAAGAATTAGTAAAATTACAGCCAAATTTGTAGCAAGATTTTTGACTAATAAGGCAATACAACAATATAGATAAAAGTCACAGTCTTGTGAAAATGAAAAGTGTTTGTGGTATTTTTTAAGATTTAAAAACTTACTCGAATGCTGCATTACTTGGGAAGAAAAACCAAAAAATTCTATCGAGACTACGAAAGCAAATGAACCAAAATATTATCTGTCATAAGTTAGTTTTGTGACCTGTGCTTTTTATAAAGTTGTAACAGTAATTTTTAGCAGAATATTTATTTCATGTTATTTGAGGAATAAGACATTTCTAACCTTAATCTGCAAAAAAAAAAAAATCCAGACAGATATGCCCATTTTTAATCAAATTGATATCTTCTCATAGTGTTTGAGAAGAAAAGGTAAAATGTTTCATTGTCAAGTTTGGTAAAAAAATCGCAAAAGGTTGAAAATAGAAATCCAAAAATATTATGTGCAAAACACTTTTAAAATTATTTTAAAAAAATGAAATTCAAGCGCAAGAAACAAATTTATGCAGTAAACACGCACAGAGTATTTTCAACTTATTAATAAAAAACATCAATGCACAATTTTTTTTTTTCAATTGTGGGAATACAAATCTCAATCTAAAAAATCTCACCATGGGTTTGTGTGAGTTTTAAATCACACGAAATCCCATAGTGAGATATTTTAAATCATGTGAATATGGCTGGGATAGCCTGTTTGGTAGGGCACTGGGTTCATGTCCAAGAGTTTGTGGGTTCGATACCTGCTGAGGACTCCCCAGGTAGTAAATGGTGACTGATGCACACTAAATCTGTCGAGTCACAAAGTCCTCCATGTTCCCATAACAAATCATACCTCTGGAGGTACTGTTCTAAGAGTTTCCTTGTCTTTTGGATTGGTTCAAAATTACAAGGCTTACGGAGTTGGACATTAGTAGTTGTAAACCCAAATTAATTCGTAGGTTTAATTTCGCAAATTAGCTGTAAAATCTAGTGAATATAGATGACGATGTTTAATTTTAAAATAAGTGAATATGAATCGCGATGTGTGACTTTAAATTGTGCGATAATAATTTTAAATCTCATTTGCATAAGTAGTAAAAAATAATCTATTTTTTCCCAATTTTCTTTGAATGGGTGAAATTTTTCTTTTTATTTAATTTTTTAAAAAAAGTAAAATTTAGCCAAAACTCACTCTTGAATTGAAAACATAGCTTTCTGAAACACAAACCTATAAAGTTTACTTTCTCAGTGGCTAGCTGATTCTACATAATTAATCCATTTTTAGGATCTTGGACAATACCTATTTTTAGGATTAGGAATAGTTATGAAGCATAAATAAATCATTTCTGCTAACACTCAAATTCATTAAATTAGAAAATATAAGCAAGAAATAATAAGAAAACTGCAACACATGATTAGAAATTACAAAGAGCATAGGTGACTTACACATATATTTAAAAATGCTAAAGGCTCATTTCCTATCTTCTTATAGTAACATTCAGGGCAATCTAAAGCATCTTTCAACATTTTTTGCACTTCATGCAATATTTTTTTTGCACTTGTAGCAATTTGAGATTTATCTAGAAAAAGTGCAAAATCATAAATATTAAAAATAAAAACCCTTTGAATAAATCTTCTAAGAATACTTTTTAAATAAATATAAGAATAGTTTTGACTAAAACTATGAATCTATGACTAACATCATAAATAGTATATACAATCAAAAATAGGTGAAATCAAAGAAACAGAATTTTTTTTGGCAAAAATGACTAATATGGTAAAAATTATTTCACTACTGTTTAAATAAGATACAACAATTTCAGTAAATAAAAACCACAAAGTTACCTTTTACACAATAAAACTAATATAAATAAAGAAGAAAAAGTTTAATTTTTTACAATGTGATGATCAAATTATTCTACAGAAACTCAAGTAAAATCAACTGATGGATAAACAATACATTCAAAGAAAATCATGTAAAAAATTACCTCCATAAATAATAATGCAGTTGTGCTGTATCCACTCTATGTCTTCAATCAATTCTACATGAGATTCATACTGTTGAATCCCTTTTTGAACACATCTCTACATAAGAACATAGCATTTTGTGAGTTTAAATATTAAAATAATATAGCAAGCAATAAGATTTCAAAAAATAAGAAACACTTAAAACTCTTTTTCTAATGGCACATTAAAAGACAATTGAATTTAAAAAAGATAACAATAAATCTATAAATGAAAGCAAGCAGTCCAGTAGTGTTCCTAGATTGATGTCTGAGGAAGGCATCATAACAGCTGAGACAAGTTCATCTCTTCACACAAGGTACAGAAAGGATACACGAATTTCAAATTTTAGTCATAATTTTTTACTAGCTTCATTTTTACTGATTTTATCATAAATCCAAGTGACATGTTGACTGTTCTTTCAGCAACTATCAATCCCCATGTGGCTTTTAAAATCCCGATACACTTAATATTATATTCTGGGGAGTTATAAATCACGCATTTAATTAATCACTTTTTGCCGTGATAGATTTCTGCCAATTTCATCATAAATCCCAACTTATTACTCGGCAGTTATTACATCGTATTTTTACAGTTATAAGTTTAAAATTATTCTTCAATATATCTACACAAATTTTAAAAATAAATAAACTTAATAGAGAAAAACAATTCCAAAAAATACTGTGCTAAATATTCTGCTAATTGAATTTTCGACTGAAGGGTGGAATATTCATTACATCCTAATTTTAATACAATGTTATTGCAATGTGAGAAATTCATGAAGTGGAGGAATTTTTAAGTATAGTTTGTAATTATGATGTCAATATTTGGTTGCTTAAGTTATATTTTTAAGAAAAAAAGAAAACATTTAACATATAAAAAAATCTAATAATTCAATAAAACACCAATATCTGAAGTATATTTCTAAATAAGTATTAAATCTTATATTGAAATAAAAGTTTTGTTTTTATTTTAATATAAAATTAAATAGAATAATTCATCATCTCCTTTAACTAAAATAACTTTTTTAAATTTCACAAGTACGACGGATTTCTAAAAATAAAATTATTTTTAATTACTATTGATAAAATAGGTTGTTGTTCATTTACGTCGCACTAGAGCTGCATCATGGACTATTGATGACGGTCTAGGAAACATCCCTGAGGATGATCCGAAGGCAGGCCATCACAATTTTGATCCTCTGCAGAGGGGATGGCACCCCCTCCTTCGGTAGCCCAATGACCTGCACGCGAAGTCGAGCACTTTACAGTAGAACAGTTTAACGAGGACCCATACCACACACCCTCGGTTCCTACGCAGACTGATCCAAGAGGTTTCCCACCTGCACACTGACCGCAGTCAGTGATGCTTGACTTTGGTGATCTTCTGCGTAAATTAAAATATTCAATTTGAATTTATATTACTTCAAATGTACTTATATTTTTTTATACTTTCATTCTGTAAGCATTGCAATTTCATTGTTAGAATTTATTTTAAAATGAACTTTTGTATATTTTTTTTTATATGATAAAAAAAAAAATTTTTTTTTCAATGTTCATCGATATATTGTTTATTTTATTTATTTATTTCATTTATTTATTTTATTTCATTTATTTATTTTATTTCATTTACTTATTTTATTTCATTTTTTTTACTTATTTATTTTTTTTATTTTATTAATTTATTCATTTTTTTAGTTTATTAATTAATTTATTTTTGATAAATTTATTTTCGACATGATAAAAGACGGAATTAAAATATATATATATACGATTTTTCCTTCTTTTAACAAATTCTAATAATTAAAAGCATTTCATTTTTTGCAAATATATTATTCAGTTTACTCATAAAAAATGTAAGCGATCAGAGCACTATTGTTTAAATACATTTTCTAAATATGCGTGCGGCCCTACATTAGTCAACTTTGCTGTGCAAGTGGAAGTGGCCCTTCACTCAAAAAGGTTGTGCACCCCTAGTTTAAGTCAAGGTTTAATGGAATAACAGTTTTTGAGTTCTTGAGATGTTTTTTATAAGACATTTGACATCATTAAAAGGAAGTGTGGAATTAAATTTCTGAAGGACAGATGCCCCCCTTTTTGCCAAGAAATCTGCTGCCTCATTTCACTGGAGTTCACAGCAGCCCGGAATCCGTTGGAGAACTACTGTTTTATTATTAATATTGAAGTGCGGCCTTTGAATAAGGCTGCACTTCAATTTTATATGTAATAAAAAAAGTCTGCATAAGTGAAATAAATAAAAAATGGATAATTCACAGACCATAACAAAACGTTACAGAGAGATACTAATAATTAATGTTTCTTATAACATAAATTGTCAAAGAAACATAAGCTTCTGAATTTTTAAAGTTTCTAAAAACTTAATTTAATGTCAGGAAAAATATATTTAAATGTAAAAAAAAATAATAAAGTACAACAATTTTTATTTCTAAAACTTAGATGACTCTAGAATGCGTTAGAATTTTTTTTTTCTTACATGCACATTTTTAAAATTTTGGTAACCAATTAAAATATGAAAACTGAAATATGGTAGCTTAAAATATGATATTATCTAAAACAAATATTAAGTGCCATAGAAATCACATTAATACAAACTAAAAACATAAAAATGACATGAAAATATTTTGAGCTAGTATCAAAGTTTTGAATGAAAATAAAAAAAATATTGAGAGAATGTAGATTCTAAAAAGTAAAAATTTTAAAAATGTAAAGAAGACACTGTAAAAACTCACATCACGTATTAGCCTAAAATCTCTTCTGCAGAATAATTTCTCATTTTCTTCAAAATTTGGCCAATCAACAATTTTTCTCTTACATAAAAAGTAAAAATTAAATAAAGTAAATAAATTTCCAATTTTCTTTAAAAAAAACATTTCTAGCTACAGAAAATATTCAAAAACAGAAAGGCATAAAGATAGTGATTTAATTTTATTCCTTTCTGCCTTAAGTAAGACTGTTATTGACCCATCTGTGGTTCATCATATGAAAGTTACAATGTTTTTTTATTCTCCTAAATGAGAAAAAATTTTTTTCACCACCTCTCACAAATAAATCCAAGGTTTTTTTCTACTCACGAAATCAATTTCCAACCTACAAATGATTCTGTATAAAGAAACAGCAATTGATATTTTCCCCCAATCACCCATTTATCTAGATTTAAATAGGGGAGAAATGACCCTTCATACAATTGTTCTCTAATTGGAAAGTATTAGGAATCAAGGTAAACAAAAGTTACATAAAAAAGTGTGAACATTTTCAAAGAAATAAAAATGTCATTGAGTTAATTTTGAAAAACTATATAAACTTACACTTAAATATGAACTATACTTGAAAGAAAAATCTTCAAAAGATCTACTAATTTTAAAAATCTTCATTACTTGATATCTTTACTTAATAGTTAGTTCAACACAGAAGTTTCTTTTTTTAAAATTTGATTTATATAAAAAATATTTAAAAAAGAATTTTTAAAAACCTTTGTAAAATTTGTTTAAGAATAATTATAATTTAAGATATTTGTACCTTCTATTAGTTGATTTAAAAGACTGCGAACAAATGAGCGAATTTTTTTTTATGCTGACCACATTTGTTTCAATGGTGTTTAAATATTCATTGATTAACCATTTCAATCAAACTGAGCTAAAATTTCTAGCTCTGTAGCAAATAATTGGTTCAATTCAAATAAACTTGAACAATTAACAATAGCAATTTTAACCCACACCAACAAAATCAATAATTGATAATCGATTGAAATTTCTTGCTTTAAATACTTAAAAGCTATTTCCCTCAAACTTTTAATAATTATTCATAAGTAAGAGAAATTGCATTACCTATGCATATTTAAAGCTATAAAATAATTTTTAAAGTATTTTTTGAGAAATTTATAAAATTGTCAAATTCTGAAAGTGTTTTTTACATTATTGTAGGGTAGTGTGTATTATTGTTACATAAATACTCGCATAAACATAAAAAAAAGTGCCAAAACTGAAAGTGTCTCCTCGATTACTGAAAAGTAGTGAATAAAAAAATTTTAAACAGCATTATTTTTTTCGTAAATGTTATAAACATATATAAATTTTCTACAAGGTCATACTCGACTTAAGTATATTCTTTATAAAGTATCATATAATATTATAAAACAAATTACAAATTTAATAATTAGGTCAGGTCATAAAAATTTAAATATTATATTTACTTATTAGAAATTTTTTTCAAAGTATAGTTTATGCACAAGATATTAAAATAAAAATTTTTATGATTTTTTTTGTGATTTTGCATGTTTTTTTGTTGCAATATATTCCTCTTGAATATATTCCTCTTTTCAAGGACATCAAATTGTGAAATATAGCTTGGGCATCAAAACACTTCCTCACATCATTGTCACACAAAAATTCATTGTTTATTAATTTCAGGTTAATAACACAAAATTTTTAGTGTTTATCCTATTTTAAAACGATAACGCTAGATTGATTTGAATGATAACAGTTAACATAATAATTGATTAACATGATAACACAGTATAAAAATAAAAGTATGGATATGGCTAATTTTAAAATGAATATAGTTGACATTAAAAAAGTATATAGCAGACATGTGATTGCTCAAAGAAATAATCTGAAATTTACCAATTCAATTTGTAGTTTTTTTTTAGTACTGATTTTTTTTCTGTACATCGAAGATAAATAAAAGACTCATTTTTATGCATGAAAGCAACATTTATAAAATTTAAAGAAAGGAAGGAAAACTTTTATGCACACATAAAAGAAATACATTTAATACAACACTGAAAAAAATTACATATTCCTCCCTTTTTGCACTTTGTGAATCATTATCCCATTGATGATAAAACCAAGTGTATTTATGACAAAACTGCATCAAAAAGAGTTAATTAAATGTGCGTTTTAAGATTCCCGTGTTGTAATAAATAATATCGCATTTAAAATATTGAGATTTTAAAAAAATATGCAAAAATCAGTAGTGATAACCACCGAAAAATCTACTGAAAATAATCACAACAAAATGTCTAATAGTCAGGTGCTCAATCTCAATTTACTGTATGATATCTGAGTTTTTTTTAAAAAAATCATGCGAAAAGCAACAACAACATCCGCATAAAAATTTATTGAAACTAAGCCATGGATTTAGTGAAAATCGAATGAGTCAAAAAATAATAACTCAAAAATGCAAAACAAATTTCTAGTTTCTTAATAGTAATATCATATGAAAATAATGGGATTGAAAAAACCTCTTGAATATCAGTAGCAATAGCTTTGAAAAAGTCAATCCAAAAGACAGTGGCATCATTACATCAAAAAATGACCAATAAATGCACGAATTGAATTTGTTGTGATAATAATGTACAAACAGCTTAGGGATTTTGAACAAAATCAGAGAAAATTTGTAACAATAATAGGTGTTAAAAAAATCAAATATCACATGGAATTGTAAATTGAGTGAGTCAAAAAGTGAATACTCAAAAAAGCAATTCAAATTTTATATCGTCATAATATCGAAATTTTACTAACTGTGAGAAAATCAAATGCATTGACAGGGATCTGTCCAAGCCAAATTTACTACCGTTTAGCGGTACCTTCACAAATTCAACTTTAGAAAAAACGGTAGTTTCACAAAATACTTTTTTTTTTAATTTTATTTTTGTGTCTCGTAAGAAATGATAAATCCATGTTTTAACCATATTTTGGTGTGGATTTTTTAATATGATTTTTAATTCTCACAAAATATGTATAAATTTTCACAAAATAGGTACCTCACAGAAAAACCTAGACAGACCCCTGATTCACTATAAAAAAATAAAGTATGAAATACGGATTTTTGATGGTATCGAGCATGCTGTAAAAAGATTACTGATTTGATGGTATCGATTTGAAATTTCTATGTCCTAAGGGGCAAATATATCACATTGATTAAATACAAACAAATTGGGCTGTTACAAACCCGAATTCGGCATAATTTGCAGATGTAACAAAATTTTAATTCAGACTAATGGAAATCCGAGAAAATTGTGTCAGATGATAAATTATTGATCCAAGGAAGTCAAACGAATCAACGGTCTTGAGATTTGCACAGTTTCACAAATTAACAGAACAATCACATGCCTGATTTATGTTTTAAAACAATTTAAAAGTGATAAATACATATTCCTCGCTGTCCATGGGACAAGCAGTATCTATGATGTGTAAAAGCAACTTAGAGAGATGAAGTTCATCATCAATGGTTGATGTTGTTTTCACATCAGATTGTTGCTGGCAAACGTAACAGCTCCTATCTTTATCTATCTTAGTGGATTTTATACAGTAAGAATGAAAGGATCGGGGACATGTAGAACACTCTATTTCTGGTAAATTCTCAATTTTTGTCACGATATTGTGGCACTTCCAACAGTAACTCTGCAAAATAAGATTCTGAATTTAAAATAAATACATTGACTGTAGCATAAATAAAAATTTCTAAATATTACAAGTTAATGACTAAATTGTGACACTATGATCTATAACTTAAGAATCATTGGAAAACACTTATATACAAATAATGATTCAACACAAGGTTTTTATCTCATGAATGGATAAGTGAACAAGTTTCAAAATTATTAACTCAATGTTCTTGATAAAATCATTAAAAAAGACCGACACAGTTTGCAACATATAATTAAGGTGGAAATAAATTCAATTCAGGGTTTAATGGCACAAGGCAAGGTTGGCAAAAGAAAATACTGTCTTAAACAAATCAAAAAGTATAGTACATACAACAAATTTATCTCACTAAAACACACAGAATTGATAAAATGGTACTAATTGAAACAAATACATTCAAAAATGAATAAGATAAAATTATAAAAATGGGTAAAACAGTTATATACAATACAAACGACAAACAGAGGTTTGGAGGGAAATTATTAGATTTCCTTAATTTAGATTATTTCAAACATTTCTATCTCAGCATTCTGATAGTACCTCAGGTACAAATAAAGATTCGCAACTAATTCAAAATTCTCGACCAAAAAGTGCACAGATTTCATATGCTTCCACTGTTCCTACCAGTGAAAGTATAAACTCTTCCGATAAGCTTATTCACCAGCTGTGGATTCCTAATGATAAAATAGGAGCAATTTTCTGCATAAAGTTAATACAAAGATAATCTAATACGAAAATACATTTTAATGTGCAAATTAATTACATTTAAGTGTGCATTAAAAAAGCAATAAAGTTTAATAAGTCATGAACAACAAAAAAGATTTATAGTGTTAGTAATTTTTAAAAATATCATCAAACCTTTTCAGTTAACAACTATATAATTTATACTAACCTTAATTATAAAGAAAAGTATAATTGCTTGAAATAAAATAATTCTTTTTTTAAAAAAACATTTATGTGTGTGATAAATTTTACTTCAAAACAGACCAACAACTTGATTTTGTAAGTATAACAAAAGTAAAATACAGAGTTATTTATTGGGGACATCACAAATGCGTTATAATTTTCTTTTCTCCTATTACCATGTTCATTTTAAAACTCTACTTTTAACTCCATCAAATAAATGCTCGCATAGTTGAAAAGAAACATTCTAAAATAATAAAATATAGTTCATACTTTAAAATAATAAAAATTTTAAAATCACTATTTACATCGTGATCGCTGTTCGTCTTTTTAATTCTTTTTGGTTCTTTTTCAGATTCCACTGGAGTTTTGCCTTTTCTTTTCTTATCTAGGGAAAAAAAAAATTAAAATATGCATTATATAATTAGTTGTATTTTATTAAAAACTTAATGCAGGGGTGCCACTCTAAAAAAATTCCAAGACTGAACTTATTTGACTAAATAATACTGTCTAGCGTTGTTTACCAAACTTTTAGAAATTTATAGCTCACTGACACCGAAATTTTTATTTCCTTGATAATAAATAGCCTGGCCTACATATTAAATCATTTGATTATTTTTCCTATAATTTTTTTTTCCTTATTTTATGTTTTTTTAGCAAACAAAAAGAAAACAACAGTTAACCTTGTATAATTTTTTACAATTATTACTGAACAACCTGAAACCATTCATACCTCTATTTGTCACTTCATTGTTATTTATTTTTTGTTCTAGCATTATAATTTCCTTCTTTGTTATTAAAAAAAAATCTTGATTTAACTTTGGTCAGCATGACAATAGGTTAAGGTGAAGGAATCAAACTCGAGCAGATTTAGATTCAGCAATAGTACAAATTTAATTACGCAAGTAGATGAAGTTCACTTAATCCTATTTCTCAAGACTTTATGAATAAGATTTAGTGAAGCTGACGAAAAGAAAATAAATAAAAGTCTTGACATTATTACCATATCATATGTTTTCATTAAGATATAATATTACTTTTTTATTTTGACCAAAAAAAATTTTTTTATTTCCAAGTCTACATATCAAATCATGCGGCAATCAGCAAAAAAAAAAGAAAATTTTATTTAATTGATAGAATTTATTAGTCCATTGATTTTTCTCAAGACTGATTTCAGTGCCCAGGACTGAAGAGTGGCACCCATGTTAATGTAATACAATCCCGATCGAAATATAGTATTTTTTAAACAAGCATTACAAACTAAATGACATAAAACTGGAAGGCATATTCAAGCAAATTCAGTAATTAGGTGCTCTTGCATGCTTTTTTAATAATTTTTTTTTTCAAACAAAAACTTAATTGCCAAAAGAATTATTTGAAAGCATGTTTCAAAAATTTTGGGAAAAATAATTTCAGCCCAATTTTTCTTCTTCTACCTGTTTTCTACCTGCATTGTCAATTAATTAGATTATTATTGATCTTAAAAAAAGAAAATAGATTGCTGCAAAAGATGGAAAGGAGAACAGTGGTTATGAAATTTTAGAGAATCAATTGAACCAAACAGAATATTCAAGTAGACAGTCCCATTAGATACGCCTCACATACCAAAACTTAGGATTTTAAATTAAATACTGTGGTGCATCTCCACAAAATTACAGCAATCATTTTAATTTGTTATGAAATATTTTAGAATAATTAATTATTTTGGGTATCATTGTATAAGAAGGTAACTCATAGAATAATACAGAGAATCATTCTATGTAAAAAATAATAAAAAATTAAAAAAAAGGTACGAAATTCTTGAATGCTTTCCTAATAAATAATTTAACACAAAGCTGAAAAAAATTTGAATTAAATAATAACTGTTAAGAAGCAAAATACATGCACTATTACCAAAACTAAGATACGTGGAATCTTAACAAAAGGTTTTTAAACTAATTTTAATATGTGCTAAGATGCAAAAATATAGCACTCACTGGTTTCTTTACTGGTAGAAATTTCATCATCAGAACCTAAAATTGTTTTTTTGAGCAAAATAAAAGTTAAAATAATTAAAAAACAAAAGCAATGGAAATAAAGTTAAATCACTTAAAAATTTAAACATAACAGCTAAAAACAATAGTAAAAAATATTTTTAAAAAAACAGATAAGGAATAAAAATTATCAACAATAAAAAAAATTGCTTTTTTATAAATGAGGATTTTTTCTTACTTGAATTAAGATCTTAGATAAGATAATTTTTTATCTCAATTAAGATTTTCAAAGCAAAATCAAAACATGAAAGTAAAATGAATACAAATTATATTAAATATTATAAAGCAAATTATGTTGACTTGAGATTTCTTATAAAATTTGTATTATTTTTAAAGAGTCTTGATTTATATACAACAGAAATACCATCAGAAATCTTTCCAGTTTTTGCCACATTTTTTTAACTTATTATAAGGACTGAAATTTCTGAAAGATGTTGGCTTTGAGCATTCAGTAGAAAACACTTCGCCTTGATAATGAATAATAAGAGCATCCCTAAAAATTATATGCGGTGTGACAATTAATTAACCAGATTAGTCTTAAAAATTAACTTTATGAAAAACACAACACAAAGATCTTTTAGTCCCTCTTAACATATAGTGCGTCTTTCAGGAAAAGTCCTTTTGACATTTGTCTCGCATTGTGGCGGGTACTATGGTTACAAGGAAAAGTCATTTTGAATAGGGGTGTGGGCTGAATAATTTTGTCTTTATCTTCTCATAGGTCAGCGACACCTTCTTTCCTCCATTGCAACCCCATTAGAGATGTGCCTTGCTTGTTACCATACCAGCAGACAGCTCCAGACTCTTACTCTGGAGGAGTTCTCCCCAAAGCCGCACAAAACTTCTTCCTTATCAATACAAAGCTGCATTCCACTGTTCAAAGCAGATCACTAGGTGTCACCTTCTTTCACCTCTTCTGCAGACTAAAAATATGTTCCCTTTAACGCACTTTTCCTTTTTGGAAACAGGTAGAAATTGCATGGTACAAGACCTCAGGGTGAGTACAGTGTATGCTAAAGCATAGTAATGTATTTGTTCTATTTCATATTTTATTTTATAACCATCGCTGAATAGCTGACCCAATTTTGAGTTTACAACTATTAAGGTTCCAACTCTGTAACCTTGTAATTTTGAACCAATCCAGAAGACAAGGAAACTCCTGGATCAGTACCCTCTGAGGTCTGATTTATTATGGGAACATGGAGGACCAGTCAATCCTGCTGATACCATTAATATTGAGAAAAAAATGATGAGCAGGACTTCCAGTTTGGACTTTTTCATTCAAGCTGTTTTGACCTCTGGCGATAAGGGATCTTACAGTTCACAGATTGCTGTTTAGTCTCAGGGTTATACTAAAAAATCCAAATTTCGTCACATGCGATGATTATTTTATATCAGTTCAGGATCTTCTGTGAACAAGATGTCACAGCAAATGTTTTACCAGTTCATTTTTTACTAGCTTGTCAGCTTTTTTTTTTTTTTTTTTTTTTTTTTTTTNTTTTTTTTTTTTTTTTTTTTTTTTTTTTTTTTTTTTTTTTTTTTTTTTTTTTTTTTTTTTGGCACCAGATTTGAGCAAACCTTGTCATATGCAAGTCTTCCATCAAACTTTTTCTCACTGTCAATGTTTGTAATATCTGACATCATGCAAACTTTGAAATGTCGGTCTTTACACACGATTACTATAATTAATAAAAAAAAATTCCGGTTTTTGAAGTCGACCAGAACGTTCACTATCTTCAACAACCTCCTCCCTTTTCGAAAATCATTTGCAGCAATAAAAAAAATTTACCGCATGACGTGCAATAACCTCCTTTAACAAATTAAAACATTCCGCTGAAGTTTTTTTTTATTTCACAAGAAATTTCAATTTAATGTGCTGCTCGATTTTTAAGCTTATCAAGATCGTGCGGCTCTTCTACGCAACAAGGTCTTACTAAAACAAGGGAAAAAAACAAACTAAACCAGATAGAAGAACAGAATAACGATTCACTTGCACTGAAAGCATCAAAATCAACTAAATTCTGTTCAGATTCCACCACACTATGCTTGACAACCAGGGCATGCACAGTCGGATTATTTAATTTTCACACCTTGTTTATTAAAAATATTAATTTAACAATAATATTTAAAAGTTTCCACTAGCTGTATGCAAAATAATTTACTATCTGGAAAACAATTTAATTATAGCAATTTATTTTTATGTTTATTAAAATACAAGTACTTTAAAAACTTTTTAAATATGCAGTTTGTGCACATAAATAATGCAGTTAGCTAAAATAAATTCATTTTGAATAATTGATTAATTTGAAGATTCCAGACCACTACTTTATTCTAAAATTGACAACAAAATGACAAAATTATGTCTTTGTCCTAACAAATTCAAGAGCTTGAATAAAAATAATAATGATTTTATTTATTCACTAATTATTTGTAATAATTAAATTATAATTTTAACCATTTTAGTCAGAAATATTTGGTATTTTAGTTATAATATTGTTTTTAAATAATCAAAAAATTATCAATATATATTTTTTAATAGAGCTTATGTCAGAAAATGAGAAAAAAAGAAAAACTATTAGCTTTGACCAAACTGATAAATTTCCCAATTGCTAAGTTCTTGAAAAATTTACAACAAAAAAATTTAAGCATTAACTTCATTTAAATTTTTTTTTCAAATATGCTGAATTATTCCAAAATATTTTTATTAATTTTTTTTAAGTGCTTAACCCAAGAAAAAATTACATTAATAACTGATTTGTTGTTGAGGTTTAGAAAAATTCTCACATTATAAGTCAAATATTTTATTAAATTGAAATAATTAAAAAAGCACTTTAACTATATAAGTTAGAAAGATAAAGTATTTAAGCTATAATACTATTTTTCAATAATATTAAGTATTATTGATGTATTTTATCAAAGTTTTAATTGGCAATTGTTGAAAAAATTTTAATAAAATAGATACAATTTTTCTTTTTTTCAAATCATGGTTTTTTTACTAATTTTGTGATTTTGAAACATTTTAAATACTAATAAAAAATTTCTCAAGAAAATATAAAAACAATTTTTACCAGCAATACCTAGGACGTTTTCTTTCATCACACTAAAAAGGAAAAATCAATTTTTATTAAATTACAGTTGCTTTATAAAAACATAAAAATAAAATAATAGTAATAATATTAAATTTCCAAAAATTTTATCAGTACTCTGGACAGATATACTGTAGCAGAACTATAGTGGGCACCTCAGATTTTTTTTAGACTTCCAAGAAAAAAGAAAAAAACCTAGCATAAAAAAAAATAAAACTTAAAACATCATACAAATTATCTCATAAGAGTTATTAACATAGAAGTTATAATTTAACATAGAATCTCCATAGTTGATATCAAACAAAACTTTCATGATAAATTTTGTGACAGTACAAATAACATACCTGACTGATTTATTTTGAAATCATTTTAGTGATCACTAAAGGCCTGCTTACACGGTCCAAGTTCTCGAATCCGAGAAATGTGAGGAATTTCTCTCTCTAAGAAATTCGATGATTCGTTGACACTATACAAGTTCTCGAGTGTCACTGATTGGTCGGACACAACACTATTGCATGTGCAATATTCATATTCAACATTAAAAAATCATACTTACATGAATTTAAAATTACTAAATAAATTCAAACAAAATCATAATAACACAAATAGACTATACCAGATTAACTTATTTGGACTAAAATATATGAAAACAGACAACAAAACGACATAATCTGATGCATGCTTGTTGACATCACAAAACTTAAGAAGCTGATTGGTTAAGGGAGGAAAAACTTGAATGGAAAGTAGAACATGTTCTACTATCGTCCAAGGATTTGAACCAAGTGCTTGGATGACCGTTTACACAATCCAAGCTCAAAGCAAAACAAGTTTCCATCAATTTCAATCAATATTCAGTCAAGAACTTGCATTGTATAAACAGGCCTTTAGTAATCCAAATTTTAAAACTTTTCTTTCAACAAAGAGTCATATAGTAGGAAAAAATTCAATGTTTAAAGTAAATGGCTGAATATAATTCAGTGAAGATACTACAATATATTTTCATAAAAAGTTTGCTACAAAGACACATTACTCAGACAACTACTATCAAATCATTAAGAATATAAAATTCATTTACAGATAAAGCAACAAAGAATATTTTATGTAATATAATTTAGAAGTACGAAATACATACACAGCATTTCTTGGTATTCGTTTGCTGGCACCTCTTGTATTATACTTCCCCATGGTAGATAACTGAAATAATAAATATTTAAAAAAAGTAAAATAATAATAATTTATAGCAAATATTTAAACATGGTTTTGAAGATTAACTTCCAAAACTACATTACAGTCAGAAAATAGTCATAAAAAGATATTCACATTATGCATCATCATCATCATAGATTTGCTTTTATACTAAAGTGACCACATTTTCATTGAGACAAAGCGGGACAAATGGGATGAAATGAGAATTACAATTTAGTTATATATATATATATATTTTATTGTATACATTCATATACTTGTACAAAAATGTACTTATTATTAATTATTGGTAACTATAAAAATATTTGTAAAAAATAATTTGAACATCATGATTTTTAATCAAATTAAATTTTTTATTTAAAAAAAAGTATGATTTTCTTTCACTGTCATATTTTTGATCTGAGTGAATACTTAGCAATAGATTCGGATCATTTATTAAAATGTCGTGAAATATTTCACATGAATTGGTCAAATTATATTTTACACTTAAAATAGATTTTTAAAGTTTTAATGTTCAACTGCGTTGTTTCAGTTGTCCATATTTTATTGATACCAGAAAAAACATGTTCTGTTGCTACATTTGTTCCTGGAAGGAAGAGCGCGAATTCTACAATTTTCAAAATATTTTGATAAGGAATATTATTCTGTTTAAAATGAAGGAATAACTCCGTCCATTTTTTT